TGGTCTCTGGAGCGGGTGTGGGTGAGCAGGCGGGTGGCGGAGTTCTGGATGTATTGTAGTTTTTGAAGATGAGTGGAGGGGAGACCAAGGAGGAGGCTGTTGCAGTAGTTCAGTCTGCAGGTGATGAAGGCATGAACTAGTATTTCAGCAGCGTATTTTATTCAGTCTCGAGGCATTGTATTTTTTAGTTTCTGAAATGATTGCACAATACAACTGATAACAATATATCTTTTAAATAGTGAACTCGACACCCACGTAACAACTGCCTTCAAAGTCCTGGTGTTGAGTCGATGAGGTGCAAACTGTTCTTTTGGCTCTTTTGAAACATATTTGTTACACTACTTTCAACACAGGAATGTCTTTGTGGATTTGCGGATTTTTATTTGTCATTTAACCTAAAAGAAAATATGCTATTACAGACTGCAAACATCTCTGATCCCATTTGATTGAACTCTGATGTGGAAAGAAAGGGTGGGTACTTTGGGGAGCAGTCAAGAAAGCTATCGGATAACACGGATTTAATGAATTTTTGAATTGCCCTAAATCACAACAGCAGTCGCCTCAGGGGAGTATACAAAGTTGTCAATTCGCCTGAGACAAATCAGAGAATCAAGCAAAGGAAATGCAATAATAAAAAACACACAGGAGCCATTGGTTCATAGGAAACAGGATGACCAATGTCCATAAATGTTAATAAATGTCCTTTACAATCCTCACCTTACTGCTAAATAGCTATTGTGTGTACTTTTATAGCAGACGCCTTTATATCCATTTTTTACAACTTCTTTGCACCATGAGCAAAAGCAGATTCCTGTTACCTACAATGGCAAAAATAAAAAATCTGATTCTGATAAAACAATCATTTTAGCTGAACAATGGACATCGATAAGAGAAAGAAAAGAATTATGTATTTTTTGCGATCACACAATGTTATATGATTTATTTTAGAGCAATAACAAAATAGTGTTAATTGCATCATTGCGCCACATCATGCAGCGACACACATCAGATAAAACACACATAAGTGACATTGAAATGGCTTCCCACCGCCACATTCACTCGTACTGATCAAATACATGAGGTTTTGTGAGTGAGTCCTGTGTGTTGTGTAAATAAAGCTGAGCAGGTGGTTTGTTGTGTCACCAAGGTCCTGTTTTGGGATAAGCACCCTACAGAACATGCAACACCCATGTTTCATATGCGCCGACAAAAGGCTGACAACAGTTATGTCAAACTCATCCAGCCAAAAGACCATTTTTAGTGGCTCCTAAAATGATTTTCAATTGTTTTTATTATTAACTTGCAGCATTGATGGTTATGGGCTGCCAGGGCGTGTTATACATAATCTATTTTCTCAAGAAAACAACCAAACTTCATTTATTCTCAAATTTTAATCCAACACATCATTAGAAGTTAAATATAAATCAATATGTTTAGCTTTACATTTGTTCCAGTTTTGGTCAAATCCAAACAATAAACACATTTGTGGGTGAATATCATGTCACATTAAAGTCATGTCCAAATACCTTCATAATGTAAAAAACAATTATCAGAAAAGGAAACCCTTCTATTCTTTCGGCTCTGACATGTTCCTGTTTTTCTTATTTTGACCAAAATTATAAAGCTGGCATACACAGCTTTATAATCACTTTGGGTCATGAACTTGTTTTTGTGTTAGGGTTTGGGAAGGTTTCTACCTTTTAGAACTCCTCAAAGACTTATACACATTACATATTTTTTGGCATGGCAAGTTTATTTGTATAGCACAAAGTCTATTTCGGTACTTGTTAGTACTGCGTAGCAAGAAGGTCCTGGGCTCGATTCCACCTCCAGCCCTTTCTGTACAATCAGTATCTCCTATCCAATCAGAGTCTCCTACCGTCAGTGAATGGGAATTACTGGAAGAACAAAACACTTTAATTGACCTTGGTCTGTAAAATACACTATATAAAGATTACAAACTTACCATGCAACTCAAAGTGCTTTACAAAACAAGAACATTAAAATCATAAATCATAGTCCACTGGTCCATATTCTCCTTCGGTCGGACAGAGGTGAGTATAATCTGTATATTGTGATAGGGAATGTTGTTACCGCATATTAGTCAAGTTAGATTAATTGTGCTATACAATTTAACCTGCCTTGCCATAGTAACTGTAGCATGTAGAGATTGAACAGAAGAGGTCCCAGGATCGACCCCTGTGGCACTCCACGTGTCAGGGCAATAATCAAGACTTTTTGTAATACAATTTTTGTTTTTTGTTGAAAGATTGATTGAATCTTCTTGCTATAGCTTAAGATTTGTAGACATTAGGAATAACAATATCACCATTGTGTCAGCGGGTCACAGCAGCTTCAAAGATATAAAGCAGTACCTTTTGTTATTTCTTGCACTTTGCATTCACACTTCCACACAAAAAGTAGGACAAAACTAAACTGAAAATGAAACTTTGACTGAACAAAACCACAAACTATAAAAAAACTGACCCTGACCCAGAAAGTGATTAAGGGGAAGAAGATGGATGGATGTAAAATGTGTTTTAACCGACGAGAGGGAGGAGCTGTGACAGGGTCTGCAGAGAATCACACATAACCACAAGTGCCTCTCAGTGCACGTGTTAATAAACCGTCAAAGTGAGTTGTTTTGACTTCAGCCGAGCATCAGCCACTTCCTCTGATAGGATCTGTGCTGTTGCTAGAGGCATCAGAGGCGCTGGGGCTACGAGGGCTGCTCCGGGTTGCAGCCTGACTGAGCCCACAGGACTGGGGCGTCTGTCATTACTGTGAGACTGGGGCAGCTCAGTGGCTGATCGGGAAAATGAACGGTACTAACATGTATTTAGTGATCAGAGGTAGGTAGAGTATTAGAGCTTAGGAAAGTTCTTCTTTGCGGATTGGACTAATATGTGATTCCCTTATCATTGAGACATATCAACGTCTGACAAGTCAAAAGAGTTACCCCCAAAAAAGGCTGCTTCAAAATAATTCAATGTAGAAGTGAAATGAGTACAGTGTGGGTGTAACAGCTTATTCATATGTTGAAGAAAGCAGCAGAACTATGAGCTACTGGATCCAGAACGCTTTCTACTCAGCAACCAGGCTTCCCACAAACATTTTCTTACATACTCTTCTTGTCTTTGTTTCTCTTTTTTAAATTTCAGTAGTTCTCTATTGTCTTTGTACTGTCTCTTATAAAGATCCAGGGCTTTACCCCTAAAGGTTTAAATGTCCTTGTTTGTGGGAGGGTCCACAACATTCTATTCCCCAAATCACTGTCTTTCTATTTGCTCACTTTATAAAATATACAAACCCAACTGTTTAGACTCTACAAAGAAATGTGTATTTTTTTGTGGACCTTTTTAATGTATGAACCTTATTTTGGTTTAGGGTTAGATTGGATAAATTAATTGAGCCCGCTTTTATCCACGTGTAAAAGCAAGACAATCTGCTTTATAAATTGGGTCCATTATGTCAGTACATGGCTTTTAGCATGTTGAAAGGCTGAGCTAATTAGTCCAAAGCACAGGGGACGAGAGCTATTTTAAGGCAGAAGGGACCGAATGCTAATTGCGATTGAAGAAGGGAGTGGATCCAGTTGGTATGAGGACAGTGACGGCAGCCGAGCATCTGTACATCTGTTTACATGAACCACAGATATTTAATGAGTCCGCTTCAGTCGATCACATGTGGGTCAGAACCATTACACAATCATTAAGTGAAGGGGAGGATCAACAACGACATTTAGAAGTGATTACATTAAAGCACACAGACCAAAACATATTTCTTGTATGTTCCAAGCACCAGTTTATGTGACAAAAGATACATCAACATATATTTTTGGTCTTAATTTGTAGAAGTTGGTACTATAATAATCTCATGAACCTCAAAGAAGAGACAAAGCTCACCTGGAGGAATCTGTGCATGGGAAAAATATTCATAGTCATACTTTACACAAAGTTTACACTGCTCAACATTCCCATTGTCTAGCCAGGTGATGGCAGCGTCATGCTCTGGGGCTGCTTTTCTTCAGCAGGGACAAGGAAGAGTTGATGGGAAGGTGGATGGAGCAAAAATACAAATAGGACAATCTTGGAAGAACAGCTCTGGGAGTCTGCAAAAAGCTTAAGGCTGGGCTGGATGTTTACCTACCATCAGGGCTAATTCACCAAACATTAAGAACAATAAATGGTTTAAAACAAATAAATGCATGTTTTAGAATGGTCCAATAAAGTTCAAATTTGATTAAAAAAAATCTGTGGAAAAGCCCTGAAACCTAACACCATCCATCTAATTTGACAAAGCTGGAGTTGTTTTGCAAAGATGAATGAGCAAAACGATCAGTCTCTAGATGTGCATGCCTATTGGAATGTGAACTTAACTGAAAATGTGTCTTTTGAAAAACTGTTTTGCATTAAAAACAACTACTATATAACTTTGCTTTCACTTGAGATTAAAAAAGTTATATTTCCACTTTTGCAACCTACTGTAATGGCATACATAAGGGACTGTTCAAAGATCTGAATAAACTTGAATCACTAACAAAAATTCAGATCACCCCAACCTTTTTGTGCCAATAACAATCACATGGAACACCACCAGCTGAAATCGACACAAAAATGAAACTCAAGCTTTTATGAAAACAATGCAAAACAACAAAAGCTTTCTAATCTTCAACATTATTTTCTTTTCACATTAAGAGATTCTTTATTGCATCCCCAGTTACAGAACAGTAAGAACGAGTAGCACACAGCAAGATAAATGAACAATAACTTTACTAAATAAAAATGTATAACTCCAACATAAAGAAGAAACAAGTATAAACTCTGTATCTTTAGCATAGTGAGTACAAAAACGTCTGACCAATCAGGTGATATTGGTACATTTCCAAAGGCACGGCAAACAACATTTCAGGGCACACCTATGTCCCACGGCCCACTGGTTGAAAAACACAGCTCTCCTCTTCCTTCCTCAGTGACATGTGTGTGTGTTGTTTCTTGCAGCCTGACGCAGCACTACCTGTACCCCCAGACCTTCCTCCAGCCCAGCGTGCTTCTGCAGTCGCCCCTGAGCTCCACCTCCGCCCTGGCCTCCCCGTACCTGGACTACTCCTCCGTCTACGCCCCTTTCCTGGAGCAGTACCCCTACACTGCCTCCCCGTCCCCCTCCGCCGGCGGGTACCTCGGCTACGCTCTCTCCCCTGGGACCCCCGCCCCCACGAACGCCCCCAGCGCCCTGCACCCTTCGCTGTCCGCGCTCGCCACTGTGACCGCCCCGCCCGCCACCGCCTTCCTGCACTACCCCATGCACCAGCCCGATCGCTTACAGTAAACGCAAAGAACTTCATCAACGGAGAAAAAAGGACCAACTGATGCGGCATGTGGTGGCGCCGGTGTGAGTTGGCATGGTAACCGAGAGCGGGGTGTAATCGTGCTGCCTTCGTGTGATCTCGGAATATCCAAACTCCGAATGGGAAAGGCTGGATTTTCAGGTCAAACTGAAGTTTCATCTTGGTAACGTACGTGATAATGTTGGGTTTAGGATTTCAGGAGTGGTGGAAGAAGCAGTTAAGTTACAGAAGTGAAATGATATCCATAAAAAAAATTGTTTTAATCTACACAAACAGGTAGGAGTATCAGAAGAGGGAACCATAGACTGTATATAAGAAGTGGACTGACAGAGCTATATTGTTTGCCGAATGCAGAAGAGGCCGATTTGAACACGAGCCACATTATATGGGTGTTGCTAACGTCGTTGCTAAGGAGTTTTTCCCTCAAATGCATCTGATTGGTCAAGCCTCATATCTGGGTTTACAAAGTTAAAATAAAAAGACAGCTTCATAGAGATTGTTAAACCACAGATTTTTTTTTGCTCAAAATGGTGAGTGTGACACAAGCGATTACTGTGGGAGAGGAGTTTTCTAGTTTCAGTGTAAGTCTATAGGAGCCAGAGTGAGTTGGAGCAAAACTTGGCCCATGAACACTTCCCTATTCAGCTAGCGGGTTAGCATTGTCTATCTATATACAGTCTATGGGATGCACTGATACTGGAAATATTATTGATTTGGCATCGGTTTGATATCAGTTACGTCGATTAGACTTTTCAGTTGATGTAATAATTTAGTTAAATAAACATTTTCTCAAATAGTTCTGTTCTGTCGTTACATGCAAGAGTCAAAAAAATACAATTGGACACATTTCATAACAATTTAGATGTGATTTTTCAAGGCCTTTCTCTGGTACAGGTTCATATGGGGTTTAAAAAGCCACAGAAATCCACATAAAAAGCGTTCTAAGTAAAGACATACTGGTTTAGTTCATGATATAACAAGAAGGCAGCATCAAAAGGGCTTCTCATCTGCACTCTGAACCTTCATGTCAAGAAAAAACTTTATGAAACTATTCTATGTTATTTTCTGAATGTGGTAGAAGATGGAAGTGTCCTGCTTTCGGAGGGAGACTTATTCATCTGAGTTTTAGAGATTTTTAAACAATTCAGGCTTTTGATTGGTCTATATGTTTGGGAGAAATGAACCTGGACTGCTGAGACCAGCAAGTGTCCCTCTGTGTTTTCAAAGTTCACGCACGTCACTCATTATTGATTATTCAATTACTTTTTTTCACCTAAACAGCTTTATTTCAGTTCCTATCCATCCTTCATTTTGCAGATTTTACAACATATTTGCCATCAATTTAAAACTTGCCAAAATAAATACATCAAACGACTAAAGGGACCAATAAGTGCTGTTTTTACTAAATCAAAAGTTTCATATAGAAATCCAATGTTGATCTAGGTTTTTCATGAATGCTTTCATAAGATACAATACAAATTCAAAAGGTGAGCAGAAAAGCAAAAACAAAAAACAAGATTATGGAACTTTTTTCTATAGAGCTTTGGAGATGTAGTCACTGCAGTTGTAATCGCTGCCTCTCCACAGATCTGACCTGTATGCATTAGCTGGTGGCATTAGCTGCTTGTGTTTCCATTGCTAATACAGGTAAAGTTCAATCATCTTCATAGAGAAAAGCCAGTGGTCAAAAAGTGCGGAAATCCCCAACCCTCTCTGACCCTTCTCCCTGATCCTGTTTACTTCATGCTCTGTCTTCTTTATCACCGTAAAAACCAAATGAACAATGTTATTTATTGTAATATTATTTCTGGTCTTCACTCTGAGTAAGCAGGTTACAACAGTACAGTAATCTCAGTGTAAAGTAAATATGCAATTGTAATGATTTCGAACTGGACAGACTGAGGAGCAGACAACGAGACAAAAGCACATTTGCGTTTTCATAGCTGGCTTACGTAACAATAGTACAGAGAATGTGGACAATGACTTTATGTTGAAAACTAGAGCTGCACAATAGATCCATCGTTGTTATGTTCATGTGGAAAGACAGTCTCTCTCAATGTGTTTAACAGTTTCATTCTATAATTGTATAGTTAAACTGGATTTGATGTATTTGAACTACTTAAAATCACTGTGTCAAATAATGTAAAATATATTGTTCTTACAAATGTCAAGCCATAATATATTATTCATAATTGGCAGTCTTGTCATTTTAATAGTGCTCGACTCAGCAGCGGTTCTCAACTGGTGCGTTGTGGGATTGTTTCAGTGGGATGTGAGCCTTCCCTGGGAAACTTATTTTTCCTATTTTAAACTATCCATCCATCCATTTTCTTCCCCTTAATCCATTTCTGGGTCGGGGGGTGGCAGTCAGAGCTGCACCCAGTGCACAGAGCACCAGCCCCTCACTGATCCTCCTGCAGGTGGTGAGTCCACAGGAGCTATTTTAAACTACTACACTGCAAAATGAATGATCTAGAAAGAAGTAGATTTTCTTTTCAAAAACCCCATGATATAAAGTAATATCGAGAAGTTTTTCCATAATGCCAGTTTTATACTTACTGTACTGTACTTGCTAGACTAATACGCACATTTGAAAAGTTCATGTTGTCCACAAAGAGGACGCACTGAAATTAAGCCGCAGGTTTTCATGACGTAATGTAACACTTTACCAATAGAGCAAAGTTGATAAACATCTGGTGTCTTAATCATAGACTGTAAATATTAACGGCCGTAGTCACGCCTATCTCCGCCGTTCTAACTAGTGTGCCACAACTTTCGCGGCCTATGGGCAGTTTCAAAATGGCCTCGGGGGCTGGTAAATGTGAAAAAACGCATCTGCGCATGCGTCAGCCGGCACGAGCCCCATTCATTTAAACGAGTGCCTTCAAGAATTCACAGCGAGTAAACAAGACTGGTCCAAAAATATTCAGCCCCCTCAGCATTGACACACATGTGGAACGGAGCTTTGGGACAAGAGCCAACTTTTGGTCCATCCTGTAAAGACGTTTTCGAGAGGTCTGCCAACGCTATATGTTAGCATTGGCTAATTCTTCTTCTGGGTCCAGCTCCATCGGCCCGGGGTGGTATTGCAAGCATGTCAGCGCACGTCATTTTGGCCACTTTTGAGCCAGGACCCGCCCCAATGGTCTTAATGCACTGATGACTTGAAATGAGCAAAGCATTCTGGGAAATAACCCACTGAGCTCAGAGGAGGCAAGCAAGAACTGCCATGACTCTTTTTGACAATAAACGTGCGTCCTTTAGCTATTCAAACTATATGGATAAAAGCTATTGAAAAGTTTGGTCTCTATTTCCTTGATTCCAGAGTCTGCTGGAGGTATTTTGTTAGTATTTTTAGTGTTATTCAACGCTTATAAGACAACATTTCTGACACACATATACAGTACTTTACATGATTCATGAACTAAAATCCTTGTGTTATATGTTCCCAACACGGCTCCAGCTGCGAACCACTGCTCTACTGTCTGCAGCTCTTTAAAGTAGATTAGGGAGACAATGCTCTATGTCATGTTGGTGCTGGTTTCATCAAAGTAAACACGCAGTAACAATAGTAAACGCGCATTTGGGTCAACTCTCCACTCTTCTGGCCTCTACATCGTTCGTTTGCTCCATGAAGTATTCAGCAAAAGGACTTTCTTGCAACATTCCCGACAACTAAGATCTTCCACGAGAACAATTGAGCGATGCCTTACTTTTGTATGTATTTATTCTCTCTGTCGTTCCAATGCTGATCATTTATGGTGGATCCACATAACAATGTTCACTTTCAATAAAGACGTAAACTGCGACATGTGCGTGTGCCGGGAGCTGCAGTGTTCAGTGTGTGCAGTGTGAATGGGACAAACAGACAGTGTGCACCAGTGTCAGGCCCTTTGTGTCTCCAGCTGCACAAACACAGACCTTCATTAAACTGTCACTGAACCAGCTCCACCCCAAAGCCATGTGTACGACAGATATGCAAAATAAAAGGACAACTTTGGAAGAAAATGCTGTCTAATTCTCTGCTTAATTACTCATGTGGCGGCTGCTCCACTTACTTTTGTGAAAGTTGTTGTAAGAAGAATATACCTTTGATTTGGATCAACGTATTATTAACACATTGTGATTGGATAAAATGTTGTCATTGGAACGTGTAGCTGTGACAAGCAGTAAATTAAAGTATTTGAAACTGGATAAAGGGAAATAACCATTAACCATTGAGTGGATCACTTGTAAGGACTGCTTCTTTATATGAACACAATCATTGATCGTTTATTGATTGATAGTTTTAATAAGATCAATAGATAATCAACACCAAAACTGGCGGTTTATGATCAAATCTGCATTTATTTATTTTGGATGCTAACTTCGCACTCACAAACACACACTCATTCAACCTTCATCTATTGAACATGACTCTAGTGGTAAGGGAGATTGGAGCGCTCGGAGGAAACCGCAGACATAGGGAGAACATTCAAACTCCAAACCTCCCCATCTGGAGGTGGATTAAAGTGCTAACCACTGTACCACTTTAATCTTAATTTGAGATACCTCCATATTTGGTTAGTGCAGCCAGAATGCTAATGGATATTGTTTTGGGTTTACATTATTGACCCATAAAGAGGAAGTTCATTGCATTCCACAAGCGCCCAGCCCCAAATCTACAGTATAAGAATAAGACTCTGCTTTATCTCTGCTGGGTGGAGTTTATCTCTACGTTGATTTTAGAGTCAGCCACAGCTCAAAGATAAGGAACAAGCCCAATATGGTGTAAACCTGCTCATGGTGAGACGGACATTTAGTACATTAGTAAACTCTATGGTTACTACAGGGAGCACTTGTGAATATCGACTGGGGTTACCCGGGCTCTGACTGCAGGCGAGGGAGTACACAAGGCAAAAAGGTTGGGAACCACTGTTATAGGGAATTCAAATGTGCCAAAAGACCTTAAGTCACTACATGCATGAAGCTACTGTTGTGATGTCCAATGTTTTCTAAGCTTAGGACTAATAGATCTAACATGTCAATGCAAAAAGTTAAAGGTGCAGTGGAAGCCTGTAGAAGATCGTATGATGAAACCAAAATGAGGAGGACTTGGCAGAGGACTACTGGTGTCTAGCGCCCCCCAGCGGCTGTCGGTGTACACTGCAGTGTATCTCATAAAGAACCTTTCAATTTCCGCAAAACATGCTTAGAGCTCCTTCTGTCTCCCTTGTCACTGTGCTGCTGCACACAGACAGTATATAAACCTACATACAGTATCTGATCATTAAGGATTTCTCCAACTACAACATTGACCAGTTCTCTGCATGTGGTCTGATGACTCTCATTCAAAGCAATGAACTTAGACTATTATTATTTGGATGTCATTATATCATTCATTTAACTGTGTTTATGTGTAGTTTATGTTGTATTACATTAAAGTGTAGACCAAGAGACACACACTCATTTTTAATGTTTATTACTGAAATGAAATACCATTGAAATGCCTTGTGCTGCCTGTCGTTAAAATAATATTAGGACTTAAAGAAAGCTCTCACAGCTTGTTTGCTGTTAACAGACCATTCAAAGTCTGGGATCATACAACATTTTCTGTGTGATGATGATGCTGGTTCAGAACAAGAAGCAGATGAGTTGTGTAAAAATGGATCATAGCAAATACCACAGTGAGGGGAGGAGAATGTTTGGGTCTTTAAAAATGGGATGACAAAATTCAACGCAGTAATGGTACAAAACAGGTGAGTGGTAAAATAAAACAAAATAATTAGAACTGAATCTGCAGTCTCGGCCACGCATACACACATATACACACTGGAACAAACTTGCTCACTCGCAGCCACACTTTCGGTTTCCAAAAGTCTCCAAACAGACCAACAAACCCACAAATAAAACGTAATGAGCTGAAATGATGAAACCCTGGTCAAGCTAATGGTATCATACTTCCACATTCTGTGTCTGAAGTGCAGAAAACTAAATAACTTAAATTGAGATGAATTGAGATGTTGAATGTAAAGCATGCCCATCGTCACTTGTTTAACCCAACTTGAAACGACCACAAACCCAGCTGTACCCACCCTTTTAAATGTTAGCCCTGTGTAGCTCTGCGCCCACCTCACCCAGACCCTACCGCCTCTGCTCCATCTCAGGCTTTCACATTCCCTTTTGGAAAAACACTAATGCAGTCAGAAAGACAACAGAGCTGCTATTTCAGGCCCATCACTTATAAAACAATGAAGAATGTCCTTTTGGAGCACAGTGAAGTCTTGTGTGTGTGATGCTGTTGGTGAGGTGGGCCAGACCCCCCAGACCCTGGCAGGTTTATAGGGCTTGTGTCTTGAGCTCGATGGTCTCTCCGCGGGGGTCCTGCTGGCTCTCGCTCTCAGGTGGGCGGCTTCCCTTCAGTGTGGCCAAGCGCTCGGACAGACCCCTCATGCGTGGGAACAGCATGAAGTCGTAAAACAGGGCACCCATAGCACCTCCGATCATGGGCCCCACCCAGTACACCTGGAAAGGTAAGTCACATGTTACATTATCGGCTCAGTGCAGCTGCTGGGACAGTGTAGTCGGCTCCTACCCAGTGGTTGATGAAGTTTCTGAAGAGCACGGCAGGAGCAAAGGAGCGAGCAGGGTTCATCCCAGCCCCGGTGTAGTACATCTAAAAACATATAGGGTTAAACTGAGGTCTGTGTTCTTTCAGTTGTGTGTGGGTCTTACCCCCATGAGGTGACCAATGGTGACGGAGAAGCCGATGGAGAGGGCAGCAGAACCCATCCGCCCGTTCCTCCGCTCATCAGTGACTGCGAAGATGCAAACGACCAGTTGCATGGTGAGGAAGACCTCCACTGTGGTGCCCATGCCCAGGCTGATGCCTGGCTGTAGCTGTGACACGCAGAAAGTGAGACACAAGTCCAGTTCACAGTGAAAGTGAAAGTCTGTATACTTACAGTGTTCAAGGCCATGTTTCCCCTCATGTTTCCAGGAGTGACTCCGTACAGAACCGCAGCTCCAGCCACTGCTCCGAGGCACTGAGCCGCCATGTAGAAGACTGCTCTGAACAAGGACATCTGTGAGCCCACCAGGTAGGCGAAGGTGACTGCAGGGTTGATGTGTCCTCCGCTGATGTGGCCGATGGACTGGATGAGGGTGGCAGCCGCCAGCCCAAAGCACAGAGCTACATGTAGCACGTGGTGAGGCCCTGTGGTCCAGCGCAGAGCAGCGCCCATCCCAAAGAACACGAAGAACATGGTTCCGAAGAACTCGGCAAACACTGCCCTCCAAAAATTCATGGATCTAAACTCCCACATGGTGTCGACGAGCTGTGGCTTTTCACCAAACAAAGACTAGAAAGTGGGTCAAGAAAAGGTTGAACAAACCTTTTCAGTCCTTGAATTTAGGGTTTAAAGAACAGAGATCTCCCGTTTTTGTCAGTTTTCAGAACTGACCAAATGTTAGTTCAAAGATCCTCTGGATCTGAAAACAGACAATCCACTCAATGCTTTACCAACCAAAGCGTGGGTCGGTAAAGTCAACTGTGCTGCACTCTGCCACCTGTGTCCAGCGCTCGCAAAGACATAGGTGAGAGTGAAGTGGGAGATCTCAGGTGAGGGGTCAGGACCTGATGGGCATCAATTCTATGGGGGACTTTCTAAAGAAGAGACAGGGATCGACGGAGTGTCTGCTGGACTTTTAGCCTCTCTGACGGAGGGGAGAGGGCCAGACATGGGCTTTATAACACCCCCACAGGGGCCCCGGGTGACGCCATAATCCCCTGCAGAGCCAAGGGCGGGGGGCGTCCACACGGGCCGCCCCAAATCAAACAACCCTAACCCCTCTGCTGACCCCTCACTGCTGCAGCGAAGAGAGGACACTAGAACCTGAGCCTGATGCCCACCACAGCTTTCATGCAGATCCCAGCAGTAGCTTTTATTGCTATTCTAAATTGTGTAGTGAAACATGCTGGTGTTTTGAAGTGATCTTTTAGGTGGTAATACAACATAGACACATGGTGTTGTTGTGAATAATGGCAGCACATGGTTCTTGGACAAAGCAGAGCGCACAGGGTTAATACCTCTGGGGCACCGGATGAACGGAAGTCTCCAAAGCCAGCAACACTCCACTGGCCCATACATTAAAACGCCTGACCTTGTGAAACCTTTGTCTTCATTCAGCCATCAGAAGGAGCAAATGTGTTTATTTTGAAAACATAAGCAAAGAGAACACAATGTATAATAGTTCGACTATAGTATCATGGGTTCAGGTTCATGTATTTTATCATACGTCCATGTCTGTCCTTGAACTTGACTTGCTTCAGTCTGGCAGTAACAACAAACTATTTTCCAACAAGTGTGCTGTGTGTGGTTGGTGGTAACACAAGTTTAGTGGCACAGGTTTGTGGTGGGACATTTAGTGTTGTCGTGCGATGTGTTCAGAGGCGGGGGACTGGGGCCAGGCCGCTGAAAGCAGAACGCTGAGCTGGTTGTTTCAAAGCCCTTTCTTACGTGCGAAAAAGAACACAATGCAATCTGCTGCCTGCAATGGGACACATATATCTATTGTGCTCTTTGTGCTGCCTTATTCTTTCCAGATATTTGAGGCTAGTGCTGTATTCAAACATATTATTTGTTATTGTAACCAGTGATTTTTGATTGAGCACATACAGTAATTTTCCTCCAAATTCACCTCCTTTTTTCTTTTTATTGAGTACTAAGTTTTGATTTGGAATAAGACATCTATATTGTTAGCATAGCAGTGCCTGTTGTTATGTCTTTAGGCAAGACACATCACCTAGTATGAGTGGTGTATGTGCATGTGTACTGTATGTGCACATGTGTATGTGTATGTGTATGAGTATGTGTGTGTGTGTGTGAGTATGAGTGTGTATGCGTGTGTGTGTGTGTATGTGTGTATATGTATGTGCACATGTATGTGTGTGTATGTGTATGAGTATGTGTGTGTGTGTGTGTATGCGTGTGTATGTGCACATGTATGTGTGTGTATGTGTGTGTGTGTGTGTGTATGTGTGCGTGTGTGTATTTGTATGTGCACATGTGTGTGTGTGTGTATGTGTGTGTGTGTGTGTGTGTATTTGTATGTGCACATGTATGTGTGTGTATGGGTATTTGTGTGTGTGTGTGTATGTGTGTGTGTGTATGTGTGCGTGTGCGTATTTGTATTTGTATGTGCACATGTATGTGTGTGTTGTTGCGCATATGTATGGGTATGTGTGTGTGTGTGCGTGTGCGTGTATGTGTATGTGTATGGGCACATGTATGTGTATATGTACGTGTATGTGCGTGTGCGCGCACATGTGTGTGTGTAAAATATTGGTGATGTTGAAGGAGGCCTTTTGTTAGTCTGTCCCAGGGCACCTTTGACTGCAGATTTAGTCTCCTTCTTTCCTCTACTTTAAAAACCCAAAAGAGAAATGTGTCACCTGCATGTGGTCCATTCTGAAGGGCCACGAGGGGTCTCTCCTTCTCACCAGCAGCTGAGATGGGAATGTCCAGGCCTCGTCACCACAACCAGAGGTAAAACAACCACAATGATTTCATCAGATAGTTGTAGACTTTTTGGAGTCAGAAGGGAAGTATAAAGTCAGCATATGAGCTGAAATCTCAATCCCTTGGTAGGGCTAGATTGAGATGAACCAAGAGGAGGTGATCATGTTTCTGAAAAGGAGCATGTGGAGAAGGAGGGCTGGAGGAGCTGCGAGAGAGGAGCTCCATTGTGTGAACACATCATTTCTACAGCACAATATAATTCTTTAAGTGGATTGTCTCAGTTTGAAAAAAAAAACATAAAATTGATTGATTGACTGTTAAGGTGAGAGAAATGATCCATTATCCATCCAAAAAGTAAATAAATGTGAAAAACGAGTCAATGAGTTCAGGAGTTTGTTTATGATTTTGTTGATATATAATGAGACATTTGCACAGAGCATGAATATTCACAAATACACACATTGAAAACCATTACATTTTTTTTCTTTACAACAGTATTACATGAATGTTTTATTTGATTTATTCCAGCTGAAAAGGCCTCTTTAGCATTTCAAAGTGTAGAATTATTGGTCTGGTATTGAGAGGCTTTCAAACCTTCATTGAATATTCCAATGAAGTGCAAATAGTGAAGAATGGTCCAGAGCTTGTTTGGGACAGGAGAGAGCTTTCATTTAGAAGACAAATAAAATCAACATGAGAAATAAAAGCAGATTATAAAACATCTAAAATATGGCTTTGGAACAGAATAATAAAACAATCCAATGATAATGAATAATTGCTATGGTAACAGTGCTAATTTGTATTCACTTTGAAACCCACAGATTTCAGGGAAATCAGGAAAACCAGCACATGCAAAAACAGAAATTTTAGTGAAAGTGAAGTGAACTTCTTTTGGTGACACAATCATGCCACATGTAAAGGTTCTGTCCGCTGCATTTGACCAATCCTTCAATGCCAGTGGGGCCAACAGCAGCCGGGCCCATCTTCAGATGTTGATGCTTAGCTTGGTCAGGAGCTGAGCAAGCTGAGCAGGAGCTGGAGGATTTGGCCTATTGTACATGTTTTAGTGGTTGGGGAGACCGGAGCACCCAGAGGAAACCTTTGTGGACTCAGGGCATTAAGTGCTAACTTTTCAGCCACATACTATACACTACTGTGCAACATGTAAGACCATAGGGTTATTATTAGCATTAACTTTCTTTGGCCTCGGAAGCACTAAATATGCTAACATCCTATCTGCGGAAAAAAAAGTTGCATATTCCAGGAGGCTGAAACAAACCGGTCATTTAGGACTTTTCAAGATGTCTACATTATTGATAAAGTCAAATGCTCTAATATAGATTTTCAATTGACCTTCATTCCTTGAACTGATTTAGGATGTGGTTGTGCAGCTGTATGATGTTTCCTCAGTTGTCCGTCTTGGCCTGTTTGGCTCGCATGGCGTTCTGTGTGACTGTGGACAGAGACGAGCCGGTCATACTGGCCGTTTCCACAATGTCGATGTCTTTACACGTCAAACAGGCCACCAGCTTCTGACGAGAGGCCGAAGGAGCGAAGAAGAACTCATGAGAGACTCCAGCAAGAAGAGCCCCCAGCACCGGCCCGATCCAGTAAACCTGCTCAGCATACACACACACACACACACACACACACACGCACACGCACACAGTAAATGAGTTCTATGAGTAATATGGACCTGTTTCATTACACACTGAATGTGGAGCCAAGTGTGTTGATGATTTTTGTGCTCAAGGACAAAACATTTTCCAAAATTGTGTTGGCTGCAACCAGAAACAATCGAGTGTTCATGACTGAGCCACTGCTGCCACACATGGTAAATGTGCTCAGCTCTTCAGGAAGTTTTCCACTGAGAGAGAAGCTTGATCGCAGCAGGAGCCATGAGTCAGCAAACACTTAGAGTACCTCGGATGTTGATGAGAAATCCCCTTGGTTTCACCTAATCCATCTGTGTAATGGTGGATTGTTTGTGTGGAATGTGTTTCCTCACCCAGTGATTCTCCCAGAAGCCGGTGATGATGGCAGGGCCCAGGCTGCGAGCAGGGTTCATGCTTCCTCCAGAGAAACGTGCCTGCACACACATGTGACATCACACACATGTGACATCACACTTTGTGTCATTACAGACAAGTGAGGACCAGTGTCTCACCCCGATCAGGACCCCTGCCGTGTGGGCAAAGCCCACTGCCAGGTTCCCAGGCTCAGGACTGTCCCTGCGACGATGCTCCTCGGCTGAGAAGACTGTGAAGACCATTTGAAAGGAGCAGAGGAACTCCACACCCAGAGCCTGCGCCGCGTTCAGCTCCAGAGGTACCTGACACACACACCATTCAGACTGTGGATGTACCTGACACACACACACAGACTGTGGGGGTACCTGACACACACACACAGACTGTGGGGCCTCGGGGGAACGCTGCAGATCTACCTTATTGACAAAGTGGTCTGCTGTGGTCTTCAGGGGCAGAGCCAGGTACAGGGCCCCGGTGCTGAGACAGGCCCCCAAACACTGAGCACAGATGAAGAACGTGGCCCTGAGGGCGTCCATGCGGCGTGTGGCCCACAGAGCCAGCGTCACTGCAGGGTTCACCTTCACACACAGGGTCAGTCCACTGTCAGGGCTTCAAACACATGGTCAGGATGTGCACACTCACCTGTGCTCCGCTGATCTCTCCAAAACAGTGAGCCACAGCCACTATGGCCACGCCTACTGCCAGTGCTGGGTACAGCGGGCCCACAGGGGCCTCACCAGGCCCTGGCACCAGTGCGCCCAGAACAGCACTCACTAACACCAGGGTGCCCAGCAGCTCTGCCAGCACGGGACGCCAGAACTGACGACTGTGAAGCTGCTCAGACAAACACAAACAACTTTATAAGAAATGTCCCACTGAACTTACTCCTTCATTGATTGTGTTTTGGAAAAGACTGTCGCCTTCTCACTTCTACTTCAACTTTTCCCTCTGAATTAGTTCCAGGGATTTTTATAGCAAACAAGCAAACACATGGTGTTATATACCATTTGCTCAAGCTATTCAGGCAAACAATACAAATTCTACAGAAAGTTGGATGGATTCTTCCGAGTGAGAAAGTTCTCTTTCAGGTCTTATTAAGTTGTTTTACAAACAAACATGAAAGAGGACAGTCTCATCCCATCACAAACTAAAACATACATTTATAAAAGACAGGTAAAGAGCTCACCTCTCTCCAGGGCATGGTGCTCGTGGCTCCGTGGTCTCTGCTGCTGTGTCCAGACTCACCTCCTTCAGTCGGTGCTCTGCCCTCCCTCTCCTTCAGACACATCAAACCACATCACCTCATCTCTACTCTTCAATAGCTTCACCGTCTCACATGTCATCAAAACCAACATGGGGAGAGAAACAAGCAAAAGACCTGAAAATGCATTTTGCCAAACATTGCATTTATCATTATTATAATGATGTTTAGTTTAGAACACATAACACAAATCCACTGACCAAAATAACAAACTGAACATAACTTTGTAGTTTGTATGAATAAAATCTATCTTATCTATCTTATCTAAGCACCATTACATCACTACTACAACAATAGAAGAATCTGACAGCGGCCTTCATCCATATTTACTTATTATGAGTTTGTTGCTCTGAGGTAGAGGACAATATGAAACACTCTTTTATAATCAATAATAAAAAATAAGTTAACAAGACAATGCAGACTTATAAATCCAATGCACCACAACCACTACATTCTTTATAAATACTGAGTTGTTTTGCGATGTTCTGAGTGATGAGGGAATACATGTGCCTTTTGTTGAAATCACAGAAGTGGTCAATCATTTTGTCCAAGACTCAATCAGGTCTTTCGCTCCCAAATTACTTGTTGTGGATCACCATGGGGACAAACTCTTTCATGATCCGTTACCATAGCGCCTATTGTTCCATTAGAAGTGTGCGCTCTTCTTCCAGCTCTTTGATGTCAAATAAACGCATTATCCAAATGTTTCTGACCCGGATTTTAAATCATTATCTTTTGAATGGTGCATGTTTCAGCTGAAGGATAAAGGGACAAAGCATATTTATTTCTCTGCAGCATATATCATAGTTTCCTGAATTACTTCATATTAATTTGATGTTTATATTTCAGTAAATAAAATATGGTTCTTTCCATTGATCAGAGTGTTTACCTTACAGTTATGTGTAAAGCCAAACTAAGGTGTACTTGTACTAAAAAAACAACAGAAACTTTTCATGACACCCAAATTATTAATTCACTCCACAGACGGTGGTGGTCTACTGTTGTTGCAGCCGCATCTCTCTCTCTCTCTCTCTCTCTCACACACACACACACACAGCAATGTGGGCGAAGTGTCTTGCGTAAGGTCACAGAGACAGTTCAACGCTTTACAGCTGGAGCGATCCCTCTTTGGCACCTGGTGTTCTTAGAGGTCTCTCATCACAGTACTAACCAGGCCGTGTCCTGCTTAGCTTCAGAGGTCTGACGGTCACATGCAGTTACACCATGATTGACACATATACAAATGTTTGAGGTGAAGAGAACACAGGTACTGCATTGTATTTTCAACCAATCTGTTTTGGCACAGCACCAACCGATGGAAATGGGATGCTCTATATTTTGGTTAATCTAACCAATATCTGCGTAACCAATTACATCTGACTTCCACTGATCTGAGCTGTAAACTGGCCTGACATGTGATGTCACATGCTCGTCTCTATGGTGATTGGTAAGTCTAATATATTTTTTGCTGCAGAACGCTGCAAGAAGTGCACCTAAAAGCATGTAATATATCATTTGGCGGAGTGGAGTTTGCATATTTCTCTCCATGTTGGAGTGGGTTTCCTCCAGGTGCTCCGGTTTCCTCCAGCCCTGGTCAGGTCAAACTGAGCATCAACATCTGGAGATGAGTCTCTGACAGTGCAGCGCTCATCAGGAGCCAGGAGCAGATTGCCATGGTGACATTTCAGGATGGGTCAAATGCAGAGCATGGTACAATAGTATACTGTACCTTCACTTCAGCCCAATCAGAAAACTCACTCACAGGTTGGTTTGAGATACATTTGAATTTGACATTGATTGTGTCCAGAACAAACTGGCTGGAGGTGGTGCCATTATGTGTAGGATTAGGCTCCTGTGCAGTGTGATCCGGCCTTTTGTGGGACCCAGGCTGGAAGCCGCTGGCGTAGGGGACTTTTCCGGCCCCCACCCGGACTGCTGACAGCCTCACTATTCTGCACACACAAATGTACATACAACGTGTACAATGTGCCAGCTCAGGGGTTCGCACATAGAGACATGACATAAAGAAAAGGTCATTTTTGTTCATATTCAGAGATAAATAAGGAGGATGCTGGCTTTGCCACCATCGTTCATGATTATCAACATACACTTCATGAATATCACCTCCTATAATAATGCTTTATTTTAAGTTCAAACTATCTAATGGATGAATGTTGTGTGTGGTTTTGAGCTGTATTCAATGTTGTGTGTCCGCAAATAAAACAATATAACATTCACTTACACTGCAAGTCTGTATATGCTATTTTACAATGTACACAGTGTGATGACGTCTTAGTGACACTGCAGAGCAGCTGGAGGTGAAGTGACCGACATATGCCTCTGACAGAGGCTCCAAACCCCTCGCATGTCTCAATATGACAATTTGTGAATGTGCAACGATGATAATTACCTGCACGAGACTATCAGGTAGTGGTGATGAAGGATAAATGCAGATTAGAGTTAAAGACGGGAAAACAGGTCATCCAAATGGAACACATAAAAAAGGTGTTATCACTTTTATCATAAAAAAACAAAGTCATGATGCAGACTTCTGTTGTGCTTTGACACAGAGATGCCTAACATGAGAAACAGTAAGTTACTGTTGCCACAGCTGCTGATCCGTGGTATCTACTACCTCTCAGTTCACCACCAGTCGTTAATGCCCACACATAATTGATGATGGGGGATGTGGTGAAGTGTCTTGCCTCAGGACACACTAACAGTCTTGCACTGTGGTCAGGCAAGAAGGGAAACCAATCATATGTTTTAAAGCGTTTCACATTTCCCCTGGTTAAAGTTAAAGTTGATTAGAAATGACAAAGCCTCTATTGTTGTGGTTTTTATTCAACTCACATTACATTCTACAGATGCACACATTACATCACCTTGATACAACATTGTCTTGTAATACCTCCTCTTATAAACGATGGATTGGTCCTAAAAATATAAATGAACAAATTTAAAGTCACCAAAAACTGTACATTATTAAAAAGTCACTTAAACACCACATTTGGTTTCCGTCTTTTTTTTCTTCTTTTTTTTCCTTTTGGGGGGGAAAGAAAGAAAATCACAACGTTCCTTCAACGTGGCAAGGAACCTCTGGGTTAAAGTCATATCAGTGAAATTGTGTTCAGTGTAAGAAAGGAACGCGGTCATTAAATAAACGTGGTGCTTTGTTGTGTGTCAGAAGCACAGGAACCATGCAACAGTACGAACGCCCTCCACGGCAGAGAGATCAAATCAATAAAAAGGAATGTCAGAAAGAACCAGGCAAGTTCACCTCGCACATGATCACAACAAAAGATGCACCACTTCACTCCATGGAAATGCTGCTGCTTTGCCTAAAACGTCCCCAAGTAAAAGTAAATGCATCTATATCCAAAAAAAGGCATAAAAAGGAAAAAGCGAAGAGCAATAAAAACATGGATAACTGAACGATTGCACGACAGGAGTTTGGAGACAGCAAGACGTTCGAGGCAAAACTAAAAGCATCTCGGAAAACAATACCCTGCACCTTTAAGTCAAGTCAGATATTTTTTAGCTTCATTGAACACGCTCAAGTTTTGTGTTTAGTTGGTCAATGTTAAAAAGCTACACTGCAAAAAAGATTTTTACTTGCATTAAGATTTGTTTGGAGTTTATCCTTTGAGTGCAGCAATTAAGCAAAAATTGAAAAAAATGCACTTAAAATATGAGTAATAATTATATGTCAAATGCATACGAAACAATAAAAATAAATACTCTATAAACTAGTACAAAGATAAGATCATTTCGGCAAATAATCTTTTTCGCAGTGTAACAGATGTAACGAACCAGCTTCTCAGTCTAAGACCTGATCCTCCTTAAAAACAGTGTTTTTCACACATTTTCAGCTGGGAGCGAACTGAGTGTGATTTTGTGCATGTGGTTAAATATTATACATGTGTTTTGTGTGCACAAGACTTTACGAAGAGCTACTTGTGGCACTCCAACAACAGTTTCTGTAACTGGCCATATTGAAAGATGTCTAGACATTTCTATAAAGATAGTCTGTACACATCCACTACAAGCTATTGCTATTAAATAATCCCAGCTATCGTTTTATGTATATAGATTTATATATAGAATATATAATAAAAATATATTGAGCAAAAGAAATGACTTCTATGCATAAAACCACATAACATTACATTACATTGCCAATGAACAGGTTAAAACAAGGCCCAGTGTCTGAGGTTTGCCGAGTCTTGTCGAGGTTTTTAGAGTCCGAGTTAAAAGACGATTCTCCAAAACCACCCAAGCACTGCGCTCCAACAGGTGTGACTGACCAAACACCCATGAAGCCCAAATAATATGAAGAAGCCGTGGAGAATGAGTCCAGCTTTAGGGCCTTAATGTAGGCCATCACAGGCTTTAATAACAGACAGAAGCCAAAAATCTATACAAGTATGCCTATACATGGAGAGTACACGCGGCTCAACGCTCCAGTCTGTTAGAATGCAGAAAGTAACGGAGTGAAAAGCACCAACAGGCTGCAGGCCTCTGTACAGACGTCCTCATTTGTCTTTATTAGAGTAAAACTCTGCCCAGCGGCTTTCGAAGAACTTCCTCATGGAATGTCCAGCCACTCCGACCTCCGACGTGTCCTCGTTAAAGAGCTCGCAGTTATTGAAGATGAGCTGAGCGTCCGCAGCAAAGTCCTCACAGCTGCCGTACCTGAGGAACCAGACAGAACAGGTTCTAACGTACATTTACATTTCTCATGACTAACCCAGACACGGGGCCAGCGTGCAGTGCCCTCTGCTACCATAAAAAAAAAAAATAATGCCTTTAATGTTTAGACATAAAGCTTTACATTGGAGATAGAGGTGGGAACCTCAGGGTACCTCACAATACAATACGCGATACAAAGCTCACGATAACGATTATATCACAATAACAATTATATCATGACGATTATCGCTATATTGGTCAGAAATATACCATATGCCAATTTATGGCATAAATAAAAGAAAAATATTAAGTGAAAAAATACACTTTATTTCATGATAAATGGAATGGAGATGCGTAATGTAGTCATATATTAAGTATTGATACTAATTGAAAAAAAAAAAAATATATAACTGATTGGCTTTGGTTGTGAAATACTGAAACCCATAAAGTATGTGCGAAGTGCAGACGAGGGGAGCAGAGTTGGAGGAAGTGGTTGCTCTACAAAACTACATATTTCCGAATGAGAAGTTTTGTCTACTGTATGTTGTGCCTCGTGCTTCTGATAAAACACATGCATGAGGCTCTGTGTGTTGGTCCAGATGCTCTCCTTCTTAAATTCTCTGCCTCCAGATGGTTCTTAAGGAGTTTTTGTTCCTCTTCAGTGACAACAGGCGTAAACACAAGAGCCACTTCTAGAATCTGAGAAGCTTCTCACTCACCCTCCTTGCAGCAGACGCTCCCTCATGGTGAGGAAGTCCATGGGGTTTTTGATGATGCGGCGGTATCCAGGCACCAGCCGAGGATTTACAGGCTCGAGGAAAGGCCACGCGTCCGTGTGAGCCTCCATCTCCATCAAAATGATTCTGTGAACAAACCATTAACGACTTGTTACTTTCGCCCATTGTCATTAGTTCAACATACGTCAGTATCTCTAATAGCTCTGGTCAAGAGGCAGTTTGGGGGAAGTGCTCATTGTTTTGCTCCTACAATACAGTACTCTAGCACTGAAACACTTTGCAGTTTTTGAAGCCCAAATCTGTAGCAGTTTAATAAATGTGTGTAGTAAGAGTCACTTAAAGACACACAGGCAGAAGAGCTGCACTCACTCGCAGAAGGTGAAGTCCGGTTGGTTGCGGGTCACCATGCGCCTGCGTTTTGAGGGGGTGGTGTCTGCGGACGACCGTGGAGAGCTCTGGTTTACAGGAGGCTCTTTGTGTCTTGTTGCCATGCCGCCACTGCGCCGCGTCGTGCCTTCGTCCTCCGAGCTGTCGTCTTCGTAGCGCTTCTTCTTCACACGAGTGCGTTTATTGCACGAGCGCACTTTGGGTTCATCGTCTACGTTCTGAAACACAAACATTACCGTTTACAGTATATAAAAAGGACTTTTTCATTGAATTCGAAGCAAGTGGTTCATTTTGTGTCACTGCTGACTTATTATCACCATGAGCAACTTTGAAGCTGTTTTTAAGGATCATTTAGAACAACATTGGGATTAAGTGACCAAAAAGGTTCAATGTTCATACAATTATCCATGTCATAGCTTAATATTAAAAACCATAACATCCTAATGCGTTTCCTTTCAGTAAAAGTCTCTTGACCTTGGCCACGCAGGCGGGGCAGAACCAGTCTCCCTCTGGGACTTGGGTCATTTTGGGCCGTAGACAGTACATGTGGCAGCCACGGTCGCAGCCGTCGCACAACAACAGGCAGTCGTCATTGTCTCCTTTGCGACAAACTTGACAATTCTAGGGAAACGGAAATAAAAACAGCAGGTTCAAAGACTGTTAGATGTTCAAAACTTCAGGTCAGTGTTTACTGAAAATGGGGACTTAAAGGAATGTTCATAATACATACTACAATAATATTTGAATGAATACAAGTTTAATTAAATATCATAAGGATTTGGAATATTTCGTAAAAAAAAAAATTCAACAATTCAATAAGTTGAACATTTCATTACAAGTAGTTTTATTGCAGTCCTGCGTTCTGTGCGGGGCATTTCAGCAGATGGTATTGTTGGTAATGTACGGTATGAGTAGCAGAGACATAAAAGTACATAACAGTTTGGTACCACTTTAGTGACGGATCTCTCCCAGGCGATGGCCTTCTCCAGCTGCAGCAGACAAAGGCAGACCTGAGGAGCGCTGCGGCACCGGTCCAGGGCCTGACGCCAAGTGCGTAACCGGGACGTGATCTCATTCTCCAGACTGAGGTTTAAAAAACATTATCAGTACAAGGTACAAAGTTTTCCTTCAGTCAGACTGTACAATGAGAACTGCTAAGCCTGGACATGTGCCATTTATCTCTTCTGATAACTCACTCACTAGTAAAGTGGCTAACTTCACTAGCCACCTTCCCGGCCGCTATTATTACTATTGTCCATCTGGTCATATTCTCTGCTGCTAAAGAAGTAAGTAAGGAATGTTTATTTAAATAGCGCCTTTTACAGACCAAGGTCACCCAAAGCACTTTACAATGTTCAGAGTTCAGATATTCTCTCCACACACGGTGGTCTCCAATCAACACCATCCACTCACTCAATACATTCATTCCTATTGTACAGGTTTTTAGTGGTAGGGGAAACCGGAGCACCCGGAGGAAACCTACACAGACACTGGAAGAACATGTAAACACCAGAAGCAAAGGCCTGGAGGTGGAAACGAACCCATGGACCTTCTTGCTGTGAAGCACTAACCGCTGTGTCACCGAGCCACAAGAACAATACCAACCCTCTGTAAATGTGGGGCCTCTGCTGACTACAGTGTGTTGTCTTTGACCCAAGAACAATTATAGCTCTATCTATGATCTCAAACGATAAAAAAAATAGATAATTATGTGATAATAATCTGAGGGCTCTTATGTCTCTATTCTTCATTTTCCCACTGAGGGATGAATAAAGGCTCATCTTAACTTCATATATCTGTTAAACTTCTTCCACCGCTGGCAGAGACTGACCTAAACATGTCCATGGGCTGCTCCTCTCCCGGAGTGGGCGTGAGGGGCGCGAGGCGGATGACTTCAGCCGGGTTCCACAGTGGTTCTTTGAGGTAGCGCCGCTCGATGTTGCGCTCTAGGTTTGTGAGCCGGAGCACGGCCAGGTCCAGGGGGTGCGTGGGGATCCGGGGCAGCCCGGACCACTCCTTCTTGGTGCGGATCGTCCAGTCGTCCTTCGGGTCGGCCTCATGCTCGTAGTACTGCAGGTCGTCCCGAGTGGAGTCCGGGTCTGGAACAGTGTACGGCTTCAAGGAGAAAAGACATCATTAGAAATAATGTCAGAATGTGCGATATAGAACCACACGTGTCACTGTCACTTTACTGAGTCAGACCCTGATGCTGCCAACACGTACAGATGTATGCGCACAACTATATATTTCTTGCACTAGAATATACAACGTTTTATACTTACTTCTTCATTATGCTTTGGTCAGGGGTTTTTGTACTTAAATCTTGCTTCTTCACGCTAAATTTGGTGATTTCTTTATTATTATGCTAAAGATAAAGATTTTATTAGTTAGATAGTTTTATTTCAGTATAGAATTATTATTCATTTGTCTTGTATTGTGTGTTCCTCATTCCTGCTGTCTAACTTGTGATTTAACACTGTAAGTTCCCCACTGTGGGACGAATAAAGGATCTCTTAAATGTTGTGATGATTGTGTTTAAGATTAAGGTGTGTTCATGGAATTCTACACAGGAACACGTTCACATGGAAAGGCTTGTGTTTGGAAAGTCTATAGGGGTGAAACAAGAGCCCTACAGACAAGACAAGCTTTAGACATTATTGATATGGATGCAACCTTCAGATCAGGTTAAGATGAAAACATTCTTTATAGAAAAGGAAAAAGATCATGGAGAGTAATATTTTTGTTCTTTTGAACCGTAAAAAAACAAAAACAAAAAAAACAAAACTGCTTTAGACTTTTCCCTTATAATTATGTCACTAGAGTGACGCGTCTCGCCTCTGTAGATCTCTCAAAATCTGCAAAAGTCACTTTGTTTTTACTTTGTTTGTGATCTTATAGTCCCAGTTTGTCGCAGAGACACTCACTTGAAACTCTGGCAATGGTGCGTCTGCACTGGTGTCTGCTTCAGTCAGAGCGCCCTGAGGAGGAGCCTACAGAAGACAAGAGACCATCAGTGTTTTCATAATCACCCTGCTGCATCCCTGATGAGTGCGAGAGGTCTATTCACCCGCAGATGCAGATCAGCAGTGACCACGCGCTGCTCCAGCTCCTCCACCCATTTCAGTGCCTTCATATCCAACTGCATGGCCCTCTCCTGGACCTGCCACGGCTGCTGCAAGGCCTCTAGCAGGATTTCCTTCTGCTCCACCTTTACCTCAAAGAGTGAGTCTATGGGAACAACAATTGTGCATTATATAGATTTCCTTTCGCGCTTGATGTGTCACATTTTAGTAATTGAAATGGTTCAACATTCAATTACTAAAATTACACACAAATTCCTTTCAACAGACTTGTTTGCACTATAATTGATGTGAGCACTGCCCTCTAGAGGAGACAGTGGATAAAGACATGACAAGAATTGAGAACTAGAAGTGTCAGAATGTAAACACAGGCCCATTATACACTGAATGCAATTTTTTCAGCAGAAACAAGAATCTGACAAGGATACAGTGTTTCCAGCGGTCTCCCATCACAGGATTTATAAGAGCACAATGTTTTAAATCTCGTAAAACAGGTTTATTAGGAGGATTTTCTTTTTCCTGGTGGGTCATCAATCGATCATCTATCAGTCCTCCTAATTGTCAATCATTCTGGTGATATGTGACGTAGGTAGAGCGTTGCGCATTCGCATTTTTTCAAAAAGTGGAGAGGGAAGTTCTTTCCTAAAATTCTTATATATCTTTAAATCTCAAAAGGGTTAGAAATTCTGTGCAATATATTCTCACCATTGATTGATTTGGTGCACATTTCAGACAGACTCTCCATGTGCTTGGCCAGGTGCTTGTGCAGCAACCTCTCCCGGACGCCTCGCGGGTGAAGGGCCTGTAAGGTCTGGTATAATTCTTCCTGGCTTTGGATGCACCACCAGCCTCGAACCATCGCTGCAAATACAGACGTTATATTTTAGGTTTCTATATAACAAAAAAATAGCTTATACAACTTATCATCAAGAGACATCTTATTTACCAAGTAGAAGAAGCAAAAAAAAAAAAAAAAAATTAAATAAAGTGGATGACGTTGAGGTAATGTTCCTTCAGATTGTTAAATAACTGGGTCTGAATCCAGGTCACTTACTACAAATTCTATTCAAACGTTCTTTGTATAATAACAGATAAAAGGATCCCCCTATTGTGTGTTTGCCAAATTTATGAAATACCAAAGTTAATAAGTTGGAGTAAGCACTGATTTATCTTCCATGAGAAGCAGAATCTAAATATTTGAAACGAGAGCATGAATCAGAGACTCACACATGGGAATAGGTTGGACCACCATCTGAGTGATGTACTGCTGCTCCAGGTCCTGGAACACTGCGATGGGGGGGCGTCCTCTGCGTCTAGCTGCAGCTCCTCGTCTTGCTGGACTGCTTCCTCGACTGCTCCGGCGCCGCCTGCGCCCTGGACGACCGGGCTTGTGTGTAGCTGGGCTGATCTTTGGGGCGGGGGGAGCCAGGGGGCAGCTCTCCAGCACAGGAGGGCTGTCAGCAGGCTGTGGTTCAGGGTTGGGGATGGAGGCGAGAGCAGGTTCAGATGGTGCTGCAGCAGTGTCTACTTCAGATGAAGCCAAAAGCGGTGCAGGACTGGACTCGGATTCAGGCTGAGGTGGACCATCAGTCTGGAGATCAGACTGAAAGAAAACAAAGTATTCTTCAATTACAAATTTGCTTTTTACGTAGCACTAAATTGTCAAGCCTTATAATTGTGTGAAGACAGACAGAAGTACAGAGTTTGTAACTGCACATGCCTGAGAAGGAGGCGGTGTTGCAGACGGGTCAGTCTGGGGCACTTGAGGGGACAGCTTTGGGGGTGACAGAGGAGAGGCAGGGGAACGTGGTACGTTTACAGAATTCTCGCCACAAAGATGTTGGGGCGACTGGTTCAACTGCTGTTCCTTTTTCTCTGCCACCTCCTTCACATTCTCCTCAGAGTTGGTGCCATTGGGTAGAGACTCTGCGGGCTGACTGGGCCCCAGAGCGGCCTGAGGTGGGTCACTGTGAGGAGACACTGGACCCTCTTCTCCAGAGCGAGCGCTGCTGCGGCGCCTGCGTCTGCTCTTAGCTGTGCGCAAGTGCAGCTCCACCTCTGGTTTGATCTTCCTGGGACGTCCACGGCCTCGGGGTTGGCTCATGAGAGAGGCGGTGCCGGGAAGGGGGTCTTCACTTGGGGACAGGGTCTGTGCAGCTTGGGCTGGCGAGGACACTGCTGAGGTGGGAGTGGTGGGCACAGGGGTCTCTTCTGCTTTGAACTCTTTCTTGGGACTCTTTTTGAGAAAGGTCACAGGAACCTCTGCTACAAGCACCTCCACTGAAGCTGTGAAGATTCAGAATGATTAATTTGTGAACGGGTTTTTAAAATTCAATCCACATCAAGAATGCACTAAAAGAAATAAAAACAAAAAAAACAGTAAACAATTCTCACATAAGATCTCCTCTGGGCCTTCCACTAGAACCATGCCAAGGTTGGGCAGAGCGATGTATCTGCGTCTGTAGCGGTCCTGTCCCAATAGAATTGCTCGCATGGACTGAGCCGACTGAAGCAGTTTTTTACGGAAAAACACTTGGCGCTGTGAAAGAATGCAGCTGGGTCAGATATGAATTGTCTATGAACTGCATGTTTTGTATGAAATTCCTTGTATAAATTAAGTTTTAAGGATTCTTTTAGGTTATACGGGTCACTCTGAGCAGAAGGTAGCAATGAACCTGATCATTCCCTTGGCAAAAAGATGTATTACTCTGTTAAGTGGCAACACTTTATAATAATTGATTAAGAAATTTAAAATGGAAACACTGTTTAAAGTAGAAGAATATCTAATAACTTCAAAGAGAATGATAGCGAGGGGCTAGCATTATGCAATTTTGTTATGGGGTAAACATAAAAAGCTGTAACACACACAACACTTTGTAACCGTGTACATTTCATTAGACTCATACCTTGGCAAAGTGTTCTGCTTTGTTAAATGTACGAGTCACTGGAACATTTATTTAAAATGTACATGGAAGGGAATGGATGTATCGTGCCAGTTAATTAATTAGTTGTTTTCTTTTTTCTTGTATATGGTTGTTGAAGGGGATATAAAAAATGGTTAGGTGAAGGGATGTCCGTGCATGTGTGGATATTTGCAGTGTGTTTACCTTTCTGTAATTTTTTTTTATTCTGTTTTGTGTTGTTGCCGTTTTGTTATATCATTTAAACTTGTTTTCTTATAATAATAAAAATAAGAAAAGTTTGATTGATTAAAAGTCTGCAAAAATAAAATGTTACCTTAGTGAGCCGATCAATTTGTCTTTCAAGTTCTGGAATGCTGGCATTGGTTGGACTTTCACTCTGCATAAGTAGAACATTTTTATTTTTATAAAGTATTAATCTCAGAATAAGTAGTTAAAAGAACAGACATACATCACTGAATTTGGGCTCCTCTTTGAGTTTTTTGCGACGACCTCTCCCAGTCACCTCTAAACAAGCAGTTTCCTCTTCTGCCACTCGGGCACTTCGCCTTCTCTCCTCGAAACACAGCTCCTCCTCCGAGCGGCCTGTACGCTGTGCCAGCTCCATCTTCAGTCTAACGACCAGATAATGTTAACTATAAAAGTCTATTTAATCCTCATTTTAAAAAACTTGCCTTACCTGCGCAATTTCCCCTCTATAATCCATTTGTTCTTACGATAGTTGGACATATTCTCTAGTGTGTTATCAATGTCACTAAAATGAAATCAATAATTAGCAGTCTGCAATTGTATGGAATTAAACTGGTTGTGCACCTTCTTACTTTGTGACAATGTTGCTGCCGTTAAGTTCATTAACCACAAAGCCCAGAATGGAAGCCTTGGTGTCTGGAGACAAGGCTTGAAATGTTTTGGTCCTTAATACGTCGCAAACCTCTGAGTCGTATCCGTGAGCTTCAATGAAGATGCGCAAGACTTCAGAGACAGTGCTGCGGGTAAGCTCCAGATCCACCAACTTGTCTCCAAGGATCTTTACAGACTAAGAAAAAAGTGTTTATTTTGCTGATCAAATATACCACAAGCAAAAGTGAATGTGAGACTTACTTGAGAGTGGGAAGGCAGACCTGGGTCCTGGACTGCTACATCTAAAAGCTTGATCAAAAGATCAAGAAGCTCTCCTTGACTGTCTCCCATCCCCAGTAGACCCTCTTGCAGTGTAGCCAGGCTAGGTACATCCTTAGGAATGTTTAGACCCAACAGTTTCCCGTAGGCATGAAGGAACTCCATCACAGACAAGCAGTGTGCAAAAGAAGAGCCTGAGAGAACCACACCAGGTATGCGAGACAACTCTGGCAAAGGCTAAAGACAGGAAAATGCGGATCAGATGAAAATATATTTCTACATTTTATCTTAAAAATATAGATCGGAGCATACTTTGTGATCAGTGAGACACATGTCCTCTGCTGGCTTCTTCATCTCCTCTGCAATCATCTGCTGTCGCCTGCGCTCCTCCAGGCGTTTTTGGGCCAAAGCTCTCCTCTCTGCAGCCCTCTTCGCAGCTTGTGCTGCTTGAGCAGCTGCCTCTGCTTCTGCCTGAGCTTTGGCCAGGGCCTTGGCTTTACTGCGAGCTCCCAGCACCCTCTTGCCCTGGGCAATCCTCTCCTCATCAGTTAGCTGAACTACAGGAGCCTCTATCTTCACAGACCTCCTGCGCCCACGTTTCTTTGGCTCTGGAGACGTCGTCAGGCTTTGGTCTGTGGACTCAAGCTTTCCTTCAGCCTCTCGTTCAAGCTGCAGATAGTGATTGTCATTACATCAAAAATATGATAAATCAAAATCGCTTTCTCAGTGAACAATGGTAATGTTATTTCTACCTTAGCCTTCTTCTTTTCTTCTCTCATTTTTTTGATCTTCGCATCTTGCTTTCTCTTCATCCTGGCCTAAGGCAGGAACAAGATTACAATATGCATTTCATAACATACTATTAACAAAAGGTTATGGCTATATACAGTATTTTAACCCAAAAACCACTGTAAGTGTAGATGAAATAATCAATTCTGATTAATCTCTCACCTTTCTTTTCATCTTTCTTTTGATTTTGGCAATTGTCTTCTTATCCTCATCCGTTAGAGTTTCTATGAAGCAAACAGATATGTGAATATATTGTGAAGATAGGCAAAGGATGCTCAGACTTACCTTTGCCCTCAAGTTGTGTGAGAACTTTGGCATCAGCTTTGCTGAGGAAGTCGATCATCTTAGGTTTGGGAGGTCTCCCAGGGCGACGTGGGGGACCATCAGGTCTGCGTTTTTCTTTATCGGGATTAGGAGGGCGACCACGACGACCAGTGATGGCCATGATAGTAGAGGGCACTTCCTCATGAGTCAAAAGTTCCCACTTCACACCCTGAAAAACAAAGTCTTAAGTCTTTCTGTTTGTTGAGGCCAGTCTTGCCATGACAAATCTTTACTCACGTCAGGAGTCTCTCTTTCCTCATAGAAGTCTCCTACAGGCATTCGAGGACTAAAGCTGAAGTGTTCTCTGCTCACCACACTATCCTGATGCTTCTTCAAATACTAAAAGAAATGTCATAAATAAAAGTATTGAACACTGGCTTTTATCAAACGGAAAAAAGTGTCTTAGACTACCGTGATAATTTCAGGGAACTGCTTCATCCTTCTTCCACATGGTGTATAATACCATGTTTCACCCCTCAGACGGTTGTCTATTTTCCTTACTCGAATCTCTCGCCGCCAACTATAGTACATACATTTATTTTTATTTTTAATAAACTATAGAAAATATTTAACCAATGAAAATGTGTAGTCACCCATGCTGAAGAGGAAATTGAACCTGCTCCTCCGATGCAACTCTACGTTTACCCGGTTCTCCTATAAAGACACAAATAGTTAAACAGAGCAAACAATTATCTAATAAAAATTATAGTAAAGACATTACCTGCAGTTGAACCGTCATCTTCGTGGTCCTCACCATCTTCAGCCGTGGTGTTAGCATCTGGTTTAGCCCCCTCTTCTACAGCACCTTCTGGTTGCTGTTGTTTCTTGCGTCTTTTCTTCTTGGGTTTTTCAACGTCCGTGCAAAGAGTGGCAACGTTGGCCAGGACAGCATCGATGGTGGCAGAAATAGAACTCAGCTCTTCCAAAGTGAGCAGAGACGAAGCTCCACACTCAGTTTCAGTCGAATCCCCATTAGGGATCTTCTTTCGCTTTCTGGAGACCTTAGGGGTGCCACCATCAACCGGGTTTTCAATGTTATCACTCGTTTTTATCTTGGGTTTTCGACCTCTCGGCTTACGCTGTGTCTGCTCTGAATTTTGAGAATCTATGAAGAAATAGAAATCTTTATTAAAGAAAACAATAAAACTCTTTCACACTAAAATGTTTGATAATGAATTGAGATGGAAGGACATAATACATGCTGCTGGGGTTTAGACACATACCTTTTGGAGTGCGAGGTTTTCGTGGTTTCCCTGGGCTTTTCATCTGACCATGCATTAGGTTGAGACCAGAGCCGTCTGCTGGGGTACTGAAGGCCATGAATCCATCTCTCGTTCTGAAACTCGGTGGTGTCATGATGCCAAAGGGCTTGATGCGGGGACGCCCAGACGAGTCCGGAGTATCATGTCCATCAAGACTCCAATGCTCCATGTAACCTGCCAGAGATTTGAGGTTTATGCATTTCTGTATAGACAAAGTGACATTAATACAGACTTTGATTCACACTCTACCTGGACGATTTGACTGTGATGACATATAAGAGTGCGACATGGACACATCAGTAGATCCAATAGAGGGTTCTTCCATTTGTGAGGTACTGTTTAGAGAGGACTCTGCGCCATGGAAACTCTGAGAGGAATCACCTGCAGTAGAGGCAAACGTGTGACCTCTTGTGTCTTCAGCTGAAAAGCTGCCGTCTCTTGTAGTATAGGCAGTAGACAGTTCATCAGAAGTGTCCAGGTTTGAGGCTTTCTCCGAGTCATCCATGTATGAGCCTTCAAAATAACTTTCATTAGACATATATGAAATCCTTGAGCTTTGTGGAAGCTGACCTTGAAAAACAGCTGAGTGTTCAGAGCTAAAAGCTCTTTGCATGTGATCCATTGAGGTTTGTCCATCATGGGGTTTGTGAACTGGAGAAATAATCGCCGGCAAATTGTGAACTGGAAGATCAGGTTTCTCAGCAGCTTTGAAATTATACTTTATTTGTGCAGCGGAATCTAAATGTGAGATACTATCATGTAAGCTGTCTGAAGTTACCAGCCCTCTTCTGTCTCCTAAACCCGGATACTGATCAGAGGTTAGAAAATGGGCCGCAATGGCATTACAGGAATGCTGTTCGAAACTCTGAATCACTCCAGACGTGGTACCCTTTGCATGAGGCACAGAGACAGACTCAGGTGGGATGGACACAGTAGAAGTCCTGGAGGCTTGAGTGGTTAAACGAGGTAGGGTAGACAGAGGTCGGGCTGTCAAGTTATCGTTTCCTGCTGAAGAAATTCTATGCGTTTCAGTTGATTGAGACATTGGCACACCACTGACAGATCCAGGGGAAGGATGTGGAGATGCGTTTGCTACTTCATAATGCAGAGATGATGATGATGATGATGACTTGGCTGGTGCTAAGGGAGAGGGCCCTTCAGCATGTGAAATTACAGAAACAGATGAATTAGCAGAAGTTTCAGTAGGAAACTTCTCATGCATATCGTCTACGGAGTCTGGGAAGCATGAAGTCTTCAGAAGAGCTGTAGAACTGTGCACAGGTTTTGGAAGAGAAGACAAAGGTGTTATACCTAAAGACGAGGGACAAGCTGGAGTGGACACCTGTGACCCAGAAGTATTTTGAGCCAGTTGCAACACTGAGGAAAATGATTGCGGCCCTGGAGATGACCCCGCAAAAGCGTTGGAAGAGGGAAATTTGGTTGGTTCGTCAGTTGTTTCAAACCTACCGGCAATAACAGACCGAAAGGGAGGTGAGGAATGTGTGAGGCCGTCTGTTAGAGATGAAGGAGATATTTCTGATAGAGAAGTTTGTTTTGAACTTGATTCTGCTGAAGACTGAACAGAGGATTTTGGGGAGAACGCGGGCTGGACAGAACTTGACAGTGAAAAAGAGGTCTCTGATGGGACTTTAGCTGCTGGCTCCTTCTGTGGAGAGGGTCCATCAGAAGCTGGAGTTGGGGACATTTCAGAGTATGGTCCATAATCTTCTAAATGTGAAGCGTCTCGGGGCTGGTCGTCTTTATTCTTCTGACTTGGCCTTTCCTTGTCACTAGAGATTTGATCTCCATCTGTGTGCAAAAAGCAATGGGAAAATTTATTAATTAATGAGTCATTAAAAACAAAATTAATCAAACAACTCAATCATATAGTCTACGTGGGCACTACAGAGAATAACTTTCAAATGGAAGTAGATAATAAAAAATAAGGTTTTGCTTTCATCATGGTTTGTATGTTAGATAGAAACATCACTCATTTACATTCAATAAATCTCTAGAATGGGACAAGGAACAAACACATAGAGGCAATCCAGATCACCGTCTGCACCAAGGATTGTTTATAGAGAAAGAAACATGCGGAGGTCTGCGCTGTACAAGTGTACTTGTAAGATTTTCTAGTTGACAAGCTTCTGCCATGGATCACTGGTGGCTGACTTAGAGCAGTGTATCCCAAAGTGGGGTCCGCGGTCCCCTGGTGGGCTGCGAGGGTATTGCAGGGGGGGCGCGAGAGGTCTTTAAAAAAAATTAAAACAAGTTTTATATAATTATAGTATGTTAAATTAACATTTTAACATTAAAATATTTGTGTTCATTATTTGACTTGAGTAATCAAATTGTAATCATTTTTGCATTACAAAATGGGGTGCGCCATTTCCCCCAAATACAATTATGAGAACAGCCTGTTTTTAATGTTGTCTTCTTGGTTATTATTTCGGGGGGCCGCGCAGACCCGGCAGATTTTTAAGGAGGACTTAGAGATTACATTGGTTATGAATTTAGCAGAACATATAAACATGCCCCCTTATTTGGCAATCAAAGGACACCCACCTTGTAGAAGAGTGGATGCTCCTGCTTCGTTTGTGTCGGGACTTCGGTCTCTGCCGGGTCTCTGAGGTGAAGCGCTGTCTTTAGCGGATGATGGTGACGACACAGGTAAAGAGCTGCCACGTGGCGGAGTATAACTCTGTCCAACAGGGGGTAGAATCTGAGCCTGGTTTTGGGGCTGGGGCGTCTGATGCTGGTAGTAGGGCATCCCATTGGGCAACAGGCCATAGTGCTGCTGCTGTGGATGGAGCGGACGGCGCTGGGAGAGGAGTTGCTCTACGGAAGAGCTCTGTGCAGACTGCTGCTGGTGATGGCCGTGATTCTGATAGGCCCCGTAGAGGTTATGGGAACCAAAGTTAATATGTTCAGAGCCACTGTTCCAAAATTGCCCTCCAGTCATAGGCACGTTTGGAGGACCTACTCCAGGGGGCTGGTGAGAGCCTTCTAATCTACCATTGAGCTGAAACTGTCCACGACTCTGATAGTGAGGCTGGCCTAACCCGGGAGAGGGCTGTTTTTGATGGCCATGCGGGGAGCCCAGTGGACTGTACTGAGGATGTCCTCCCCACAGGAATTCATAACCACGACTGCTCTGGTGGAGGTTACTCAGGTGTGGATAAGAAGATGTTTGCTGCTGGGGACCAGTCGCACCAGATCCAACAACAGTAGAGATGCCATTCACATTTAGTTCCCCGTTCAAGTCTGCCAAACACAGGAAATATATGAGATCACACATTTACATTAGACAATGAAATAGTCATGGCTGAAGCATGTGTTTGTATTATTATATTTGGAGGTGCAAAACTAAAATCTTATTTTGGGCCGGATAACATCTAGAGCTGGTCCTGTACCAGAATAAGATGGAACACCCAAGCATAACTTACTCTTGCCCTGCTGTGGGAAACTCGTGGAGGACCCGTTTGTGTATGAAGATTCCCCTGAGGAGAGTTTCAGTCCTGAGTTTGCTGATGAGTGGGAGCCATAGTTGAAATGATTATTTGCCTCCATCTAGAAAGAGAAGTGAGAGAGATGTTAGTACACATTTTTAACAATCCTACCCCCTCTCACCACAAGCATTATGTAAACGCTTAAAACCAGACACAAACGCAGCATATATGTCAAAATATATCACGCATATCAGCACTACTAGTCCTTATTCACACACTGGGAACACTTGCATACTGAGTGGTACAAAACAACCAAGAGCAAAGTGTATCAACAACACAATTTCTAAAAAACAAGAAGCTCAAAATGTCGCAGCTACTTCTGTTTCAGTAAATGCCAGGCCCGAGCAAAGGAGAAACTCAAAATGACGATAGAAACTGTTCATTAGCGCTGATGAAAGGCTAGCGCCCAGCCAAGACCCACTGCCTGAGCGCAACAGTGAGGAGCTCTGTAACCGGCTATTTACATTGTATCACGCCTATACATTTCATTCACTTTTGGGGCTATTTCACGAGTTAAAACTGCACTGAATGATAATAATGATCAGTTTCATATTAGAACGAGGCCTTTGCCAAAGGAAGCGGTGCGTTAGCCAACTTACGCTAACGTCTTTCTCTCAAATGAACAATTTACTTAACGTCAGATAAGCCCCGGCTACACAGTTATGCTAACATCTAATAACTTGTCAACTCTCCCACATTTGGCATGTAGTGTTGGTTTAGCATGATTATACCGTGTACGCATTCTACACGTTTCATATAAAATAATCCGCATCAAGGTTATTAGGCTAAATCATCACAATAGATCTTAGCTCACAGATGTTAGCGTGATGTTAGCGTTAGCATCTCTACTCAAATGAGTAGGCTAGCATAAGTACAGCGGAGATCATAGCTCACATCCAGGTAATGGTACTGTAAACCCACGCTAGGACACTACCGGGCAGCAGAGAGCACTGTAAACTACAATAAAGACTAGCCGGCTTGGTAAAAGTCAACAATAGTGAACTATCTTAGACTCACGCGTAACTGTAAAATGAGTGAGTTTCCTTTTGTTCAGTGGCTAATGTTAGCTAGCGTGCTGATGAAGTTACATTGTTTACGGTGCACGCACACAATTTTCAGAGCATCATCCTCCAACACCGACTGAAGTTTAGCTGCTTTATGTGAGTTAAATGGATCAAACCTCTCAGCCCTCGATGTCCACAGGCGCCGATGGACTCCTTACTCATCTAATAATCTATTATGGAGAGCACAGATGACCAGGAGATAAATACTAAACAACTATTCTCTAATCTTTGAGGTTTAAATTAGCAAACATGGCTGGTGTGGTCCAGTCCAGCCATGATCACTGAACAGGCTGAGACAGCGCGAGCGGTGGCATGTAAACGCATCCGGCTCCCTGTAAAACACTTCACAATATGAATTCATATATTTACAATATTTTATTACCATTATTAATAATAATTATTATATAAATATATTTTTTATCATCAATACTATTGCATTGTTTATAACAACAATTATCAACTTGTAAACATTCTGTGATTCCTTTAACTGACCAAAACCGAATAGTAATGCAAACTATTACTAGATCCCAATCTGTTATGCACGGTGTTTTCCAACCTGTAATAAAGATATCATAAGAATAAATAAATATCTCCCACCACAGGACTCTGACTGGCCGATGGGGATCGTAAACTACCTCTCACTATATATCTTATTATTGAAGTGATTAATCGTTACAGCCTTACAACACCAATAAGAGACAAATAAAATAAGCAAACATTCAAGATATATTGCTTTGCTGATATATATTTTTCTATCTTATGATAGATAGAAATCACTTAAGTTGTATCAGTCAACACGGGATACATTTGCTAGTTCAGATCTAAAATAATCATGAATATAAAAATAATCATTATACAGGCCTATTTTCAGTCTTTATCTCAAAGAGAATTTATTTGCAAAGAAATAGGCATTGCAATCATTTCATAAACAGTTTATTAGAAATATGTAGACAATAAAAAAGAATTGTTCACTGAAAAGTTACATTGAATATCCTCACATATTAACATTGCAGAGATAACTGAGTCATTACAGATGAACATGTTCTTTTGGGTAGAATGTTTCTTCAACAACAGCAACAGACAACAAAACACACTGCTGCCATCCCAACAGTCATTAAGCTGCATTACAAGTATCCATAGGGAATCTGCAGTCTTAAAGTTAGTGCATGTTTCATGGGTTTGGAAGGATAAAGATTAGATGCTAATATAAAGACCGAAGCCAATATCAGAAAATGCAGCTGTTGGAATTTTTTTTACAAAGACATCAAACAGGGAAATAAAGAATTAGATCCAAGCAATAATCAAATACTGGCCTTCCACGCATACAATTAATTTAAGTAGAATCTCTTTTTTTATTATTATCATCTGGTGGCCTTTTGGCAACGTAAGTTCTATTGAATCATTAACAACTCAATTTAAAACCACATTTTGGAATGGGTGAAGCTTTTAGTAATAAATTTAAAATAAATGTTAAAAATAACCAAAAACACACATTGCTTTGTTGCAAACAACTACCATTCTTATGTATATTGTTAAAATGTGCTTCATTGTTAGAACAGTAAAAGAGGATACCAAAAAGGTGCAGTCTTGAGAATGGAAGTGGAGATAGCTGCTCTGTACAAAACCATGCAACAACCTTCAGTGACTGATCTTTACACAATCTGGAAACTATTCATTTAAATATGGCTACTGACTCAGACATATATACAGTTGTTTGATGTGTGTGCGACTCCTGTCAGTTCAAACTCTTTTGTTGATGTTATCCGATGGGCTATTCCAAATCAGGCATTTCTGTAAAAAAAACAAAAAAAAAAACAATATAATAATATATTTATATATATATATATATAAGAAAATGTGTTCTCACAATTGTACATGATTTTCACAGACCAAGTCCCAAAGCACTCTAAAATTGTAAAAGCAATAATGCAGAAACTTTGGCTGATGACTAGATACTTACTTTCGTCATCGCTGTCCTCCTGCAGAAAAAGATGAATATTTAGTACAAAGCTGATAATACTAAATAAATATGTGTAGCTCGATTCACTGTCTTACATCTTCTATATCTGGCATGTCTTCACCATCCATGTTGTGCATCAACTGTAAACAAAAACAAGTTTAAACCCATTAATATCCATATACAAAAGTTACACTGTGGCTTTTAATTATGCTGAATCTGAGAATTACATCTGAAAATTGATCATAGTTTTCCTCATCCGAGTCATCTGCCCAGTCTTTCCAGTTGTTGAAGTCAACTTTAAGCCATGAGACCTGTAATAAAAATAAAAAAAGCACTATTCTTATTACACTTTTTTGCCATTCTCGCATGCTCTAAAATGAAAAAAATAAATAAAAATAAATATCACATCATTTTATTTTAAACATGCAAGTTTAGCCCTAAAAATGATTTCTTACTTAGGGAGGAATATGAATAAAGTGGAAAACCCAAACCTTTTCTTTCTCTTTGGTTAGCCTCGGCCAGGGCTTCCCAGGCTGAGCTTTTCGTAAATAGCACAACACTGATCGATCGGTACGTTTGTGCTTGGATTCCTGCATTACAGAGCAGAAATTAAAACGAGGAAAAATAATTCACCTTAATCTGAATGGAGATATAATAATTTACTGAATTTACATTTTCATCAATGGCTTCAAATAGGTTGATTTGATTTTCATGCTTGACATTGTCAGTTCCTCCAACACAACTGAAAATATAACAGCGCATGTTATTGTAGTTGAATTGTGTTGTTTTTCTAACCACAATCTATGACACTTACCCAAAACCGAACTTTGTTTTATCAAAATTGACCTTGACGTCTTTGCTGTCTGCTACACAAAACTCAATGAACACGGAGTCCCTCCTGTCGTACCATTTGGCTGTTGCCGGATGCCTAAAGCAGAAAATGCATCATTTTATACGTCATCACATTAAATATGGTGCAAGTACAATAAGTGAAAGGTATATAGGAGGACTTTCTACTTCTGTATGGATCATCAAGACTATTGGTTCTCCCAATTGTCAATCATTCTGGTGATATATGATCGTCAAATAAGACCAAAGAGTTTTGTTTAAAAAGTGGTTAGGGCGGTTCGTTCCTAAAGTTTGGGAAAATCCTCCTATATACCTTTAAGCATAAACACCAGGGTATAAATGAGAGTAACTGAACAAACATTAAATTGGAAGTTAATGACTAAGATACAGCAGCTTGTCTATATATCACGTTTCTGCCAAGTGTCTTGTTTCCAGTGTACTCATGTGACGCTTTGATGACATCTGCTTGAGATCACAGACATTAAAGTGATTCTTGCGAGGAGAGAAAGGCTCGTTTTCAGCTAGGGATGAGCTTAGATTCAAGCTTCTCTCTACAGGCCATCACAACTATAACATTAGTACATATAGAATCATTATACTTTTACATGGGAGCACGTTACCATACAGAAGACCAACGTGATATAGACACCTTTAAATCTTAAAGTTGGCAAAGTGCTACGTTTTAAAAACACATTTAACGCTAGCTTCGTTGGTTGTACCAGAGAGGGCAGTGTAACCTCCCACAGTCTTGTGATGGAAACAATTTTAAGTTTGTAACAATAATTGTTCCATCAATACCATGCAATGTGGATCACCGATACTAGCGTTGACCTAACTGCGAAAAATAATTTAATGATCGATCTTCTCTTGTAAAGGAGAGAAGTCATTCAATGAGGCAATGTTAGCCACTGAACAGTAGTTGGACCACGCGGTACATTTGGACAGAACAGAAACAGAAAGCAAACCCTACTCACATATCGTTGCAAACAATAGATTATATTCCCCTGCAGTTAGTGTGACTTCTCATTCATTTGAGAAGACTATTCTGTATTATCCTTTCGTAAGGCCATCCTCCCGCCTTCAGCACAAGCGTGTTACGCTACACTTTACTAGCCTCACAAGCTACAACACTGTGCGGTTCGTGCAGCGCTCACTTCATGTTACTTCAGCAAACTTACATGTCTGTTTCTGGTGTAGGAGTCTTCACAGCGAGCAACAAAGAGCAAAAACACGGGTGATTTGTACAGAAAGAGGGAAAAGTGCAGACGCCTCTCTCCAGATCAGACCGTGGACTCAATTCCGGATCTGGGTGCGTGAAGTGGGAACAGAGATAACGCGGTGACGTCATTCAGACGTAGACCCTTCTAGAGCCTTCAGCTCCACAGCTGAGGGTGATGGTGAGAGCTCTGTGCTCCGCCTGCACCAACACTACCTCACGGTTTTCAAGTATTTAGTTTACATATACAACGCATTTGAACATAAGGGCCAGGCTAGACAGGCAAGAGGACTCTTCATAATAAGTTATATGCACATGTAGACAGGGCAAAAGTAGCTTACTTTATTGGGCAAATAATTATAATCCACTAAAGTGCAATTATAAATACATTTAATGCAATTCATTTGATATCCACGAACAGATTGCAGGATGTCAGGTCCTACAAGTATAAGGTGTGTAAAATAATCCAGAATTTTGAGATGTTTGACAAAGGTAATACTGTATGTGTGAGTATTTATACAATTATTTAACATACTCAATACAATACAATGAACTTGCAACACTGAAGGTGTTTTTCAAGACACAATTTTATTTCCATCTTGGGTATAAATTGTATAAACGAGCTTAAATTTAATCAGCAACATTTCAACTTTTGGTTGATGGAGTCCCATTACATTGTCAACTCCTGCAAGGAAAAAAAAAAAAAGGATATTCAGAAATAATATATAACACGTGTCCAACGTTTCTGCAGTTTTTTTTTTCTCAGAACAGATAAGATGGCTTCAGTGAACTCAGATGAACGAAAGTCACTGTGTAAATCATCACAGAAAAGTAATTAGGTGTAAATGAGTGTACAATACATACCATGATAGCATTGACAATGTCATTATTGTTGTTCTTGAGAGCGCGTACAGCCTTCGCCCGCGACACGTTTGCTTGTGACATGACGAGTTCAATGTCTTTGACTTCAACGCCAGTTTCGTCAACCTTTTAAATAAAAATAAAAATGTTTACCTTTGTTGTTTGAAATACACAAAATACTTATGCAAGATTTGAGACAAAAAAAACTTACCTCCTCTTCCTCACTCTCTTCCTGTACTGTGGGCGTCTGTGTGTTTTCCTGGATATTCGATACGGCTTCTCCCTGTACCTTGAATTTCTCTGCAGCAGCCAGTTGGGCTTGCTGAGAAAGATCTTCAATCTATTGGAAGATTCAACAAGTAAATTAAAATGTTTTAAGAACATATTGTTTTGGCTTACAATTGCAAAACATACCTTAGCTTCACCGAAGACTATGTATGTGTCTGATGCAGGACTCTTGTAGACGTCTGGTTTAGTGATGACAAACAAGATGTTCTTTGACTTGCGAATAGTTACTCTGGTCACTCCTGTAACCTGTCTGAGACCAAGCTTTGACATTGCCTGCAAGACAAAAACATTAACTATAATATTTATAGCTACGAGTGCAAATTGAAACATTCTGTAATGGAAGTAAAAGTCAAATGGATGCAACTCTAGAAGAAGAAAATTCTTACCTTTCGTGCCTTCTTTTCACTGCGACTCTGTTTGGCTTTGCTGACTGGCTCCTCATCTATTTCAGCTGCTGCAGCAAGCTACAAAATATGGAACTTTGTAAATTATCTGGTGCATATAATAGGTTTATGAATAGAAAAAACCATCATGTCTCTTCTCAGAACAGTAAAATTGGCTTCAGGAAAACTCAGAAGAACGAAAGTCACTGTAATACATCATAGAAGAGTTTATAGGATGAGGCTTCTTTCTCGCTCTCACCTGAGCCTGCTGCGTCTGTGCCTGCGCCGAGTCCTGCTCCTCCAGCTCAGGAACAGAGTCATCGCTGTCAGACTCTGTGCCTGATCCTGAAATCCAAATACAACAATATGAAGCATCAAGCTTTGTGACATTCAAGTCAAAATTATTATTAGGTCTGTGCAAATATCAAGTAAATTTCCCAAGTTCAAATTCTCTGGATGAAGACTTGAAATGCAAAAAAGCAAACTCATAGAATACCTACATTTATGTAAAAAATATATTTGTTTGTCCTTCAAAAAACCCAAAAAGCGACTATTTAAAGATGCATAATTTCCCTCTTTCCAAAACAAATTTCGTAGAGAAACTTCACCACTGGACCAAGCAATTTACCCACTCACTCAATTCACTTAGAACCAATTCTCACCAGTACAACAAATAGAACCGCAACGACACACTCGGGAAAGGGAAAAATAAGGAAATACCCTGGTCATTCTTGATCACCGGCTCCACCTTGGCGTTAGCTTTACCCGCAGCAGGTTTGGGTGAAGACAGGGGCTCGGGAGTTGGGACTACCTCAGGCTTGACTGGGGCAGGTTTAGCAACAGCTTCAGCAAAAGTCAGTTTGCGAGGAGCTGCGGCCGCCTTGTCAGCCTCGAAAGGAGACTTCACAGCTTTGACTGGGATTGGCTTCGGCTCATCAGCAGCTTTAGGTTCTGCTTTGAGCGCAGCAGTAGGCTGCTCAGGTGCTTCAGCAGGTTTGTCAGCTGAGACAACAGGGACAGGAGCAGTAACTTTAGGAGCAGGGGCTGGTTCAGGGGCAGGAGTGGGTTTAGTCACAGGAGCAGACTGTGCCGGTGCAGCCACCAATTTAGGAGCAGGTACAGGAGCAGCGGGAGCCGGGGCAGAGACAGGATCTGGTTTAGCTACAGGGGTAGTGGGAGCCGGGGCAGACACAGGAGCTGGTTTAGCTACAGGGGTAGTGGGGGCTGGGGCAGAGACAGGAGCTGGGGTAGCTAAAGGGGTAGTGGGGGCTGGGGCAGAGACAGGAGCTGGGGTAGCTACAGGGGTAGTGGGGGCTGGGGCAGAGACAGGAGCTGGGGTAGCTACAGGGGTAGTGGGGGCTGGGGCAGAGACAGGAGCCGGTACTGGAGCAGTGGGGAGCGGGGCAGAGACAGGAGCTGGTTTAGCTACAGGAGCCGGGGCGGAGGGGGCCGGTACTGGAACAGTGGGGGCAGGGGCAGACACAGGAGCTGGTACTGGAGCAGAGGGGGCCGGGGCAGACACAGGAGCTGGTACTGGAGCAGAGACAGGAGCTGGAGCCAGTTCTAGAGCTGGTTTGATGACAGGTGCAGGGGCAACTGGTTTAGGAGCAGGTGCAGAGACTAGAGTTGGAGAAGTTACAAGCTGAGGGGAGGAAGCTTGGACAGCATCCCCCTTCAGCGGTGTGGTCTTGTTAACAGGTATAGGCTTGGCTGGAGTGACTTTGACCTCAGATCCAATAATTGGTGCCTTTTTAGAGGCCTCAGTGGGGATGGACTTGGGCTGAACCGGCTCCACTGGCAAAGGCTTTGCAGGTTCGACGGCAGACTTGGGTGAAGATGCGGCACATTTTGGGGATTCTATGGCTGAAGGCAATACAGGGGTTTTCAGTGGCATCATTGGGGGAATGAGTGGAGGTAGATCATCATCAACAGCTTTAGCTGGTGCCTTCACCTCAGCTTTGGGAGGACTAGTTGCCAGCGTATTGGCAAATGAAATAGGTGCCGCCACTGCAGGCTTGGAGGTCACCTTGAAGGCAGGTGGGGGCAGGACATTTTTCAATGTTGGAGAAGAGATCTTCTCAAACACAGGTTTAGGCTCTACAGCAGATTGTTTAGGACAAGACTCCACCGGTGATCCAACAAGTGGGGCAGGCACAAACTCCTTTTTAGCTTTGACTTGTTTTCCAGCCTTGATTACTTTTGGAGCAGAGCCATGAGGAGCAGAGCCACTGCCAGGAGATGTGGCAAGGGGAGAAAGAGCAGGTGAGAGAGGTGTAGAAGAAGTAGATTTAGGTGAAGTTGGAGAGGCAGAAGAGGCAGACATAGAGGAGCGTTTCCTTCTGCCTGGTACAGACTTTGGTGCAGAGGCACCTTTAACATCTTTGCCCTTGGGTTTAGCAGCACCAGCAGTTGCCTGTGGCTGAGAGGCTGCTGGGGCAGGAGCGGCTGAATAGAGAAATGTATGTTTAACTTGATTGTAAAGAAGACAGTTTCATGCGGGTTTAAGTATTCAAAGTCCATCTCTTGTGGTTAAAACAGACCAGCCACCATTTATGGCACCTCACACAGATGCAACATACCAAAAAAGTTTAAAGGCGCCAAAGGATTTAACAGATGCCAAAAACTCACATCTACAACCACACACAAGCTGGCATTTGATGCAAGAAACCTGGTGCAGTTCGTCACTTTCAAATGGCGTGAAACATGGAGATGCAACTGTAGCACTGTGTGTTACATTGTTATAAGATCCTTATAAAAAAAGTTTTTTTACCCATTTGCCTTAACCCTTGTGCTTTCCTCAGCTCAAATTGACCCACCACAGTGATTAAAAACCGTCATTACCGTCAATATTTTATTTTTCCAGCAGCAGTTTGATCATTTTCACCAAATTGACCAACCCTGGGTCATTTAGACCCGAATTTAGATTACTTTCTTCTACTTTTAATCATCTGTGACTAAATAGCACAAGGGTTAAATTACCATGCTTCCAAATGGCCCATATTCTGGCACATTGAGCTTTAAAATGTCGTCATTTCTAATAATCTGAAAATACAAGTTCACAATTACAAACATTTAGTAAGCAAGTTTAAAATTGGACGCACAAACCATGCATTGTTGTCCAAACTGGTGTCACTGCAATCCACACGGACTGTGCTGAATAGAGGTTCTGCGTAACTCGTCCCAGTGACCGGAAAACAACTTTTAAACAGATGCCATCTGTCTGATCACCTCAAATACCAGGCAGGACATAAAGTAAACACCACTGTCACTTCCTACTTTGAGTTTTTGCCACTGGGAACACAGAACCTCTTTGGGTCAAAACCATGCCTGGATAAGTGTACCAAGTACCATTGTGTGGCACATGTGTATCATACATACCAGTCTCTGCCTGCGGCTGCTCAATTGGGACCGTTTCTGTGGCTTCGCCAGGCATGGTTGCTGCAGGAATACATAAAGTTATGGTCATCACCCAAAAAACAGTAACGGTGGTTCAAGTGGTACTTTGACTTCTTAAAATGCTCAGTTTTGCTATTGAACTATTCCTGTACATCGTTAGCATGTAGCATTAACATGGTCACGCAGGTTGATCGGTGATGTCTGCAGCTTTATTAAGACCAAACTACTCAAGCTGACACGCTTTACACACAGCAAACATTGGAGACTCATAACATCATGTCCTAACAATTATAGAGAAGAATCCAGTCTCGTGTTCCCCCATTTTGAAGCGTCTATCTGTCATACATGACCACAGCTTCAAACACCTTTATCTGACAATGCGCGCTCTCATCCCACACAATAACACATCCACCAACATTCACACACTATGAGCAAAAGCACCAACCCATTCTCAAGTTAACTGTGAGTTAAATGAAGTCGGATGAAGCTGGATTTTCACAGAGTTACTCACCAACTTGGGTCGTTATATCCAAGATGGCTGTAAAAGAGAACTCCTGACCCCGCGTAACGACAGTATCCGGTCTGTGGGGAATGTTTTAGTTCCGGAGGATTTAAAGAGACAAATGCTTTATTCTATGATCGTGACAACAATGTCCTCAACACAGACATACAGCCGTACACACTGTAAGTTTAACATAATACACTTATTGATACACTACAACGTTATATTATACATTTCTGGTGATAAAACTTGTCAATTTCACTGGGGTGTTGGAAGTAAATTAATAATTCAACAAATCAAGCCATTGTTTGTTATTATTTATAAGCCATGCTAAAAATTGCTATAATAATGTTCCTTCAGGTTTATATAGTGTGATGTTTTATTCTGGTATAAAGTCAGGTTTTTTTTAGCTGTATAACTGAAGATGGTATGTCAAATTGTGTTGTTGCAGGTTTTAAATAAAATATTTAACTAGTTATATTAACCTAATTATATTACAATGCTTCCTCCTAATTTAAAATCACCCACAAACAATGACAAAAATATCAAAACCTTTATTATACAGTTAAGACTCTACAAAACATCTGAAGATTTGTGACGAAACATGAATGCCTTGTGGATCAAGGCATTGATCCACAAGGCATTCATGGCAGGCATTGTCAGGTCAAAATTCTTTCTGCAGATCTAAAAGAGATAAGATCGATAAATACACTTAATTTTCAACATATTTCCTTTTCCTGTTATTACTCACCACTCTTTCTGAGAAGCTCTCCTTTCCACGACCTCGCCACACCATCAAGGAACTGGTCAAAATACTTCACATATTTTGCGAGGCTTGTTCTTTTATAATCTGTAAAAGAAAAAATAATACTGAGGGTCAATCCAACCTCAGGAGAACTCAAGGATATCATCTTGGTCAGAAACCAGCCAATTATGTAGTTTAGACCTCTCACCACACGTTTAATGAAATTCAATTATTTATTTATTTTTAAAAGCGATATTGAGCAGAGACAGCAGAGGAACAGATAAGAATGGAGGTACAACTCTCCCTCACACAGAGCACTGCATAGACACTACACACTCACAGACTCGCAGGTGGGAAGGTGGTGGGAGGTCAAACTAAACTCAATACCTCTAATCTTCCGCCTCTCGGTTGCATCTTTTTCATTTTCCTTGTCATCCACTTTTTCCTCTACTTCTCCTGGTATGGGACGATCAAGCTCCTCACAAATTAAACTATGGAAAAAAAACGTGTACACTAAAGGGCAGAACATTGGATTAACACATATCAAAATCATGAGAAAATTTGTTGCTATGGCCTTCAACATGAAAAAAAAAACTATCTCCAGGACTTAGGCCTGTAGAGTAGGGGTGCCCAAACCTTTAGGTAAATCTAGGGCCACTTTAATTCTCCAGACTTGTCTAAGGGCTGACAACACAGGTTATAAAACTGTTTTGACTGGATTTGGAGTGTTCTGGGCTTTAAAATGTCCATAATGATTCACACTACAGCCACATAACTCACACACATACACACTTTTGTGCCACAATCAAATACAAATGTCAATAGACAAATGTCCATGTATACAAATAAAGTTAACTGGATTCCAAAAGGTTTTACAACTATGTATCAAATCCAAATCCACTTTATTCATATGGAACAAAGTATAAATGGCTACTTTGTGTCAGCAGCAGAGGGCCACATTAAATAAAACAGCAGGCCGCATGTGGACACCGCATGTGCTGTAGAGTTTGTGTCTGTGTCCCATAGTTTGGACACCCCTGCTGTAGAGTTTGTGTCTGTGTGTGCCATAGCCTGGACACCCCTGCTGTAGAGTTTGTGTCTGTGTGTGCCATAGTTTGGACACCCCTGCTGTAGAGTTTGTGTCTGTGTGTGCCATAGCCTGGACACCCCTGCTGTAGAGTTTGTGTCTGTGTGTGCCATAGCCTGGACACCCCTGCTGTAGAGTTTGTGTCTGTGTGTGCCATAGTTTGGACACCCCTGCTGTAGAGTTTGTGTCTGTGTGTGCCATAGCCTGGACACCCCTGCTGTAGAGTTTGTGTCTGTGTGTGCCATAGTTTGGACACCCCTGCTGTAGAGTTTGTGTCTGTGTGTGCCATAGTTTGGACACCCCTGCTGTAGAGTTTGTGTCTGCCATAGTTTGGACACCCCTGCTGTAGAGTTTGTGTCTGTGTGTGCCATAGTTTGGACACCCCTGCTGTAGAGTTTGTCTGTGTGTGCCATAGTTTGGACACCCCTGCTGTAGAGTTTGTGTCTGTGTGTGCCATAGTTTGGACACCCCTGCTGTAGAGTTTGTGTCTGCCATAGTTTGGACACCCCTGCTGTAGAGTTTGTGTCTGTGTGTGCCATAGTTTGGACACCCCTGCTGTAGAGTGTACGCTATGCTTGTTCTTGCAATAGTCCACCATACCACATGTGCCTACCTGATTGTGGGTACAGCAAATGGATCAAATTTCTCCAACTCCTTCAGGTCAATAGGTACAGAAATACGACCTAATACAAATAAATGAAAGGTATTTAGTAATATAGAGTTTTACAATCTGTTGCATAAAATCTATTCCAAACCTGTTTTTGGATGCACACTAAACGGGCTCTTCAGTAAATGGTTGACGCCTTTACTGACGTTGACATCGAGTCGTGGGTAGCAATACTGCAGCATTATTTCTTTTTCAAAGTGATGGCCTTTCTTGTTGGTAGCCTGTAGAAGAGTTTGATTTTCAGATCTCCACATAAGAACAATTATCCATAAACAAACACAGACTGTTTGTGGGTTTTACCTGTTTTTTGAGAGCTTGGTCTTTTATCAATTTCCAGCGGATTTCTGGTTTCTTCTCATTTTGAAAGTCCTGTTGTAATTCTTTTCTTACATGTATGAAGTGGGTCAAGGAGAGGGTTAAATGAAAAAACATGGTAACGTTGATTACCTTAAGCTAGAATATGATACAGAAACAACATTTATAGAGCACATTTTAGAAATTCTACAAAAGGATATCTTCAGGCACAAGGGCCAGAACTTTGTCTAATGTCTCTTTACGACTGAGGATTTCTTGATCGTGTAAAGCGTATCGGGTGAAGTATCGCTCCACCACCAAAAGGGACTCCCTGAGAACAAAATAACAACACTTTAGTTCTGAAACCAAAATATAACACAAAGAAATCTGTTGACAAAAGTGTGAAGGCATACTTGATGAACGGGTGAATTGGGTCAGACAGAATCACCTTTTTCAGAGTTTCTTCTCCCCCCTGTAACACACAAAATAATATGAAAATAACAAATATGAGAAAGCTCAGTTAAAAACAATCTGGCTTTAATATAAAGTATAATATTACATACCAGAAATATAGCATAAGGGAGTCAAGAACACAGTGACAATGCAACTTTTTCTCATTTGACAAATAATGGAAACACAGAATCCATTTTCATACCATACACAATGTTGAAATTAGTAATAATTTATTCAGCGTTATTTAAAGTAGCAATATGTAAGATTTTCATGTCAATTCATCATTAAATTGCCCTAATATGAAAAGGCATTCATAATGTTTTTAGGATGATACATTTTATTTTTGCTGCTACTGGACACCTGAATTTCTCCTACGGGGATCAATAAAGTAAAATCTATCTATCTCTCTATAAACCATGCTCTTTTCGAATACTTCTTCAACTGATATCAGTAGTTCAGCCGAGATATTTGAATTTCCAAATTAGTTTTACAGTTCCTAAATCTTGCTATTGTTTTCATTTCTATGTCCCGCCCTCCACCGTTTTTACAAATCAGAAAGTCAGTGATCCGGGTTGCCAGAACTCACCGTGTTGAGCTAATCTCACTGGTAAAGTAACATGTGGCATTATTATGTCTCATTATGATTCTCAAATCATTAATGACAAAACAATAAGTAAAACGAGGATTTCTATCGGGCCTTTTTCACAAAGGCCTGATAGAAATCCAGGGTATGTGAAAGGCCATTAGCTGACATGATGGCCTTTCACATACCCTGTGGCTGTAGATTTGTTGTTGACAAAATTCTTGTCTATTGAACGATTGTAGTCCCCGCTGGATTCTTCTGCATATCTGGCAACCTGAGTCAGGGAGAGTGCAGTGCCACTTTTAGCCAAATTCTTAAATACTGCTCCTTTAACATAAAAAACCAAAATCCCTCCATAAATCTGACTTAAAGCTGCACAGGTCTAGACAAGCTGCACGGGTCTAAACAAGGGCCTGTTTTCGTCACTTTGCCACTATCTGCAAAACACGCTGTAGAAGACCCATTCCATTGGCTTCACAGCAGTTCATGTTATTACAACAATTATTGATCAGAGAGGCTTCATTCCACTGTTAGCCCTAAGAATGAGTTCTATCACACTACACAATCACAATGATAACTTTACTCTTTGCATTTTAAATCATTTCTGTTGGATTGCCATATTAGTACAGTCTGAGGTAGCTTGGTTTACCTTGACCAGACTGAGGTACTCGGCCACTGCAGAGCGAGCCGTCACAGACAGTTTCCGAGCCGCCTCATCACAAACCCAACAGTGGATCCCTCTCCTTCCAGAGTAAACCCACAGCAGGTGCTGGAAGCCAAAGTCCTCTGGAAATATCACAAAGCTCCATCAGTAAACACTGTTGTATGGAAGTATTCTCGTACTGTACATAAATGTATTACTCAATTGTATAAATATTATTGACTATGAATTGATGAGAACAGATGAGTGACGACTCGCACACCTCGCAGAGCTCTGTCCAGAATACGGATGGCGATGGTCATTAACGTCCAGCACTTTGAGCAGATGTCTGCAGCACTGGTATGAAATCACAACATATTCAATATAGTCACAGACATTACATTACAGTTACTGTTACATGTAGGATTACATACATTACATTAACAATAAAAAAAAAATACAAGTTTGTAGTTCTACCTGCAGCAGCTTCGGACGTCGTCATAATCAGTCATATCTATATCAAACACCAGCTCTTTCTCCAGCGCCTGGAAGCTGCCAGACTTAACCGTGTTGTGCTGGTTTGGCTGTGGATCACAATATCACACATTACCAAGGAAACAACAGTCCCATGTCAAGAGCTGCAATATTATAAACGATTTTGATTATTCTTATTCATATCATAACATAACGTTTGTGTTATTATGTGAAGTGTTTGTCTTATCCTGGACCATGAGTCTGTAATAATAAAGGTTTGATGATAACATTTAGAATCATGGGAGACCTATTGTGTGGAGCAGAATCAGTACAATACAAACATAATTGTATAATACAAATCACACAATTGTAAAGAAGATAAGAATAAATGAACACTATACAAGATTAGCTGACATGATGGCCTTTCACATACCCTGTGGCTGTACACGGCTCCAATGTCAATCTTGTATGGGTTCATCTTCTGCATTTCTTTCTCCAGCTCACTCTGTGTGGTGAAGGACTGGTATCGAACATAGATGTCATCTTTGAGGGTGAAGGAAAACTCTCGATTCTGGAAATAATTCTTATGGACTGTAAACACACAAACACACCCAAACAAGATATTAGTATGAAGACAAAATTCAATTGGACATGATGGTGATTCTAACAACCGCCATCATGTGATCTGCAGATTAGGATGCCCAAATAACTAGTTCACAAATTCAAGTTTCACTCAGGGCCCCTTTAGTTCACCAGAATGTTTCAGACACCACAAATTGAACAACTGTTTTATTGGATGTCAGGCTGTTGAACTTTAAAATAAGGTGTGGCATCGGAGATGAAGTTGGCTGAATGACACATTTTTACTTTCTCATCAGATGCCTTAGTGCCATAGACAAGATTGTGACAAAATCAAAAACAAATGTTAATGCAATTAAAGTCAATTAGTAGATTTCAGAAGTTCTGAGTTTACGAGGTATAGCATTGCCTGTATTGGTGGAGCTGAAGTTGCTTGGATGACAATGGTGATCTCAAGTTATTGACTCAAAAGTCAATAACTTGTATTTCCTTCAGTCTTAAAACAATTAAGTAGAGAATGAAAACATGAACGTCACTTGACACTTACTAATCATAATCTTTATTTATTACGGTTTTCCATTTCACATAACTCTAGATTATTTATGATTCTGTCTAGTATAAATAGTTGAGCACATACACAGCATGTTGTTTGTGGATGTCAGACTCACCTCCTCCATAGTGAAGCCAGCGATAGTACTGCGCAAAGGGGAACAGGCGCCGATAGTACAGCGGGAGTAGGTCCGGAAGAGACGCCTGGTCATAATCTGAAACTGGCATGTCTTAAACTAAGGTAAAACAACCCTTATACAACCGACATATAAAAGAAACCAGAGGCTGACAGTCTGGAGCTGCTCTGTTTTGCTACGACGCGGGAAAAGACTGAGGAAGAGAACAAGCCAATCAAATGTCGTGACGTCAGAAAAACGGAAATGGATTAAAAATTATAAAAGATGTCTAGTGGACTTCGTCTATAGAGCCATGTAATATCTCATGTCAGCAATATTTCAATAGTTCTTTAATTGTACATGATAGAGATTCAGTATATTTTCTGTTCTGTTTCTCCCCCACGATGATGTACCTCTGCCTCTCATCCATTAGAGGGCCCCGTGCAGTGTCAGCCATGGACAGTCCTTTCTCCCTTCTACCACGAGGTGGCGGTGTTTTACAATTCTATTCATCACCCAATATGTTTATGTTTGTTTATCTATATTCATGATTTCACGTTCTAAAAATATTACAAATTCATCATCATTACGTTTAATTACCAAAATGAAGACAGAATGCATAATATTCCAGGTAAAACATCTCTAAGCAGACAGATGTGAGGGCTGGATCTCGTAACAGCTTCTCCAAAAGTTGTGCCTTTCTTTTTATTTTTTCCAATAAAACCAGAAACCACCCATTCTGACCTCTGTGTGTCTTATATCAGGCCTTTGACAAAGGCCTAATATTGTGCCTATACAGTAATTGTTCACTGGATGATTACATTAAAACAGTTACTGTACTGTACTTTATCTTTTCAGCATTCTTCATTAAGATGATGATGCACGTCCTCAGGTTCCTGATTCGCCTAATTTGATGTAGCAAATATTCATGTCTTTTGTTTTCTTGATAAATACAGGAGGAGGTCAACTCGATAATGCTAAAATGATACTTCATACACAAACCATGATGTCATTTTAATGATTTTTCCCTCCTATACATTTGTTTCATATATTTTTGTAGACTAGTTTCGTCGTCTAACAGTTTAAGTCCAGGACAGTTGTAGGTTGCAATCATTCATATGGAACTGATGAATATTGCCAAAATGATCTGCATGGTGGCGCTTCTACACAATTCAGGCTACAGGACTCATATATTCAGAGAGTTTCAGAGAGCTAGTTTTGGTTTCTTTTGTGATATATCTTTTGTTTCTAACTCAAATGATTTGATGCCATTGAGGACGATGCTCTTGTTTGGTCTGCTATGTTAAATCTGTGGCTTCAGTGTGAGCACAGATCTCCTCGTGCTTCACTCATGGTCTGATCATTGACACTAAGATTATTTTACAGTTTATCTATGAAGCCACAAAGCCATCTGCCCTCTTCTGTTCTGCCTGCAGGCAGCGCTGATTGTGACAGGCCACAGATTTCACAATATTATTTTTAGATTGGCCCATACCAGATATATTTGCCATATCATTAGTACACCATTTGCAGCAGTCATTATGCTTTTCGTTATGTCTATGAGATTTGCAGTCTGACTGAATACTGAAATATGCAACACGCTTTTTTGGCTCTTTAATGGAACCTAAAATAATAGAATTACTTATTAGTCATCATCTGGTACACATGAAATACATGTGGATCTAATTAAATTGATAATGGCTTTGATAGCCTGTGGATAAAAGTGCTGTCAACATATGGTCTATAACCAAAATAAAAGCTTTTTATAAACTAATTGTGTACATGATTTCTTATACTTGAATATATACAGTAAATTGTACATTTATATTTGTATATGTATATGTATATGTATTTGTTATTTAATATGGGGCCACTACAAGTATATTCCCATGTGTATCATGTGCAATTATAACAATAAAATTGTGGTTTTGTCCCTCATCTCTGTTCTTCTAATCATCGTTCTTTCTTAAGGTTGGTAGTTCACATCCTGCTGATACACAATCCCTGGAGCTCAGACAGACTCCAAGCTGTCATTTGTGTTAAATGCACAATGTGCACAATGCTATGTAGAAGAACTGGGCGAGAGAAACTCCTGATCAGGGTCAGAACACCTTTATTGACAACAAATAGTTTCTTCACGCATTATCTAAAAGTTTGCGTTATCGTTCTTGATCTCTGAAATATGTCCCCAAAAACCCAAACAATAAAGTTGCGCTATAGTTAATATTCATTTATCTCGTGTTGGTGTTTGATGCAACACTGAAGTTTCCCCACTGTGGGAAAAAATAAATGATCTTATTTATCCCCCCCCCCCCCCTTCTCTCCTCGCGCTGCTCTCTCATTGGTCAAACGGCTCTATATAACGGCCCGCAGTGGCTCCTTACACATTCTAACCTCACCACACATCATCCTGCAGCATCAACCCAACTTATCTGCGCATTCCTTTTACTCCACCATTTTTGTTTCTTTTTCGTCTTCACTTTTTATATTGTCTCCCTCCCAACATGAAGGAGCGCAGACTGACTCAGCCCTTCGTATCGCGGTGTAAACTGGTTCTGGTCGGAGATGTCCAATGCGGAAAAACTGCGATGTTACAAGTGTTGGCCAAGGACTATTTTCCAGAGGTATGCTGCTCTTGTAAACGACTACACCATGTAAATTATACGTACTTATAACAGACACACACAGCACGAATAGATACATTTAGTTGGAACGCACTGGTTTCTATGTTTTTTTAATTACTATTTTAATACCTATGTTATTATCATTATTATTGTTGTTATTATTACATCTCTTTTCCAAACATTAGACAAAGTTTGGCACTGCCCAGAAGGCTGTTGAATGAAGCATCACTTTCAATTAGTTATTTTTTGGGTTTTATTTTGAGAGAATTGCGCTTTAAATTGGTCATTGATGATTATGTTTGTGATTGATTGTTTTCTGTCTTCTTTGCAGACGTATGTCCCCACTGTGTTTGAGAATTACTCCTCCTGTTTGGACCTGGAGGAGCAGAGAGTGGAGCTCAGCTTGTGGGACACGTCTGGTGAGTTTTCATGCAGTACTAAACACTTTTATAAATGTTATTTTGTAAGTGGATGTATGCTATAAGTAAAGGTATAGAAGGATTTCCCCAAATTCTAGGAATGAACCGCCCTCTCCACTTTTTAAACACATCTTTCTGGTCTTATTTGACGAGGATGTACCACCAGAATGATTGACAATTGAGAGGACCTATATTCTTGATGATCCACCCAGAAGTAGAAAATCCTCATACATACATTTAAGTCAGCTGATATGAAAAGTGTATATTAATTGTATATTGATGCTGGTGAACTTAAAACATGCATTACTTCTTTCCAAAAAAGAAAGCTTTAACCAAACAACATGGAAATCTATTGACAAAATGTAGACAGATAATATAGTCACTAAACCTCATTGGTTAAGATAAAGGTAAAGGTATTGGTCAATTTATAGTTTCATCAAAAACACACTTGCACAACCTGTTTAAAACTATGAATTATCATCATTATTTAACCACAAGAAAGGGGTTTTATGTATTATGCCAAAACAGTGTTGCTGAATACTTTGTCATATGATATCAGCAATTACGCACACAAATTTAACTAAAATCAGAAAACAATTCGAGATAAGATAGACTCTCACAATGGAGACCGCAATCCACAATTGTAGCGGGATACATTTTCTGTCTTTTTGTTGTTTTTTCCCAGTTTATTTCTTGATTTCCTCTTGGAGCTTCCATACAATGTTTCTCATACATGAGTTGTTGCAAAAGTCTCTATACTACTTTGAAGGGACAGGGACCAGGTTCTGACTTTGACCCAGGGTAAAACCTGTTTGCTGAGAGCTCTTTGGCCTCGCTCTGTGTCGGTCACTGTAATGAACCTCTCTGACCTGTTGTGGTGTTTACACAGACAACATGATCTGTCAATCTCGTTATGATTATATTAAAAGGTGTGAAACTTAACAAGATTTTCTGGCAGCAGACATGCAAATAAGCTCCTCTTACAACTGATAGTGAAGCGGAGACCAAATGGTGCTGACAAAACATTCTCTCACACTGACTTTATAAAGAATATATGTTAAAGAAAAAGGCACTCTATTCGGAAACACACTTTAAAACTGGTCAGTCCACAGCAGCCTTGTGACGCTTTCAAAGGCATCATGTAAATTTTCCTTAGCAATGTCAATATCAGCATTTACAGTAACACCAGATGCCCAAACTGCTTCACATGCACAAAAGCTATCAGAAAAAGAGCAGAAAAACACATAAATACATGTCAAATATAAAACAAAGAATTAAATTGGGGTTGAAAGTCAAGGCATAAAAATGTGTCTTTAGGTCAGATTTTAAAGTCTCCAATGATTGGGCTGCTCTAATGTACAGATGTTAACGGGTCCACAGTTTGGGAGCAGCAACAACTAAAGACTGGTCTCCACGAGTTTTGAGACGGGACCTGGGCACTTTCAACTGAAGCGGGTTTTCTGACCTCACTGATCAGACAGGAGCAGAAAAAGATACTAGTTCTGTCCAATATATACAGGGCATGCACTCAAACTTCGGACCAGTAACCGTAAATACAATTGCTATCACATATTTTGTACAAGCACACTTTTGGCCAATGTAATCACACACCTGTTTCATAAATATGTTTCCTGCTTTTGCATCATGTAACCAGACCAAACCAATACAACACACGCAGAAGGACTGTGTATTCATTGTGACCCAATAATGAGTGAGTCGCCCATTGTCTTCAAATACACACATACATACTATACATACATACTGTACATACATTTCCCCCAAAATGCACCTGCTGGCCTTGTCTCAGTAGTATCCAATGTATAGGTGGTTACATGCCAGTAAAGTACAAACACTTTGATTTAGTTTTGGTAATCGGACTGGTGTCTTTGCAACTCAATCGGCACATGCGGTTTACATGCGTCTTCTACAACTGAATTAAATTTGGACCAGAGGAGTGATCCGTTTTTTCACAGGGCTTCTTAAGCTTGTGCTTTTCTACAGCAGAAAGGGAAAAACTCAGCCTATCAGCTCTCAGCTTTCAGAGTTTTGGACAAGTATACACAATATAAAATGTTTTGTATTAAGATGAAGACAACATTTTGGGGCCTGATAAACAACATAATACTTTTAAAGACTCATAAAACTAAATAAAATGTACTATTAACCAAAAAGGGTATCTTTTTAATCTAGTTAGGTATCCTTTAAGCGGATCTTCATACTGGAGGTTGTGCCATGTGAAACAAGGCTACTACTAGTATAGAGTTTTGGCACTTAATCATTGAGTTATGTAAAGCAGCATATTGCCTGTTGTAGACTTTGGTGGCTACGGGTCAGAGGAAGTAGCCTGTAGCCAGCTGCCTACAGGGGGCTCACAGCGGAGAGGGGGTTGCCCGGTCCATGCAGGGGTGGGGGCAGAATAGCTCTATGTGTCCGTGACCAGAAGGCACACACCAGACGAGCCGAGCAAAAAGATATGACCTCCACTCTGCCTTCTGCTGCCTGGAGATGAAGACGGCTTATGTAACAGATACTCACTTATAGTTGTGTTCTGCTTTCTCCCACCCAAAAAATGCACCTGGAGGTAAATTCACATAACCGGATGGCTATTTTTAGTTTAAAGGGTTGCACTGGGCTGAGGGAAAAGTGTGTCGACGTGTCTTTATGGTTGCAGAGACAGTGCCTTGGAAAAAAGTAGAGATTGGAAACGTATTGTTTTAGTCCTGAATAATATTAGTTATTTGTGTGAGAGAGCTTTTCCAATTAACCGCTCTTCTACAATTATTCCAAATTGCAATTCACAGATATTGCTGCAGTGGAATGTGGTGGCGTGTACCCATTCACTGGCTGGTTTACTCCACATGATGTTTTCCAAATGTTATAAAAAATAGTTCTTATATAATTACATGCAATTTGTTGACCTTTTAAGATGTATGGGTGTGCAAACATGCACACAAATGGCTTCATTGGTCATTTAAGACATGAAAAAACGACTACTACATTTTTTTTAGAACTAATCTCCCACCGGCGATCATCTATTCACCAAGTTATTATCAATCAATCAATTCAAACAAATATTTAACATAACTTTGTACTACATTACCTTTTACCTTTTAGACCCCCACCTACATTATTTTCTGCAGTGAAAGTAGGACCTGCTTTAATAAAAACAACTAAATTGAACAAAAAAGATCTTTCTTTCTTTCATCTTTCAAATCAAACAAAAACTCTAGTAGTGGACCGCAGTTCGCCAAACGGAGCTAGGATTTCACTTCCTCAGCAGAGCCCACACTAGCGGATCAAAAAAGCTTATCTTTATAGAGTAATCCTGGTTGCGCATATTGGCTAAAAGTGGCTGCTGTCATAAAAATAGAATGTTCTTGGGGTTTTGTGAGTGTTGTGTGTCTTTGTGTGTCTCTGTGTGCTGTGTCAGGAGCGGGGGGTGGTGTGTTGCGTTTCCCCAGCCTTACATCATCTGCCGCTCACTCACTCCTTCTCCAAAAGCATCAAGAAGTTTCGGTTGTATAAGTTGACCTATTTTACTGACTAGAACAGCACAGCGAGAAAGAACAGAAGGGTCTGTTTTTGGAGTGTTGCGAGAAAGAAAAAAAGGAGTGTGGAGGAATATTCACAGCTTTTTTCACTTTTGTACTGGCTTTATCATTCTGAGTAGATCACCGTGTATGCTGTAAAAATACCATCAATTACTCCATCACCATCCAACATTTACAAAACAACCATAATGTGTTTCCAATTACACTGTTTTCTCCATTGGGAAGAGATTTATACATTATTTTGATTATACTTTTTACACACTACAGCAACTTTTTGAGCTGACTTTTTGTTAATAAAACAAAACATATTGTATATGGGTTTATTGTTTATTTGTTTTATTGTTTTTTTCTATTCAGTTGTTTTGTTGCTGTTCCTTGTTCTTGTCTGACATGGCTCGAAATAAAAAGTATTCATTCATTCAACATGCCTCGCCAGCCAAAACAAAGTCAATGTAATTGAATTTTTTTTCAGGGGCACTGGAGATAGTTAGTGATCGAAGAGGCCAAAAACTGAGCCAATGTTTGTAGTAAAAGTTCAAATAATAAACTTAATTTAAATGCCTGACAGATACTGACTTTATATATGAGAATAATCACACACATCCTAAGAAAAGTTCTGGGAGAAACACGGACAACTAAAATAGCCACCTTGAAGTAGAGAATATAATAATACATAATAATCATACATTTTACATTTCAAGGAAACCTCAAAGTGCTACAACAGGTGCATAGAATCACATTAAAACAACAAGTGAACATTGACACACAATAAATTCATAAAAACAAGCATAAGAGAAAATATCTGAATCTGGCCTGTAATTGAATTTGATTATGACTGAAATACACCAAACTAAACTAATCAAATCAGATTGTATTTTCCATTTGCAGTAAAACCACATTGGAATATGAGGTGTAAAACGAGGTCAAAAGTACAGAAAGAAAACAAGCTAAGGTACAGGAATAAAACAAACTAAATGTACAGGAATAAAACAAACTTATTTGCAGTAAATGATGTCCTGCATCTCGACGGACAATATCTTCTCCCAGAACGAAGAAGCTGGAACATGGCTTTTCCAGAAGAAGAGTTTAATTTAAGAGTCTGGATTCATAAAGAACCTACAGAACAGAAAGTTCTCAGTCCTAATCAGACTGTTTTTTTAGGCAAGGAATATACAATAAGTAGGACTGTGGTACGACACGAGGGCAGCTGAAGGGTCAACCCCTAAAATGTAATCGGGGCCTTCTACACTCCTTGAGCCTATAAATAAAAAGAATACTGGGTTAAAAACTGACATGTGCAGAAGCCTTCGTATTAAATCTATTTATGTGAATATTTGTCTCGCATTTGTAGCGGAAACATGTCGTCCAATGGCAAAAGCAGGAAGCAAACGTGTATGGGGGGGGTCATGTGGGAGAAGACATGGCATGAGCCGAACAATAAGAAGCGGACATCCTCAAGCCCCTTCTTCCTTTGAGCGATGCTTATTTTAGTGTTGCGTTTTGTGGAAATAACCTGTGGATTTCCTGGATAGTGTAACAGATAAGCCTGGGATAAAGTGAGAAAAATCAGAATAACCTCATAAGAATGTAGACAAGAAAGTGACTTGCATAATGGGAACTTTCACCCACTGTGTGCGTGTGTGTGTGAGAAGGCGGCAAGGCTCTGTTTGCTCTTATTGCTTTGGCACGGATCTATTTGGGAATGTGTTGCATCACTTTTGCTTTTAACACGCTTTGTCCGCACAGAAAGGCTATTTTATAATGAGTACAGTATGTGCGTATAAGGCTGTTAAAGGTGCAATATGAAACCGTGTCGCGGACGCCACCTGCTCGTCTTTAAAGAAGATGTTACGTGACCCCTGGCAACCCGCTTTTATCTGCGATATCTTTTTGTCCATATGTTGCTCTGTCGATAAAGAACATACAGTTATAGCTATTTATGTATGAACGTGTTTGTAGTTTTAATGCTGTTTTTACGTACTCTCATCAAGTTTGTAATATTGTATCTTGTCACCTGAAGTATAATAATACAGCAGTATCCAAAATCTATATACTATATTTAAGATGGAATAAAGAAGTTAGGGAAGTCTAAATGTGTTCAAATGAAGATACTTTTGGCCAAATTTGAGCTTATTTTTACTTTTTGCAGTCCTGACTTATATTGTGACCTGACCGCATCCAAAATAGAGTTTTATTCAGTAATCGGTGGTGAATTGCAGAATAAATACATGTTTTATAGTAAATACGTGTGTGCTGTGTCTTTTTGCAGGATCTCCGTACTACGACAACGTGCGGCCGTTATGTTACAACGACTCGGACGCAGTGCTCCTGTGTTTTGACATCAGCCGACCAGACACAGTGGACAGCGCGTTGAAGAAGGTGTGGATATACTTATTATTATCATTATTACTCACTGTTGCACTGGATATGACTTTGGATTATCTCACCACCTCTGCCAACAGTTATGCATACAGTTAAGAATTCTTTTACTGATGGCTCTCTTCTTTATTGTAACTTGTACACAATGTCATATGTCTTACCAAACATGTAGCACAACTGCGCCACCGTGAAATTATAACATACATATAACACAATTAGAAACATAGAATAATACATACTAAATTGGCTCGAACTTTAACCATAGACTGTAACTTTAACCATAGACTGTAACTTTAACCATAGACTGTAACTTTAACCATAAACTGTAACTTTGACCATATACTGTAACTTTGACCATATACTGTAACTTTGACCATAGACTGTAACTTTGACCATAGACTGTAACTTTGACCATAGACTGTAACTTTAACCATAGACTGTAACTTTAACCATAGACTGTAACTTTAACCATAGACTGTAACTTTGACCATATACTGTAACTTTGACCATATACTGTAACTTTGACCATAGACTGTAACTTTGACCATAGACTGTAACTTTGACCATAGACTGTAACTTTGACCATATACTGTAACTTTGACCATATACTGTAACTTTGACCACAGACTGTAACTTTCACATGTGGACTTGTGTAACGCTTTTCAAAATCAATACCAAATATTCAAATAGACATATCAGTCAAACGTATGGGAGTAAAATGACCATTGTTAATATAAATATCCTTTTATTGCAGTGGAAAACAGAGATCCAGGACTTTTGCCCAAACACACGGATCCTCCTCATCGGCTGTAAGACCGACCTGCGCACTGACGTCTGCACCCGCATCGAGCTGTCCAATCAGAAGCAAGCACCCATCTCTTATGAACAGGTAAGAGCCTAAACACTATGGTTTGTATTCAGGATAATTTATAAGAACTAAGATTGAATTATTAGATGGATTTAAAGAAGCTATACCCGATTTTTTTTCTAAGTAGTTCATAAAAATGCTTTTTACTACATACAAGTTGTATCATAATACATAATTTAATTGAAAACTTGAGGTAATTGATTCAGCTGTGTATGAAATTTATGCCGTGAAAAGTGCTGAGTAGAGTCTGAGCGGGACGCTCGTTCTCCTCCACTCACAGAACGAGCAGCGACCAGCCTGCGTCCTCTAGCCTCTACAGCGCTGCTTAACACCAGGGCTTCGACTTCAAAATTCGAATATAATTCTAAAATAAATAAAAAATATATTCGAACAAATATTAGACAGCCCTTATAATTCGAAATGTATTTAATGACTGCAAATAAAATAGTTAGCTCCCAAAAGTTTCACTAGGACGTGCTAGGCAGGTAACAGCTAAGCTAGCTAGCTGTTTCATGGTAACTTCCGGGTTTTTCGCGATCGCTTTTTGTCACTTTAAAACAGTATTTTTGTCATGAAAACGTTGACAGCAAATTCTGAAATCGTCCGTGCATGTGTGTTAAGGATGTACATGTATACTGTATTGTCTGATTAACGTTTAATGGTGTTGATTGATAGATATGTATTTGTTTATTGAGCGTGGCTAGCTCCGCTAGCTTCTCTACACAGACAAGTGTGCAGATAAACTGCACAATGTAGTGACAGGCGCTGATAGCTTGTACTTGTGGAGTAATGGCAGTATTTTACACACCTGAATCACAAACAGAGATTGCATTGCCAAAGGGCTGCGGTCATTATTGGTTTGAGAGTTCTGTTATCAAGAAAAAATGATCGGAAGAATTACATTCACGTCAATGGAGTGTTCTACTGCTGTGAGGAGTTGTATAATAAATTATAATTAAATATTAGAATATATTCTAATGTTTAAATGAATACATTCGGACACGAAACTAGCGGTATTCTTTTACTTATATATTGTGTTAGCAGTGCTTTGCTTTAGTGCCATTTCATCAGTGATTGTTGCACAGCTTACAAGAAGTTGCGCTAATGCTAATGTTAGCATACGTATCAGATCGCAAATAAAACTAGGTGGCTCCGTGTTATGAGAGCGTAGGGGAAATGAGAAGCCATTGAGCGAGTTGGGGGGCGGTGCTAAACATTCAAACATTGCAGAAACGGGTATAGCGCCTTTAATTGCACAGTTAAGATGGTATGAGAGCAAACACATATCTATAAGAGAGCCTAAAAACGTGTTGTGTTTTCTTATTTGTTTTTGTTGTTTTGTTTTTTTTTGTTTTTAGGTCTTTTTTATTTTTTATTTTTTTTAATTTCAGACACTCACCAGACATGTACACACAGGACACACAACACAACATAACGCAATGCCAAATCCCACCCACCAAGCAACCTCAAAACAAAATACACAAGCCCGTCGACAGATACAAAACTAACAGGCAAGACAAAATATATATATATATATATATAACTAAATAAACAACAACAAAAAATAAGAAAAACAAACCAAAGTAAAAACATAGAGACCAAACACACACAAGTCCCCGAGGCCTTCATCCACTTATCCATTCTCTCATTTCCCATTTTCTATGCGACATCAGACCCATTTCAACATCTTCCATTTTTTTTCGTGCACAATTATCCTTTTTGTGTTTGAAGCTATTATTTTTTCCATTTCATATTGTTGTTTCAGTTTATTTTTAAAGTTATTCAAACAGAGTTCTGTATTGGTTTTACATTTAAAGATAACAATTTTACCCATCAGGATGATTACATTCTCTACATTCGTTGAGTTGCTGTCCAAGATTCCCAACATTATATTCATGGGATTGATGTCAATCTCGATCCCTAATCCACACAACCATTTTTGGACCATCGTCCAGAAATAATGAAACATATGGGCAAAAATAAAATAGATGCATTAGGTCTTCCTCCTCCTCTTCACAGAATCTACACATGGGGCTTTTAATGATCTTACATAAATTCAGGTGATTTCATGTTGCTGTAATTTTATAGAATAGTTTTATTTGGAAAACCCTAGAGTAAGAATCTATGGCAGTTTTGTATATATTTTGGAAAAAATGTTTCCATAAAACCGGACAATTAAATTCATCTTCCCATGCAGTGCAGATTCTGTGAGGGTAAAAGGCTGTTCCAGACATACAAACATTATACCTGTACATATGTTTGTTTATCTTGTCCTCTAAGAATTTGTTGCATCTCACTCGTGGCAAACATACTAATAATTTGTCCTTGTCTTTCAGTGTTCTTTTCCATTTCAATGGGATTGCTGACAGCAGCTGATTGTACTTATATGGGTCCAAACAATATCCATAGTTTGTACAAAAATTAGAATGAGACAAAAAGTTTCCCGATGTGTCCATTAGATCATTGATAAACATAACTCCATTATTCAAACATGATTCCCATAGAAAAGGTTGCCCTTCGATTAGAACATTAGAATTCATCCAAAGCAATTGATTTTGACAATTTCTCTTATTTGTTATCTTATTTTGGTCCTGCTTCTTTTCATTCAATTGTCTTCAACACAAAATCACAATAGGGGAGAGGGGATGTCTCTTAATAACGCTATTTTAAGCCCTGTTTGCACTGTGTGAGGAGCGGGTCTGTCTCTAGTTGTGTGCGCCCATGCATTAGTAAACTCCGGGACGACTCTCATGCCGCACACACCACATATGCACGCACACTTGCACGCACGCACACACACACACACACACATTTCCCCCCTCTTCATACGTAACATCCAGACGCATCATCTCTTCCCTCTGTTACCGCCAAAGTTGCACACTGGCGCGGGTCAGAACTACATTGGAGCTTACATTTACACACACATACACATATACATACACACATACATGTATTGTACACACACACACGTACACACACACACACATACATGTATTGTACACAGTGTACACACATACATACCGGTCTATCGCGCTCCTCTGTGTCACGGAGCCCAAAGGATCCGTGCAAATACGCGGCTCCAGTCAAACCACATGGAACATGTTTGTGTTTATGGTCCTTTTCATCAGCTCCACACACATCACTGGTACTTAAACTTTAGCAAACACTTGCGAGACGCGGCTCGTCACTCACTGCTCTGACCATGTGGACGAGCCGTTGTTTGCTGCTAAAAAGTTTTGGTATTAACCCGCAGCACAGAAGAATGGGAAAATTAAAAAAGCAGTTTTCTGTGCGCAAAGGTGCCAGAGCTGTTGCGGGTTTTGACGCCGCTGTCTCGGCTCTGATCCAGTAGAACGCATCCGCACTTATGAAAAGTACGCGGCTCGAAATGGCTGTTATGTCAAAGAACGTGGAATATTTTAAACTACGCGGTTAACCGGTTTCAACCGGTTAATGAGGCTCGGTGGTTGGTCATGAAAATTCATAGTTTTTTACATCCCTAGTGTCTATGCATTTTGGTGGTCGATAGTTACTCCTTTTACTGTCAAACCAGAATTACAAACTTCTATGATATTACTGCAAGATTTGACTCTTTGAAGATTTCAGTATATTACATACTTTATGGAAATTACTGGTGTAACTTGTTAATATTGCGAAACAACTGTTGTAATAATTGTTTTTTCAGGGTACGTCATTGGCCAAACAGCTGGGAGCAGAGATCTACCTGGAGTGTTCGGCCTTCACATCAGAGAAGAGCATCCACAGTGTCTACCGGACCGCGGCTCAGGCCTGTATGAACAAACTTCCGGCGGCCCACAGACCCAGCCCAGTCCGCCGTCTCTCCAAAAGACTCCTCGCCAACAAATCCGAACTCCTCTCCTCATCTTTCAGCAAGGATCGCTCCAAAAGCTGCACCATAATGTGAAATCAACACCTTATATAGAAGTGCAGGGAAGTAAAGAACGCCTGTATTATCTGTGCTACGTTAAGTTTATTTATTGTACCGAGACGGGCAAAGAGAGGGACAAATACATTTCAATATAGCCCCAATTAATTAAATAAAAACCACATTTGCAGGCGCTGTTCTAATGAATAGTGTTTGCTGTTCTTATATTGGACTTGGAGTTGGTTGTAAGCAATGCATTCACAAGTAACAAAAAAGCATTTAGATTTGCAATGCAGCGCTGTTCTCTTTTGCCGTAAGCCCAAAGGTCACTGAGCTGTGGGGTGAAAATGAAATGCCAAAAGAGACATTGACAGAGTGGTGGATGATTGAGGGGTTAAAGAAATTATTCCTCCACTGAAGCCAGTGATGGGGATGGAGCGAGCAGAGTTGTGAAAGCAGTGGGAGGAAGAGGAGGAAGAGGAGGAGCAGATTGCATCCTGAAGGATCCGCACCGTGACTCAGCATTTGCACGAGCCTCAAGTCAAAACAAAAGAGCCACTGTGGAGACCGATCTGCATTCTATTTGTGTATAATGTGTTCTTGTGAGCGGGGCCGTCAGAACTGTTGTTCCCGGACACGAGAGACAGATGTGTGTCAATGTTCATGCTTTATTTTGTCTAACTTAACTTTGTGTTCTTAAGCTGAAGCGTCTGCAGAGGACACAGGCAGGTCCTGTATGAGGAGATTTACTCATGTTTTTGGGTTTATTCAGAGCAGGTAGTTGGATTATCAAAAGTCCAGTTGTATTTACCAAACCAAAATATGGAGTGGATTCAGCACTAAATACGCGGCTAAACTTGGACTAAATGAGGACGAACAGGCTCCAGTGGGAGTGCAGCCCAAGCCTCATGTTCCAAGTCGTGCAGTTGTTGCTTTTGTTGTATCTGGGAAAGTGTCTTTTATTGTTGACAGCGGCTCGTGAAGAGGCTGATGATTTGAAGGTCTCTTTGGATGCTCAGAACAGAAATTTAAGGGGTTGCTTGGCAACGGCAGCGCAGAGCAGCTCCTGTCTGCCAGGGCGCCTCGTGTTATAGCTCAGACCTCAGTGAAGGCGCGGGTCGGACAACAGCGAGAGGCTGCACAGTATATGAGTTTAACTCTTTGAACTGCACCAGCCGTGAGTGGGATGTTCATGCAAAGTTGCCTCAAAACACTTGTTTTACTCATTATACTGTGTATAGACCACAGTCAGATCTTCATTCTGATGCCCGTCCCAGCTGTCCTTATGCTATTTAAGTAAATTTAATGTACAGAATAAATGTATTTATGTATCTCCTCCAAAAGTCACCAGCAGAATATTACTGAAACTGGATAATATCTGTACAAAATGATTGAGTGTTGTTTGTTGTAATGTTACTTGAGTTTGTATGTTTATTTAAATAATAAAAAAAAAAATGCTCAGTTCATTTTTTCATTGTGCACCAGACTGTGTTTTATCACTCTAACCTACTTTTGTCACTGAGTCATGTGCACTGAACTGATTAGAGACCGGGTGATCTCGGGAATACTCACATCCAAGGTTAAAATATCCAGCTCCACTATCTCTTCTGCAATATCTGCTCAGTCAAGACAAAAGACTGTAGGTCTTTTATTTGTAGGTCAAGTGAGCCAGAGTGTGTGCTTGTGTGCGTGCACGCCTATGTGCACGCGTGTGTGTAGGGGTTGTTCTGTGGTCATGCTCTGACAGCGGTCCTATGTGACTGATGCACCACTGAAGCATACACAGAGCCTGGGGTAAATAGATTCACAATACTGTATGTTTATGTGTTAAACGAATTCCAATTAGTTTCTGACCCAGATTCAACAAATGTTTTAACAGAAAACAAAATGGGCAACATCCGTGTCCATCGTGCGACAAAATAAGGTTTAGGATTGATCTACTTCCATCCATCCGATCTACTTAAGGATTATAAATGCTCCAGTGGTTCAGAGCTCTCTTTTAGATAAATATTCAACCTTCATTACTCCAGACATTTTTGCTTTTGATAGATCTTTTTCTCTTACTGCATTCCTAAATGAATATCATGATGTTTACATTGTGATACTACTGTTCACCTATAGCTTTATAGTCATCAAATACATGCTTCTTTTTATCAAGAACTTTTTCAACTATTTGAGCCAATGGCTCAGTCTTGACAAAGTCAAAGTCAGCCTTTACCTCGGTGCATCAGGAGTTAGATTCTGACAGATATCAGTAAAAGGTAATTTTTTTCTATGTCGGAGACTGGCTGCTAAACAGAATAGGCCTACATACTGCCTTTACACAGTTTTCATTAAATGCAAAACTAAAAGGGAAATAACAACACAAGGCCTTTCTGAGTGGAGTTTGTATTTGTTTAATTCTGTCTTGTGTAAAATAAAACTAGTAGTTTAAAAAATACACAAGAATTATGAAGAGTTACCAAACTTATTATTTATATTTAAAGGAAACAAGCTAACATATTACCCATATTGTCTTAGAAATGAGTTATTAATGCCCTTTACTTGTATATCTGAGGTATTGATTTTGACAGCAAAACCTGCAGAAAAAGGCAATGAACATTCTCATAGTGGAGGTGTATTTCGGTGAAAGCATAAATGGTACCCTAAATCCTCATGGGGCAAAAGTGAGACTCTCACTTGGCTCACTCGGCTCTCCTTCATTTGTCAGACTTGAAAAAAGGAGAGGCGCATACCAACACATACACATATCCACTATATCACATGTCTCTGGCTGAGGGTGAGGCTGAGGCTGAGGCTGAGGCTGAGGGGTGTGGGGGGCAGTGCACTGTGAACCTCTGCTGCCTGGATACTGATGATGATGATCTGACACACATATGCACGCCTGAGCTTTACTCCGGCAGCTACAGACACCTGGCTCAGCTGGGCTCTGCTCACTGTGGCAAATGACAAATATATTCTGAAAATGTGCTCTCTAAAACTGTGCAATGCAATTTAATACTGCCGTGCTTCCCAACCTTTTTCTCCCGAAGCCTGGTCTCACATTTAATGACCAATACAGTTACCAACATTTAGCCTATTATGACAAGTTTATTGTCTTCAGTGTGGCTTCAGCATATCGACCTTTTTAGACCAGCCTTTTTCTGTATTCCATTACAATATGTTGAATTCTCATAGCACTTAAGTGAAATGGTGTGTGTACGTGCAAGATTTCCTTTTGGTGTGCACTAAAAGTATAGTTCTGTAAATAATTGAAAACATTTTATAATTTGATCTTTATGCTCGAGATATTGTCTTATCCTAAAAGCTTATACACCATAACAATTTGACCAGATGGGATCTGTATCATTTTGTATAATATAATCAAACAGAGCCCTGGGGATGGATTTTCATTAATATTAACGACAGCGGTCTAAGCCCAATCAGCCAAAAACATTAAAAAAAACATGTATGGATTAACATACACATTAACATAAACATAGACGAATAGTGTGGACATTCTCGTGTTATTCTATGCTCTGGCTTTGTGCATGTGATGGTTTATGAATGTGTGTCGGTCGCTGTGGTGTATACTAAACAGCTCAGTCTGCTCCTCTGCTCCCGGTGCAGGAGACAAGGTCTTGTTAGAACCAGGCACTCCTGCATGGTTACCCCTGCTTCAGCTCTGGGGCACCTTGGCTTAGGACTGGGGCCATGGTTCCTTCATATCAGATTAGTATTTCTCCTTATTTTATACATAAAGTCTGCTGAGATGTTTTCTTGAAAATGTACTGCACTCTATTCCACTGGATAACAGGCAGTCAGAGTATTGTATGTTACAGGGGAAGCGGCAGGAGTTAGAGGTACAAAAGAAATTGATAATAATTGGCAGTGATGTGACAAAAGGCCCCGCAAATACAGTGCACTATGAACTATAACAATCAACATTTAAATTACATGAAAATGACTGCATTCATGTGACACATGTGACGTTTGCATCAAATGGAGCTGGAAATACAAGTCTCTAATATGTGATAGGATGTGATGTCACATTGAAGGCTTATTTCAAATTCAGAATCTATCTATAAAACAAAAACTGTCACGAAGTTCAGAGTTATCTCTGCTGGAGCACTTTATCCATCCGGGCTAAAAGTGGTGTCTCAAGTTCCAAAGACAAAGATTAAGGGCTGTATATGTGACTCACTTTTGATATTCAAACACATGTCCCTAAGTGTCACATGTTGTATCTGAATAAGTATTTAATGTATAACAACTAACCCCACATTCTCCTACAATGTACACATTTCTGAAATCTGTTCTCGTTGACTTTATCTGCCCCCGAGTCTGGGGGAGGGGTGCCATTACAGAATGGCTGACTACAGCATGGTTAAAAAAGGTATACTTTATTGTTCCCAAGACACTTCACTCTGAATCTGGGGTGTGTGTTTGTGTGTGTGTGTGTGTGTGTTTGTGTGTGTGTGTGTGTGTGTGTGTTTGTGTGTGTGTGTGTGTGTGTGCGTGTGTGCGTGCGTGTGCGTGTGTGTGTGTGAGGGTCCAATGCCGCAGATTGGCAATCTCACTTCTGGCTGCACAAATGGCTGACTGTCAGGAGGTGAATGAACAATGCAAAAATCAATTCTTTAAATTAGAATGAGAACAACTGTTGTGCTAAAACGTTATTATGAACAGCATTATTTCCTTTTTATACAGACCTGTGGTTTGTTTTAAGTACTCTGCATGTTTTGTCCCGCCTGGTGGTACCTCCTGATTCAGGCAAGCAAAGTTTCCACTCATTATGAACATCCTCTAAAACGTTTCCAATGATGTGTGTTTGACTTCATGTTCATGTCAGTATTGAACTATAGTAATTTTGAGAATCTATAACCACACATCCTTGTTATATAAGTACATAGCATTCCTCAAAAGGTCTGCACACAGCTGACTGGGAAACACAAACTAACTGTGTAACTATTTTACTGTTATGCAACAATATGCTCATTCCATTCTGTGAGATTTGAGACTTGTTACAACACTGGAATTGAATTCAATCAAATATAACATTGTGTTCTGTGTAATATCTCCTCATGTTGATCCGTGACTGAGGAAGATATCTCTAGATTACCACTGGTGTTCTGTATCTCGATAAACTTTTCACTTTTACAATTACATCACTGTTCCTGTCAGACGTCATCACCACATGATTTCTACTTTTTCAGGACTGAATGTGAATCGATTTAAAGGAATGATATTCTACAGTACAACATTTGAGTAAGTTGCTGTTCAGAGTTCATGCCTTGATCTAAATATATCTTTTCAATGACATAATAAATGATCAATAATGACCTCATGTGTCCTCTCGACATTAGGTAAGTTAACACTTCACAGTTACACAATGCAGCAGTGACCAACTTGTGTTCAATCATTATCATTATCTGGTGATGCTCTACTGACCCGACTTTATTGATCCCCTGTTGAAATGTAATAGAAATAAGTAAGTAATATTCTAAGACAGAACATTCCACATTCAAAGAACAGTATAATTTGAATTTCCAATTTGTTTGGCAATCTTCATTTGTCAGAATTTCAAATCCCCAAGGATATGGGCAACAAGCATGAGAATCCACAATGCAGGTCACATCTGTGGAGTAAAAATATCTGCTAAGTACAAATGCAAAGAAGGTGATGGTTCGCTGAGGTTGATCAACATTACAACTATTTGTGTCATACGCACTTCTTATGACATGTTGTTGTTATTGTTGATGTAATGATAAAAATGTCAAACAAATTGGGGATTGTGATTTAAGTAAACTAAAGCCAACAAGAGAGGCCCTTTGAGCTCCACTGTGATGTCAACAATAATGATAATCATACGCTTCATATTTTTTATACATCTGAAAACATTCCGTCTATGTACCATGGTTTAAAAGATAAATAGGTTGTTCTGAATCTCTATCTATTTTCCACGTGTATACCGCATCTCTTTTGTATTTTTTATACCTTGATCTTTGATGTTGTTGGAGTGGTTTCACCTTCAGAAGGGCTCCATAAATCTCTCTTGATCTCTGGTGGATAAAACACAAGTGCAGAATAAGAATCAGCTCTGAGTCTGAGCTGGAGTCAAAACCAGGGCTTTTCTTATCGCTCTGTGAGGATGTTCACAGCATGGTGTTTCATTAATAAGCACAGAGGGCATTTTGAGTTTCAACAATATACGTCTACCTCTCTTCTGGGTGGGGACAGTAGTCATTATTTTATACAAGCCTTTAACAGTTGTTGTAGATTGTATTAGTCTACAATTGTTGATTCCTGAAATAGTCCTGTAACAATACATAATATTGAAAAATGCCAGACCACATTATTAGCATTATTAATTTAACTTTCCCTGCCTCACCTGAAACAAACCACTTAAAACTAGCCTATCGCTAGCTTTCAGAATAATGAAAATTTTTAATAATTGTGACAAAAAGAAAAATCAAGATTATTAATGGAAATTTTTGGAGGTTAGTGTCATGTCATGTCATTTTCTACCCCTTTATTATTCCATTTCTGGGTGGGGGGTAATAAGAGCTGCCTCAATGCACCAGTCCCTCTGATCCTCCTGCAGGTGGTGAGCCCACGGGACGATGGCTCCTCCATGATCGAAGACATGGCCTTGGTCTTTCAGCGGGGGCCTCAAGCAATGTGGGGTTAAGTGTCTTGCTCAGGGACACAACTACAGCACACATCAGTGGGAGCAGGTGACATGGGTCATGGTGGATTTGAACCCACGCCCATTAGGTCCGAAGACCAGTGCTCTACCAACTGAGTTACTGTCGCCCCAGTTTTTGGAGGTTTATGAATATTCAAAAGACAAATTGTAATTAATCATACCTCATCTGCGTATTCTAGTTTATAAAATTAAATATTAAAAATAAGTAACTACATTTTCCATATACAAAAATAGATCACAATGTACTGCAAATATAAAGGATCTCAACTTTTATGTTTAATTTGCTCACGACTGCCATCTTGCGTTTAATCTTTCTCATAAGAATACAAACGATACAAACACATATATTTTAAACAGGCATTACTCAGGCACTTCTGGCCTAAACATTAGGGTCCTCTCCTCTCGATAGAGCATGCTGGGTAATGTAGTTTATAAAGTGCCACACTCACGGCTTTACGACACTACCTACTACATGTACCACAAACCCCCGCGAGCTGAACCAATATGGAATCTTCGTGAATCGTAAACACGTCGCATCAAGTTTTAGTTATTGAGCCGAGATCTTAAAGTAAGCACCTTTTTGATCAAACTTTAAGAGTTATAAATGTGTTTACATTTTGGAATATATGTTTTGCATTTGTTTGTGTGTCTTAAACTGTGGCAAATGTCTGTATTAGAACACAGAGTTGACCGCGTTGCTAACTTGTTAGCTAGCATCACTGCATTCATTTTACAAGTCTGTTATGATCATGCTATTTACTCACTGTGTCTTAGAAACAAGGTAGCCCCAGAGTCTTTAAGTCATTAAAATGTATTAATTTGGATGTAACAAATTGTAAGACCTTAACGTCATATAATCTATATATATAAAACACTACATTTGAGAAATTGTGGCATTAAATATTGTACAACAGCATATTACTTGCGATAAACAAAAACAAAAAAACCTCTGATCATCACTCTGATGATGAACTCCGATGTTAGTTAGATTATTGATCTTTTGATATTGATAGATTTTAACTTTTCTTGTGGTAAGTATAAAAGCTCATATGTGGCTAAATGTGGTCGTTATATTTTGTGACAAGTGGTAAAGGAAATCTACAAGGCCTTGAAAAGAAAGCAGCTGGATCAGTAAGTAGAGTTTGGAGAGTGAATTCACTATTAACATAGTTTTTTTATATTGTTGGCTATAAAAAAATCACCTAAAATGTGGCTTTGTTTATGGTGGCATTACATTCTGCCACTAGTATTTTAAAAGGGCCTTAAAACTGTCTTAAAGTGACATAACCAAACCTGGGGCTACGATGAGAGTCTGTCTTGAACATGTCATATCCACTAAATGTCACTTATAAAACGCTGTTTATATTATTTATGTAGATTACACAAACTAGAACTAGAAGTATGCATTCCTGTTTGTCTTGAATTGTCTTTATCTTGTCAAGGTTATACTTCATGATTGTATTCTATGCATAACCAATTATGGTTATACCTGTTTTTTAACAAGATGAAGACAGCATTTTTCAGTCTGATTTGACTTAAAATTACTTAGTCCAACTATAAACACATGGCATTTATGAGGCGCAGGTTGTTCGCTTTCCTGTTTCTCACATCTTATCTGAACTATACCAATTTACTATTTTACTAGGAACACATTTTATCGTAACTATGCCAATGTAATATTTTACATTATATTTTGTTGTACACCCACCAACATAAGGTAATAGTGTGATTTTTTTATTTTTGCTAGATGGCAGCCGATTCCAATGACAGAAAAGAAGCTGAGTCTTCTGGCTCCAAAGACCGGGAGCGGAAACGCAGTCCGCTTAGAGATCGGGACCGAGACCGCAAAGGGTCCCCATTACGAAAGAGGCATCGTTCACGTGAGCGCAACAGGTCCAAATCTGCAGAGAGGTAGGCTTGGATTTTTACACTTTTGTTTTGGTTCATTATATTTCCGGACAATAAGTCATTGGTCTTCTGCACATCAACCAAATACATGCTTTCGTTCATAATATCCACTTTGTACTTACAACCCAGCTGGCTGACTTTCCCAATACTTCTGTCCTGTCCTTTCATACCTTTCTTAAATCTGTTTGTTTCCTTATGCATGCTTGTCTGATACTGTGCGACAACTAGGGATGTAAAAAACTATGAATTTTCATGACCGACCACCGAGGCTCATTAACCGGTTGAAACCGGTTAACCGCGTAGTTTAAAATAGTCCACGTTCTTTGAAATAACAGCCATTTCGAGCCGCGTACTTTTCATAAGTGCAGCTCTGCGTTCTACTGGATCAGAGTTGAGACAGCGGCGCCCAAACCCGCAACAGCTCCGGCACCTTTGCGCACAGAGAACTGATTTTTTAATCTTCCCATTCTGCTGTGCTGCGGGTTAAAACCAAAACTTTCTAGCAGCAAACGACGGCTCGTTCACATGGTCAGAGCAGCGAGTGACGAGCCGCGTCTCACAGGTCTTCACAAAAGTTTAAATACAAGTGATGTGTGTGGAGCTGATCCCGAGGACCATAAACACAAACATGTTCCATGTGGTTTGACTGGAGCCGCGTATTTGCGCGAATCCTTTGGGCTCCGTGACACAGAGGAGCGCCACAGACCGGTATGTGTGTGTGTATGTGTGTGTGTATGTATATGTGTGTGTGTGTGTGTAAATGTAAGCTCCAATGTAGTTCTGACCCGCGCCAGTGTGCAACTTTTTGACGGTAACAGAGGGGAGAGATGATGCGTGTGGAGTGGATGTTACGTATGGAGAGGGGGAATGTGTGTGTGTGTGTGTGTGTGTGTGTGTGTGTGTGTGTGTGTGCATATGTGGCTCGTGCGGCGTGAGAGTCAGCCCGGAGTTTATAATACATTGGCGCACACAGCTAGATACAGACCCGCTCGTCACACCGTGCAAATAGGGCTTAAAATAGCGTTATTAAGAGACCTCCCCTCTCCGCTTTTTCTCTTTTTTAACCGACAGCTTTGACCGGTTAACGCTGTGACGGTCAACCACCGGTTAAACGGTCGCCGATTTACATCCCTAGCGACAACATGTCATTGTCTCAGTAATCATATCAGACTTTTATCACTAGTTCTAAATGTTATCTACACCAAACATTTCCACTTTTCCAGAGATCGACGAGGAAAAGACAAAGACAGAGAAAAGGACAGAGACCGGGGGCGCAAGGACAGAGATGCACATCGACGAAAAAAATCAAGGTGCAGTGACTTGGGTTATGTTTTATCTGATGGATGAATATAAAAATGTATTTTTCCTGTTTTTGTGGAGAAAAAAATACTTTTTTACACATTCAATTATGTTAACAGCATTCTGTTCTGTAGGACCGTTACTTGAAATCTTGAAATACTCCTGACCTGACTTGACCTTTTCTCGCTGACATGTTTCATTTTACAGAAGTCTATCGCCCAAATCCAAAGATGCCAAAATGAAGAGGGAGAAGGATATAAAGGGCGAGGAGGAAGACGACGACATAAAGAAGAAAGAAAAGGTACTGTCGGAATGTTAGACTGAAACACGCTCTGTTCAACATCTGAAATGTCATTTCTCTTTTCTTCAGTTCCAGCCACTTTCTTTAGAAGAACTTTTGGCAAAGAAAAAAGCAGAAGAGGAGGCAGAAGCTAAGGTAAAAGAGAAGACCAATGAGTTTATACGTTTGATTTATTGAAAGTAGATGTGTTGCTTGTCGGACGTTTGGTTAAAATTGTATTCCTTTTTAAATTGAATAGTTTTGCATTCATACTTTGGATTGCCTGAACATTTGATTGTTTGAATTATTTCTTCCCAGCGTTGTGTTGTAAGGGTTTCATGCTATATCAATGGCCCGCTAACGCCATTCCCAAAAACTCAATCAAATAGAAATAATATACAGTGCCTTACGAAAGTATTCGGCCCCCTTGAACCTTTCAACATTTCGCCACATTTCAGGCTTCAAACATAAAGATATAAAATTTTAATTTTTTGTCATGAATCAACAACAAGTGGGACACAATCGTGAAGTGGAACTAAATTTATTGGATAATTTAAACTTTTTTAACAAATAAAAAACTGAAAAGTGGGGCGTGCAATATTAATCGGCCCCTTTACTTTCAGTGCAGCAAACTCACTCCAGAAGTTCAGTGAGGATCCTTGAATGATACAATGTTGTCCTAAATGACTGATGATGATAAATAGAATGCACCTGTGTGTAATCAAGTCTCCGTATAAATGCACCTGCTCTTTGATAGTCGCAGGGTTCTATTTAAAGCGCAGAGAGAACCATGAAGACAAAGGAACACACCAGGCAGGTCCGAGATACTGTTGTGGAGAAGTTTAAAGCCGGATTTGGATACAAAAAGATTTCCCAAGCTTTAAACATCTCAAGGAGCACTGTGCAAGCAATTATATTGAAATGGAAGGAGTATCAGACCACTGCAAATCTACCAAGACCCGGCCGTCCCTCCAAACTTTCATCTCAAACAAGGAGAAGACTGATCAGAGATGCAGCCAAGAGGCCCATGATCGCTCTGGGTGAACTGCAGATAATTACAGCTGAGGTGGGAGAGTCTGTCCATAGGACAACAATAGTCGTGCACTGCACAAATCTGGCCTTTATGGAAGAGTGGCAAGAAGAAAGCCATTTCTCAAAGATATCCATAAAAAGTCTCGTTTAAAGTTTGCCACAAGCCACCTGGGAGACACACCAAACATGTGGAAGAAGGTGCTCTGGTCAGATGAAACCAAATTCAAACTTTTTGGCCACAATGCAAAACGATATGTTTGGCGTAAAAGCAACACAGCTCATCACCCTGAACACACCATCCCCACTGTCAAACATGGTGGTGGCAGCATCATGGTTTGGGCCTGCTTTTCTTCAGCAGGGACAGGGAAGATGGCTAAAATTGATGGGAAGATGGATGGAGCCAAATACAGGACCATTCTGGAAGAAAACCTGTTGGAGTCTGCAAAAGACCTGAGACTGGGACGGAGATTTATCTTCCAACAGGACAATGATCCAAAACATAAAGCCAAATCTACAATGGAATGGTTCACAAATAGACGTATCCAGGTGTTAGAATGGCCAAGTCAAAGTCCAGACCTGAATCCAATCGAGAATCTGTGGAAAGAGCTGAAGACTGCTGTTCACAAACGCTCTCCATCCAACCTCACTGAGCTCGAGCTGTTTTGCAAGGAAGAATGGGAAAAATTTCAGTCTCTCGATGTGCAAAACTGATAGAGACATACCCCAAGCGACTTGCAGCTGTAATTGCAGCAAAAGGTGGCGCTACAAAGTATTAGCGCAAAGGGGCCAAATAATATTGCACGCCCCACTTTTCAGTTTTTTATTTGTTAAAAAAGTTTAAATTATCCAATAAATTTTGTTCCACTTCACGATTGTGTCCCACTTGTTGTTGATTCTTGACACAAAAATTAATTTTTATATCTTTATGTTTGAAACCTGAAATGTGTGTTGAAAGGTTCAAGGGGGCCGTATACTTTCGCAAGGCACTGTATATTGATAGCAACGACTAAACATTCAAAATAAGACTTAATGATGACTCATGAGACTTTGCACAAAAGATGGATTGATTTATTGCTTAATTATCTGTTTTTTCAAATAGTAAGTCAAATCTTTGTGCATAGAGATCTTATCCAGTATATAAAACTATAATTTATAAAGTGGCTAGAAAATGTAAAAAAGTCACCAGTATTGGTTTCAGAGTAATGGTTTCTCCTTGTGTGCAGCCAAAGTTCTTGTCCAAAGCCGAACGAGAGGCCGAAGCGATAAAACGTCGAGAGCAACAGACGGAAGAAAGAAAAAAGATGATCGACGAGGAAAGGAAAAAGAGGAGAGTTTTTCAAGACATGGGCCGCAAAATGATGGGTGTGTGTCACTGTTATTGCTCTACGACAATGGTACTCTGGTTTATTAAACAATCGACCTGTTTTAACAGAGGATCCTCAGGAGAGAGAGCGGCGGGAGAGGAGAGAGCGCATGGAGCGAGAGAACAACGGCAACGAGGAGGATGATGGACGGCAGAAGCTCAGAGAGGAAAAGGACAAGGGCAAAGAACTTGTGGCCATTAAGGTAAAACTGTGACCAGTGTCAGAGTAAATGTGTCAAATATTTTTTTTTCCCAAACGGACACTTTTTATGTTTGTAGAATTGAAAACGCAGGTACTGTAAATATTGGGCCAAAATATCTAAAGTTATTAGCATTAGCATGTGTATGTAACCAAGGAAGTATGTTAAAAGTAAAGGTGTCCAGTATACATACAAGCATATATTTCTTATTTATTTAGCTAGATATAGAGATTTCATTGAATTTGATATGTTTTAAGTTGTGCTTTACTTAGTATTCACTTTGCTTGAGTTGTGTGCTCTTCATTCCTACTGTTCTGTATAGGATCTTGTAATGCAACACTGAAATTTCCCCTGTGTGGGATGAATAAAGGATCTGCTAATCTTATAATGAATAACACACCAAGCAATGGTGTTGTAGATAGACGTAGTAAAAGCTGTAATCATGAATGAGTGTATACATCAACAAAAAGGACAATTGTTTGTGGTCTTGGACATGTTTAAATTGTTTTTCTTTGATTGTAAAACTCTAAATTCCTTGTGTGTCGCTCACAGGAACGTTACCTCGGAGGAACGAAGAAGCGCAGACGAACTCGCCACTTAAACGACAGAAAGTTTGTGTTTGAATGGGACGCTTCCGAGGACACGTCTGTAGATTACAACCCGATGTGAGAGCGCACACGAGCCGTGCTGGATTCTCAACTCTGGCTCACAGCTCACATGTTTGTGTTTGTGTTTGTGTGCAGTTACAAAGAGAAGCACCAGGTTCAGTTGTACGGCCGAGGGTTCATCGCTGGCATCGACTTGAAGCAGCAGAAAAGGGATCAGTCTCATTTCTACGGCGACCTGATGGAGAACAGACGCACCATAGAGGAGAAGGAGCAAGAAGAGTACGTCTTGTTTCACTCTCATGAGCCCGAGCTGTGAACAGTTCTCTGCTGCGCTTCACAAACATTTGCATAATTAGTCTGACTAATATACATTCTATTTCTGTTCTTATTTATTGGCCGGTAGAATAGCAAGTGCAGAGTGCTCTTCAGCTGTAATTTAGATCTGTAAATGTTTTGTAACCGTTTTTTGAGATATTTTCAAGCTGCTCTCGGTGCCAAAACGTCTCAAATTAATTCAAATTTGTTTCTTGACATTTTAGAATCTTATTTATTTATTTCATTTTCTTATTAAAGGTATGCATTTGTCACTGGTCATGTGGAGGGCACATCCTTCAGAAGCCTCACACTCTGAGGGAACAAGAGAGATTTGGGCTCGTTCTAGTCATTGTTGCATGTTATAATATGTTTGTCAATTTTACTAGCTATTTAGTGTATTTTGACTATTGACCATTATTATCATACTGCTTTGATATTTGCTAAAGAAAACTGGAATTTCCTGACCAGACAAACTAACCTCAGAGTTGTCAGAAAGAATTAGTTGAAATCACAGGTACTTTCATCTCTAAAGCTCACAGCTGTATGCGTGCACGTTCTTAGGACGAGGCTGAAGAAGATGCGTAAGAAGGAGGCGAAGCAGCGGTGGGACGACCGACACTGGTCCCAGAAGAAACTGGACGAGATGACAGACAGAGACTGGCGTATCTTCAGAGAGGACTACAGCATCACCACCAAAGGAGGGAAGATCCCCAACCCCATCCGCACATGGAAGGAGTACGCTCTGCCCCCACACATCCTGGAGGTCATCGACAAGTGTGGATACAAGGTCTGTGTCCAGTGATCACTCACACTTCTGTATGTCTGAAATACTGGAAAATGACTCCATCAAATGTGAAGCTGGAACAGTAAATCTACTTTATTGTAATATGATCTTATTGTTACAATTTTAATAGATTTTTGACGTTTGTTTGTTTTTCTAAACCCCAGGATCCGACCCCGATCCAGCGGCAGGCCATCCCCATCGGGCTGCAGAACAGAGACATCATTGGAGTGGCTGAGACTGGCAGCGGTAAAACTGCTGCTTTCCTCATCCCACTGCTCGTCTGGATCACCACTCTGCCCAAGATCGACAGGTACGAACACCTATTCACTGAACGTTTATTTGTTGAGGTGACTGACGGGGATTTGCTGATTATTATTTTTTCTCGGTGGAATATGGCAAGAGCTCTGGTATGGACCATCTGCTCTACCTGGTGCACACTTTTGCACAGTTATTCCAATGTGGTTTTACTGCAAATAGTAAATAAACTGAATCTGATTTTGAATTGTATTATTTCGCACTAGTCAAAAGGCTGTTTGTGAATAAGTGAAATGAAAAATGAAAAATACTGCCCAGTGTGTGGCTGACGTCCCACTTCATTCAGAAATCAATCTAAATACACATGTCACCTTAGAAGTGTATGTCGATTTTTAGTATGCCTTACTCTATTCTTTACCTCTCTTCTTTGACTGTTGCACCGAGCTAAAGCAATTTTCTGGTCTGTGACTTTGTTTCTTACATGGGAATAAAAATGATTCTGATTCTGATGTGTAGAACTCGTGTTTTTAAACCTTTGGCAGTTGATTGGAGGTGCTTTCTTTCATTCTTATTGGTCAAATAAATTGTGTTATGTAAATTAGACAGGTTTACTCATTTACGGTGTCAATATTAATGCTAAACTCTTTACCGGCAATCTCCTACAAATGTTTATTCGTTAGCTTTAGCCTATATATAGACATGTATATATTTCTGTATTTTATGTGTTGTTATTGTTGCTGGGTTTTTTCACTTGTCTGTACAGCACCTTGGTAAGCCTGGACTGTTTTAAATGTGCTTTACAAATAAAGATGGATTGATTGATCGTCACTTTAGCACTTTTAACCCCCCCTCCTCGTGTCCCTGTTTGTGTAGAATTGAGGACTCCGACCAGGGCCCTTACGCTGTTATTTTGGCCCCCACTCGTGAGTTGGCTCAGCAGATCGAAGAAGAGACCATCAAGTTCGGGAAACCTCTGGGGATCCGCACCGTGGCCGTGATCGGAGGTATCTCCAGAGAGGACCAGGGCTTCAAGCTCCGAATGGGCTGCGAGGTACGAGGTCTGAGCAGGACATGTGTAGTGAGAAGGGAGCAACCGTCTGGTTTTGTTGTGCTTTTAAGTTCTGGTTTAAAAGTCGCATGTTTTCTAATGGATATCTGTATCTGAATGTGCAGGAGAATCGAGAATCTCAGAGTTACACAACATAAAAAATCTAGGTTAATATTAAATAAAAGTAGCTTTAGTATATCTTTTTTATAATGTGTTTTCAAAATGTAAATACTGTAGTTTAAAAGGAACACGGAAGGACAATCCCCTACACTAACCCCCAACTTCAAAAACATAAATTAAAATCTTCATTTCCATGTTATTATTTTGTTTTCAATATTTTTTAAACATAATCCCTACATACCGATGGCGCATACTGGTTGCCTCGCTTCTGTCAGTGTGCCCCAGGGCAGCTGTGGCTACAGTAGTAGTTTATCACCACTGTGTATGGACTGAATGAATAATGACATGTGAAGCGTCTTTGAGTGTCCAAAAAAGCACTATATAATAAAAGCATTATACAAACAGACATATGGAACAAAAGACAAGACACACAAAACACAGTAAAAAATAAGAATGAAGTAAAAAAATACAGTAAGTAATATTTAGTTATAGCGCATTTTTACAGTGAAGTAGGTCGTGAAGTAGGTCTTGAGGTGGGCTCGAACCCACAACCTTCAGGCTCAAAGGCCAATGCTCTACCAACTGAGCTACTGTCGCCCTCCCACTTATCACCCACTTATCCAATAACAATAAATACAATTGTCATCCAGTCAACTTTTTTGGTGCAGTTTTCACACACTCACATACTTGTTTAGATAGATATCAACTCTTGTAGCGCTCAAGGCATAATTCTCCATAAGACCAAGTAGTGCGTACATATGTAGTGTGTATGTCTGAGAATTCCTCCCCCTGAGTGTTTCTCCACTCCTGTGTAGGGATGTAAATCGGTGACCGTTTAACCGGTGGTTGACCGTCACAGCGTTAACCGGTCAAAGCTGTCGGTTAAAAAAAAAGAAAAGGGGAGAGGGGAGGTCTCTTAATAACGCTATATTAAGCCCTATTTGCACGATGTGGCGAGCGGGTCTATCTCTAGCTGTGTGCGCCAATGTATCAGTAAACTCCGGGCCGACTTTCATGCCGCACGCCCCACACGCACGCACACATGCACTTTCCCCCCTCCATTTATACGTAACGTCCACACGCATCATCTCTCCCCTCTGTCCGCCAAAGTTGCACAACGCGGGTTAGAACTACATTGGAGCTTATACTTAGGCCCTGTTTATACTGAGACGCTGCGCAGACGTTTCCAGGCTATTAACAGAAACGACCAGGCTCCTAATGCAAATTTCTCAGCGTTCACATGAGGTTGAAAAACGATGTAGTTCTAGCGCCCGGCCAGTAGTGGGCAGAGAAACTTTACAACACGACACACGACCCCGAGCCCCGTGCCCAGCCCCCCTCTCGGCAGTGTACTCACTTCCTATGCCAGATCCTCAGAACGCACCAACATCATTCTGCATTTTAACAGCAGCTCTGAAAATGGAAACTGAATATAGAGCTTCGCGTGGTCTCGTTTGGACGAACGAAGGTGTAGAATTATCCTTTGTGCCGCGCTCAAAGCCCACGTAGCTAGTTAGTGTGAACGCCGCCATTATTGTTTTTGTTTGTTCTCCGCTACTGCGCATTTCCAAATTTACGTGCGGGGAGCAGCGCGGAGGTGGGGGTCAGAGCAGAGGGGGATTTCACACCTTTTCCCCTCTCGCGGGTGTGAAAGAGCTCCCCGCTGTGCAGCGTTTCTGAGTTGTCCCACTCTGCAGGCTGGATCTGAACACTTACGTTTTCACCCCCCTGGAACACAGTCTTCGTATGAACGGTTGGTAGCAACCGACATCCAACTATACCGTTTTACTGCCACATTGTCTCCGTGTAAACTCAGCCTTACACACACACACACATACCGGTCTGTCGCGCTCCTCTGTGTCACGCAGCCCAAAGTATCCAAATACGCGGCTCCAGTCAAATCACATGGAACATGTTTGTGCTGCTGGTCCTTGTCATTAGATCAGCTCATACACATCACTTTTAAACTTTAGCAAAGACCTGCGAGACTCTGACCATGTGCACGAGCCGTTGTTTGCTCCTAAAAAGTGTTAACCCGCAGCACAGGCGAATGGGAAGATTAAAAAAGCAGTTCTCTGTGCGCAAAGGTGCCGAAGCTGTTGCGGGTTTTGGCGGCGCTGTCTCGGCTCTGATCCAGTAGAAAGCAGAGCTGCACTTATGAGAAGTACGCGGCTCGAAATGGCTGTTATTTCAAAGAACGTGGAATATTTAAAACTACGCGGTTAACCGGTTTCAACCGGTTAATGAGGCTCGGTGGTCGGTCATGAAAATTCATAGTTTTTTACATCCCTACTCCTGTGTGCAGATCGTGATTGCCACTCCCGGTCGTCTCATCGATGTGTTGGAGAACCGTTACCTGGTGCTGAGTCGCTGCACGTACGTGGTCCTGGACGAGGCTGACAGGATGATTGACATGGGCTTCGAACCGGACGTCCAGAAGATCCTGGAGTACATCCCAGTGACCAACCAGAAGCCAGACACCGACGAGGCAGAGGACCCAGAGAAGATGATGGCCAACTTTGTGTCTGGGAAACATAAATACAGACAGGTTTGTGACGATGGCGAGTGGGATGGCGGAACATCAGTGTGTGGATGGAACATGAGGATTCTTAAGCTGTAGAGTTTACATGTTTTGTTATTTGATAGATGGACAACAGATACAGTTTAGTTTTCTTTGCTTTAAGTCTCTGTTGTTCTGTTTCCACCATTCCAAAGAGCCTGTAGTTTTAAATGTCTTTGGAGGGCTGAAAATATTTCTTGGTAACTATGGTAACTGTCAAAACTTAGAGCTCATGCTGGTCCAATCTTTAGATCCAGATATTCCACATCTTCTCTGTCAGTACGATATGGTCTAAGTATTTTCTCATAAAGGTGACTAAGTGGTGGCAATATTCAAAACATAGGCCTGATGTTGGCCAGTAGAAAGCACTTTCAGACATAAGTTTAATATATTTAATATGCCGCCTTTGTGAATCTACAAACAAGTAATGATCTGGAAAAACATTTGGACATTTTCAACTCTACATATAAATTGGCACTTTCTCTCCAATTAAAATTGAATTCTAGAACTTGTGCTGACCATTGCTCAAGGTTGTCCATAAAGTAGGTTCCCTGTGAAAGGAGTAGGGATGTATTGACAACAATATTTAATATTTATGTTTGTTGTTATTGGTGTATTTTGATATTGATATTGATGGTTGTGCAGAAACAAATACTTTTTTTGCTCAAATCTGCTTCAATAAGTGTTAGTTGAGGTTAAATGTTATATTGTTGTGTGATATTTCCCATCTCGAGCCTGTATTGAAAAGTCCCATGCATTACCAGCACTAATAATGGAAACTATGCTTGTGTGTGCTTGTGTGTATTTGCAGACGGTCATGTTCACAGCCACCATGCCTCCTGCTGTGGAGAGATTGGCGAGAAGTTACCTTCGGCGCCCCGCGGTGGTATACATCGGCTCTGCAGGCAAACCTCACGAGAGAGTGGAACAGAAAGTCCTGCTCATGGGAGAAGGAGAGAAAAGGTGGGTAATGAACTCAATCCAACAGGGAGCTCTGAATATGAGTATTAAAGTTGTATACCACCAGGAAAGTACAAGCTATGGTTGTAGATATAGTCTGTTCTATTTCAGCTTGTGTGGTTCATTTTTGTCACAATCCCCTTTTTATAAACCCCACAGAAAGAAGTTATTGGAAGTTTTGTCTCGTGGTTTCGAGCCTCCAATCATCATCTTTGTCAACCAGAAGAAGGGCTGCGACGTGCTGGCTAAATCCCTCGAGAAGATGGGGGTAAGACACTGCACCACTAACACACGTTTCTCCCATTCACAATTGTTTTACTGATTCTAATGATTAATGTCTCTCCCCGCCTCAGTACAATGCGTGTACGCTGCACGGTGGCAAAGGGCAGGAGCAGAGAGAGTTCGCTCTGTCCAACCTCAAAGCCGGAGCCAAAGACATCCTGGTGGCCACAGACGTTGCAGGTCGTGGTATCGATATCCATGACGTGTCGATGGTGATGAACTACGACATGGCCAAGAACATCGAAGGTAAAACTCTGGGTTTTGAAGGGGGTCGAGTGCACGGTATGACTGACAGGCAGGGGTGCTGGTATCGGGCTGTGATGATCCAGCACGTTAAAGGACCTTTATGGACATTGGTCATGCCTGCCCCTATGAACCATTGGGTGTTATGTGTTTGTTATTATTACATTTCCTGTGTTCAAACGTTTTGATACTCTTGATTTTCTGTTGCCGTAAGTCTATAACTTTGTATTGTCCTCCGCTACAACTTCAGGTCGTGATTTAGGGCTGTACAAAATACATGTAATTGAATAGGGCAAACCTCTATAGTGGGCATGGACCTTAGCTTAGGGAGGGATCTGGGTATTTGATTAAGTGCACAATTTTTTCCATGAAAGTGTTGTTTTTTCTTTGAGCATCCTGATGGTGCATTCAGACCGCAAACGCTCAAACGCTGAAGACCCGCTCACCAGACGCGCATTCTCTAGTTTTCAGACGCAGAGGACTTCACACCAGAACGTCCTGACGCGAGCCGGAAGTACCGGAAGTAGCCGGCCGTCTCTGATGCTAACAGACTATGCTAGCGGCTTCTTGTGTACAAATCTTCTCCAATATTCTGTTGCTCACAGACATTCCACGGGCTTAATATAACAGTAGTATGTGTTCACGGAGGTGCGGCATACGTTTTTTTTGTATTATTAAACGGTACTTCCGCATCGGCGAACACACTCAAAGCAGTTGCGTAAGGTCACGGGAGCATGACAACGCATATATTTACAAGCACACAGTCCCCCATTGTCAACCCTGGTTTAGTCCTGGTGTAGCTCCTGTTTTGGCTGTTCACAGTATGTTCAGTCTGCTCGCTCAGACCACCAATGTCCCCGTGACCACTTTGCGGCTCTCTGATTGGTCGCTGCACGTACGTCCCGAGGAAAAGTTGAGCAAAGTTTATCCCCTGTGGGCGTCCATTTTCCGCTCCTGCTCCTCCCTTTTCACTTTCCCGCCAAGTCCGTGCGGCTCTACTCAGCAGTCCCTAAGTGCGTGCCGAGAGGTCGGTGCGTTTTGACGCTGCAACGTGCGTCACCATAGACTTTGCATTGAGACCCGACGCTACGCATGATCCGGTCTGAACGCGCCATAAGTGTTAGCCACACCCACAGCCCCGCTTGTCGTGTTCCAGCTTCTTAACCTCTTCCCCTCTCTCCGCAGACTACATCCATCGTATCGGTCGTACGGGACGTGCCGGTAAGAGCGGTGTCGCCTTGACGTTCCTCACCAAAGAGGACGCAGCAGTTTTCTACGACCTCAAACAGGCCATTATGGAGAGTCCCGTGTCCACCTGCCCTCCAGAGCTGTCCAACCACCCAGAGGCCCAGCACAAACCTGGAACCATCCTCACCAAGAAGAGGAGAGAGGAAACCATATTCGCATAATTCCCCTTGTCGTTTTATTTTATTTTTATTAGTACTATTGATAAAACATTACCACGTCGGATTTTGTTACTTGCAGGACTTGTCTGTGTCTGATTAAAACCGCCAACAACACAATTACCATTATAAATGATTGTAAAGAGTTTGAACCGTCGCATGTGTCTATAAATATGTCGCTGTCGAACCCTTTGTTTATTACTTGATTTGAAATGGAAAAACTTTGATAAACTGCTATATTTCGCATATCCCACTTTCAATTATTGTTCTCTAGATTCATTTTAAACATACGTATAGTACTTGTATTGGATTTAAACTCTTGTAAATCTACTGTGTGAATCTTCAAAATGTGAAGTCATGTGCTGTTTTATAGTTTGACTCATAAAAGGAAAAGTAAAATGGGTATTTTTTTCATGGACTCGACAAAACAAATTACACATGAAGATAAAAATTAGAATAATGTTAAAAAGTCAATTTACTTTAGTAATTCAAATTAGAATGTGACACAAATGACTCCATTACATGCAAAGTTTGATGTATCAGTATTGATAGTTTTGTATTCATTTTCACAAAACTATCTCACACAAACTTACAACAACGGCATGGCAAATGTCACTTTGCATTTAATAAGTCTATCATTTGTTTTGAGTTGAAAGACTGAAATTAATGAACTTTTGAAGAATACTTTCCCAGTTCCATCTGTAGCTACATTGTAAATTTCCCACTGTGGGACGAATAAAGGATCTCTTAATCTTAATGGTAACTAAATTACATGTCTCCAGAATATTAAAACTACAAAAACGGCTGAGGTTATGGATTAGTATTTGAATTAGCCTTTTTATGTCTAATACTGATTGGAACACTGGCTTTCAATATCTGCAGATGCCCGATATGAACTGATGCCAGAGAAGGACCTGGAAAAACTAAAATCACAGCTATAGTTTGACATTAGTGTGTTTTTTAAGGATTATGCTGCATGTGACAGAACAACTTTGATAAGTTAAAACTGCTACATTTTAGGATAATTTCAGCCATTGAATAGTTTTATTACCTCACCTGAAAAACCATATCGGCTCAACTGAAATGAAACTGATAACTGATCAACAATATTTCTCCAATACCTGTGTATCGCTTGTTTAAACTATTACTTCTAGAATCCGGATTATTTAAAAGTCTATGGAAAGTTTGGCGAGAAATGTGCTGCTTGAAATACATCTTGATTAAACCATGAAAACCATGCTAATACTTGACCATTTCCATTTCATGTGTTATTTTTATAAGTGGTTTTTTGTTGTTTTTTTGCTGGTGGATAATAAACACAAAAGACCCAACAATTAAAAGTACATAAAATGTTATTTATTTTGTCATATTTTACTGAGCAGTGTAAATCTATTCTCAAATAGAAAGCATTCTATACAGCATCAGGCAGAAAACGTCTCATTTTTACACATTTTCCATCTCGTTTGCTTGCACGCTGTGGTCCGGGGGATACATCTATATTTAGTGCAGTTATTGCATCACAAAGCAACCATCCCAAAAACAAAGTAGTGCAATAGATATCTTTTTTTAATTTTTTTATAACTCACACAAAGGAAGTCCAGATGGTCTAAGGCGATCTTAAAGTCTTTTAATGTTCAGCTTAGTATTGCATAAAGAATAATACATGAAACTAAATTAGAACGGTTGTAAAAATTGTGCTTCGTAAATTGAAAAACCTCAACTGCTCTGGACAGTTGCAGCTAAATTGGTCCACTTTTGAAAACGTAAGTCTACTCTCATCTTGTGAAATCAGCTCATTGGCTAAACTAAAACATGCAGGGCTTCTATTTGCTAAATAAATGAGAAAAAAGGTGCAGGCCTCTTCAGTAAGGGACTGTTTTCTGTGAGTGATACAGTAGTCGCTCTGCAATAGGCTGCGTTCACCACTTTGAATTAGAACGTCCTTCCAGATGGAGGGCAGGGACTCTGGAAATAACCTCCACAACTAAACCTTTATATTCATTCATCAGGGACTAAATCCAAATATTGTCTCACACCTTTGTTGCAGAATAAACCCTCAATTATGAGAAAGCAGTCGTATTTCAAGTGCTGTTGTAAATAATTTTTCATTCCAAATGAGAATTTTCTTGTCTCTTTTAAAACCAGACTACACAGTTTTTGCTTGACTTTAAGCCGCTACTTTTTTCAAGTCCTTTTAACTCTGCTGCCCGCACGACGATGCAGCCAATGTGTATATTTTTATTCTGTTCGAGCTCCCCCTGGGGCACAGGAAGGGATCTGGACTCTTCTTTATCAGTCCAGATCAGCCTCCAGAGCTGAAGACGCAGCACACATTCCTGCTTCAGAGTGTTTATGTGAACAGCAGAAAAGTGTTGGGGAAATACACAGGACTTGCTTCTTTTTTGACTCAATTTTAGTAGGAGGTTTTAGTGGAATTGTTATGGTTAGAGTGCTTTGATCGTTATCATCAAATCATGTTGTGTCCAGTTAAAACAGTATCGGCTTTGTTTTCCAAATTTTGTTACGGTTTATATACAGGTGCGCTAATAGATAAGCTATTTTTCCCACTTTGTGCAATAATTTACCATTTATCAAGACACATTAGATTTAGTTTTATATAAATATAAACTCCCCCTGCCCTCCATCTTTAAAGCTTCACCGTGCAACTTTTCTGGGAAAGGGCTAACCATGCGACAAAGGTAATACATCATGTTACTACATAATAGTACACATTTTAGAACATTTTCAAGTATACGTGGTGTCAATTGGTATTCCATATTGACATCTCCAGGTCATCTCTGTAATACTGAGTCATTTTTAATCAAATGTAGTTTATAAATAAAGGATGTAAACAAATATACATCAACTAAACAAAGCACAATTAGTCTTCATCATAATGAGAAGCCTTCACAAGAAAAGTTGCATTCTGTTCCTTCCAGCTGTATAATTCTGAATAAGACATTTTGTGAACCCAGCCTATAGTCCACCCAAAACCAGCTGTTTTTGAGGTTAATTGGTCAAATAATGCGACCTGTCTTTCGTAAAAAGGTTTAAAGTGAATAGCCCCATAGGCAAGACTATTACTACAAGACAAACATGGAGAATCAAGATCAATGCATTTACTAAAATACTCAACTGGAAAAAGAAACAACCAGGTTTCATGCAACACTTGCATAGATTTTTTCATTTTTTTTTTAAAATCATGCTTTTTTTTTCTTGAAAATATATTCAACACTAATAGAGATTCCTGTGTGACATGGAAGCAGTAAACTCCTCATTCCCTTTTCATTTCTTTAGAGTTTCGATAGCAGAGTTCTCCCCCCTTTTTAAACTAATGGAGCAGGGACAAGCTGATGTAGGTGCTACTGCTGAAGTCAGATGAAAGACCACCAATAGGAATCGCAACTTGGCCTGTCACAATTATTATGTGGTTTGAAAAAATATATACAAATTACTAATGAATTATATTTTGGGGTTCAATATCACATGTATTCTCACTGTGCGGCAGGGCTTTCTGTATGTTATGACCTGTATATAGGAATTCAAACTACTACTATCTGAAATCATACCAAACAACTATTGTATGGTACTGTATTGTGTTGTCAGGGTAACACAAACTAGTTTTTATTGTGTTATTATGTGTATTATGTATTTATGTTCAAATAGAAAAGTCTGGTGGTTTCAAATAGGGCTCATCATACGTTGCAAATCCCATATTTACAAAAAATATTATATATCCAGATACGTGCCCTAAAACGGTTCTGAATTTAAAATGTAAAAAAGAAAAATCCTGAATAACATAATGTTTTGGGATTTTAGCAATTTTGATGTATGTATAACTTTATCATCTCTGTAAGAACTCTGTATGACAAGCATTTATTTGCATTAATTATGTTCTTCAGACGTCATTACGGAATAAAGAGCTAATAAAATAATAAAATACAAGATTGTAAAAACATTAGTCAGTATAACACAAGAATTGCAATGTAGATCTAAAAATATACTACAGACAATTTGCGTACAGCCTTAGTTTAAATATAAGTTAGGTGAATAGAATGGCTGTCGATGTGAGTACTATTCACAATATTTTTTAAGTAGTAAAATCCAACCGTGGTATTGGGACAGGCCGAGTTGCCGCATACATTTTGCCTCGTTTACATAAAATGCCCAGTTGTGTAAAAACGGTGATGGTGGACACCTGAGGATCTGCCTTATAAAACCTAAAGGTGCATTGACAATTGGTTCACACTTGCACACATCAAAAAACCAGGACTACATTGGAACTGAACCTGGACTATAGACCAACACGGCAAGTCTACACCAGGACTCAAGGGGGGAGCTCAAACCAAGTGTGAACCAAGCACCCTAAAATGCATCGTCTTAACTGCATGAGCGCTGTGTAAAAATCCCGTTTGATCACATTTGTGGTTCACGTCAGCGTGAGCCGGAGATGCTACAGTCTGTAACATGCTACAGTGGGGGTGTGGGGGCAGTCACTGGGGATGAAGGTGCAAAGGCATGCAAGCGTACATTCTCCGAAGCCTGGTAGACGTAAGAGCTGTGTGCTTGGGTTACAGTACAGTATGTGACGTCAAATAGACATAGAGGAACGTAGACAAGGGCCGTACGCTGTCTGAGATTGATGATGAAGAGAATATGCAGCTTTAGGAGAAGGAATGGACTGGGTTAAAGCTGGGGTATGTGCGTTTTTTCTTGTTAAAAGTTAATTGTTGCGACCAGTTCAGACCACAACCTGCTGTCTGCATTTCATTAATTGTTATTTATTTTTATGTAAGTCACTATTTGATGCGTTGGGCTCAGAGATGAGGATGTGAAAAGTGCTAAAGAAAATACAATGCGAAGACTTGTGATAGGGACATGGCTGAGTGGTTAGCAATTGCTTCTCATCAACAATATTCCGGGTGTGATGGGACCTTTCTGAGTGGAGTTTACATATTGTCGTGTCTGCGTAGGTTTCCTCTGGGTGCTCCAGTTTTCCCTCCCACTAAAACTTGCCAAATAGACACAATCCTCCATCTCTGGAAACCTAAGTGTACCTTGATCTTTATGTTAGAACCAAACTAACATTTCAATGAGAATTTATAAATGGAATCCAATTTATTCTTCACGCAACAAGTTCCAGATGCAATATTTGTGTATAATTGTTGTGATACTACGGAGGAAATGGACACCCAATACGACGTTAGTCTAGTTGCATTCGGAAAGTGAGGTACCCCAGCTTTAGTAGTGCATGAATCAAATCATTTTTTTCCCAAATTAATGTGATGTGATGTGTTTTTTTGATCTTGAGGGTGAGCTTTCAACCCATAATAATACTTCTACGTCGCAGACAACCTACGGCCCTCCTCTTACAGCAGTGTATAAAATGATGTATGTAAACAAGCGGTTTGTTCAGGAGAAACATTCCCTTCTTAGACGAGTACATTCTGTGTGCCCAGTTCAGATTTCAGAGGTGTTTATGTGATTGTGCAACAGCAAAGACAAAAGGTGACACTGACATTGTACTGCAGCTTGACCAGAGCTGAGGCCGCTCGGTTCACTGTGCCTTTGAAAAATGTCCTTTGAAATTAAGCAAAACGTATCAAATGAATTTAGGTTACGTTCACGACATTACCAAAGTGATGTCATTTCATGTTATGTTTCAGATGAAGGGCAAAGGCCTGTGATAGTGTGGCTCAATAGTGTAGCTCACCTATCCTCACAACAATCATAAGTCATCAAATTCCAGTGGAGAAAAATAAATCCAACGTATCGATCTTTCCCTCTGAGATTAAATAATAGTAGTTCTGATTTTGAAGTGCCTGCATAGTGGTCACATGTACTTTAAAACCTACCTCAAATTTGCGACCCGCCCTTCACCTTCTTTTTGAGACTGTGGAGTTTATGAGATAACGTGAACGCAACCGAAAAAAGCAATGGCAAAAACCATTTAACCCATTCAATATGTACATTGTAATGCATTACTATATCCCCATAAATGGTTTCAACAGTTAACAACATTCCTACATTATGTTATCTGTAAGATCATTCAGCTCCTGTTCTGACATTAATGTGCAAATTGTCCTAAAATAATAGATTTCTTTCATGCAATAGTTAAGAGAAAAGTCTAAGGAGTTTTAAGGCCAGAATCTGAGACATCCTACGACAGAGAAACCTTAGGCAGAGCAGCTAAAGTCTTTGTGTCTGTTAGTTTAAGCCTGGACCCGTTCCACTGCAGAGGTGACTAGCCCTGTTTATCACAATCTGAAGGACTCTCTACATTCATGCAATTTACCCTGCGAAAAACCACCAGAGAGAGAAGCTCACTTTGCTTGGAGTAAGCCATTCTATCTTGTTTTGAGTCACAATATGTTTGCAAGTAAGAGGGACTTCAATTACAACATTTCTTGAAATTTCTCGTAAAAAGTTTATCAAGACTACACTGGAAAAAAAGAAAAATTGTCTTACATCATGTCTGGCCTAAGTCAGGGGTTCCCAAAGTGGCGGTTGAGGAAGCCATAACATAATATATACTGTATATATTATAAGTGCTCCGTCCATCCCTATTCTTCCACTTTATCCGTTGCGGGGGCACACTGATCAGAGACCCCCAGACTTCCCTATCCCCACATGTCCTCCAGCTCATCTGGGGGATCCTAAGCTGTTTTTAGGCCAGCTGAGAGACTCTCTCTAACATGTCCTGGGTCTTCCCTGGGGTCTCTCCCCGGTGGGCCGTGCCCGCAATACCTCCCCAGGGAGGAGTTCAGAAGGTATGCGAAACAGATGCCCTGCCACCTTGGCTAGTTCCTCTCGACATGGAGAAGCAGCGGCTCTACTCCAAGCTTCTCCCATGTGATCCTACCCTATCTCTAAAGGAGCTCCCAGGCACTCTGCGAAAGAAGCTCATTTCAACAGCTTGAATTCGTGATCTCGTTCTTTCTGTCATTACCCAGAGCTTATGACCAGAAGTGAGGGTGGAGGTGTAGATTGACCGGTAAATCGGGAGCTTTGCCTTTCGGCTCACCTCCCTCTATACCACAACAATCTGATATAGCGACCGCATCACTGCACACACTGCACCGATTCAATCTCACGCTCCATCCTTCCCTCACTCATGAGCAAGACCCCTTGACAAGATACTTCAACTCCTCCACTTGAGGAAGGACCTCTCCACCACCTGGAGAGGGCAAGGGACCTTTTTCTGGTCGAGAATCATGATTGTTTAACAAACACACACACAACTAACTCAAATAAACATGATTGATTCTAACATGTTTTGGCGCTTCAAATTATTACCCTATGGCAGTGTCTCCCAAAGTGGGGTCCGCGGCCCCCTGGTGGGCCGCGAGGGTACTGCAGGGGGGCCGCGGGAGGTCATACAAAAAAAAAAATATATATATATAATTATTTAATGTTAAATTTATAATGTTTTGTTTGTAATATTAAAATATTTGTGTTCATTATTTGACTTGAATAATCCACTGTAATCATTTTTGTATTACAATGTTTGTAGCAGAGGCTATTTCCCCAAAATAAAATAACCAGAAGAGCATATTCTTAATGTTGTCTTCTTGGTTATTATTTTGGGGGGCCACGCAGACCCGTCAGATTTTTAAGGGGGCCTCGGTGTTACTGAGTTTGGAAATGGCTGCCCTATGGAATTGTTTGCATCAGTGGGTTTCAGTTTGGGAACCCATGGCTTGTGTAAAAATGACAAGCAAATTTAAGACATTACTGCTTGTCGCATTAGTAAGTCAGAATTTGCTGAAGTCAACATAAATGTATCAAGAAATGTAACAATTGTTTCATATTTTTTGCAGTGTAGTTTAAAAATCTAATTGCAATCTATCAAGATACAATACTTTCACTCAAGCTATTTTATTACATTTGAAGATACACTGTGTTTCTTCACTGGTGGAGGGTTTTTCCATGGGTGAGTGAGTATTGTTGTAACTAAGTATTGTGTAGTCTGGAATGTTCCACAGTATATTGGACTATATATATATATATATATATATATATATATATATATATATATATACATATATGTTATTTTTTCTAAATCATAACAATGTGATCCACTCCACCAGGAAAGTAGCACAGACATTTTTCCAGTGGTTCCACTGGTTATAAGAGAATGGGGCTCAAATGGTAAGCTAACGTTAGCCTAACGTTGTTTCTATGCTAACGTTACCCTACAGTTTATGGGGTATGCTAATGTTAGCCTATCGTTGTGGCTAAGCTAAAATTAGTCTACTGTTGTGGATAATGTTAGCCTACAGTTATTTTGCTCTGCTAACGTTAGCCTACATTGTGGCTATGCTAATGTTAGCCTACAGTTGTGGCTATGCTAACGGTAGCTCATCATTATGACTGTGCTAACGTTGGCCTACAGTTGTAGCTAAGCTAACATTAGCCTACCGTTGTGACTATGCTAACTTTATCTCTTCAGTACAGGTGTGCAGGCTGCAGGGGCTCAGTAGTTATCCCGGGGCCAGGGGCGGCTGCGTTGTGGGGGGTTTCTCTGGAGCAGCCGGTCCTGGGACTCGTGCCCGTTGGCGCTGTGGTCCCCTCCCCCGGGGGTGTTTCCGCAGTGACGGGGGTAGTCCCTGTACCCAAACTCGTGGTCGTGCTCCTCCCTCTCTCCGCGGGACAGGGAGTCGCTGGCCTCATCCGACGGCATCAGACTGTCCTGCTCCAGCGGTGAGTGGGCCTCCTCTGCCCCCTCCTCTTCCTCCTCCTCTTCCTCACAGGGCTGTGGAGGTGCAGGGTTCTGGTTCTGCAGGGATTACATACATGTTTATCCAATAGAACCTTTAAGAACATACAGCCACTAAAAATATCAGCTCATTTGTCTCTTATGTATGAGTGATATGTAAACATAACACAGATGGACATCTTTACAGTGACAAACACTTTTCCAACAACCAACACAGAACGACACAGAAAATAATATCTTGTTGTCAATCGCCAGTGGCTTGCAAAAGTACTGACACAGGCTGAACTTTTCCACAATTTGTCACATCAGAACCGCAATGGGCTCTATGCACGCACCACTTCCGCGTTTTAGCTAAAGCCCCACTTCACTTCCTGTTCGTGGGAAACGGCTTGAGTTTCACTGGAGTTCAGCAGTGGTTTACACGAGTTTCCCAAATAATGCTCAAACGGGAATTAAACTGTGAAGATACTGGGCATTTTTGGGACACAGCAGTGCTTTTTGATTGTGCTGTCATTATGCTTTTATAAAGATAACTAATCTCTCTGAGTGGCCACAGACGAAGCTCTACCTCAGAGAAAAAGCACAGCGACACTTTTGGGTCAGTTTCACAGCTGAATGTATCAATTTAATTACTAAAAAACGTCACTAAAACCCACCTAAAAGCCATAGGCAGGAAGTGAACGGGCTGTGCTTTGTTAACAGGAAATGACGTCACGCCTCCCCGTGCATACAGCCCATTATAAACTTACTATTTTTATCTTTTTGAGAAAGACCACTGTAAAGTGGCAGACAAATGCGAAGTCAAGAAAAATTATACATTATTTTATTGCTTACATTTCTCAAGCTTTGAACATATCACAGAACAATGTTTAATCCCAACATGTGGGAATGGAAATAGTATCAAATAGTATGGCACAACTGCAAACCTACCAAGACATGGGTATCTACCTAACTAACAGCTTAAGGAAGGAGATCACTGATCAGAGATGCAGATGAGATCAGTGGAATCTGTAGTAATACACTACACAAATATGGTCTTTATGGATCAGTCGTATATAGAAAGCCAGTGTTGAATTTTTAAGTCTCTAGGAATACAAATCTTACCTGAAAAGGGGTTCCACAAAGTATTAACTTTGTTTATCTTTGTATGTTGTGTTCACATTATCACAAAAAAAACAAAAAAAACAAATCATGTATAATTTCTCTTTTACTTCACAGTTGTCTCTTATTTTTTTGTAGTCTTTCATAAAAAAAAAAAATCTTTATGTTGGGGGTCATAAAATTAGAAAATTTGCAAAAGCTCAAGTTGATACTTTTGCAACCCACTGTATGTGGATGTAAAACCTCACTCATCCAGGAGGATTTCATGGTAGAAGTTTCAAATGTAACATCTGGGTAGTCTTTTAATATCGAGTTTCATCAAGAGTCTTTTTAATCTGAAGAAAAGATTGAGATGTTTGGAAAATGTTCTACTTTTACTCTCCTGGAAAAATCTGTATTTCAAGGCAAAAAGTTTTCCCATATCTCAGCCCAAATCTTTGATGCGAGCGTTGACTCCTGGAGTCAAAACAACTCAATTTCAAAAGTACAGTACGTGCTGGACTATCAAGCGCATACGTAAACCCCACCAGCTTAATTTGAAAAGACAGTACATTTTGTCCACATATTGGCCGCAGGTTTTCATGTTGTAAGATTTAACCGAACGCTAATAAAGAAAATAAAAGCAGATAGATGACAGTTTTAACTAGACACAACACGATTTAATGACAAGATGTTTTAATGCATTATTGACTTGTTATAGAGAAAGCTCGGTCAATCACACAATACATGAACTCACAATAGCTGTTAGATTTCATGTTGGGACTCATTTAGAAATCTATTTTAACGTTTTTGCGTCTTATAGCTACTAAACCTTGTTGGAGTAAAAATAGACTAGGCTGATAAACAAGTCCTTTGTATTCTGTGTATTTCCTCATGAACATAAACAACAGCTGATAGAGCTGTGACCAAATTCTTTCTAGTGCCTCAGGAGTTACTCTATCACAAAAAAAATACATACATTGGCCGCAGGGCTACAGAGGCGGCAGGGCTATAGAGGCGGCAGGGCTACAGAGGCCGCAGGGCTGCAGAGTCCGCAGGGCTGCAGAGGCGGCAGGGCTATAGAGGCCGCAGGGCTGCAGAGTCCGCAGGGCTATAGAGGCGGCAGGGCTATAGAGGCGGCAGGGCTATAGAGGCCGCAGGGCTGCAGAGGCGGCAGGGCTATAGAAGCCGCAGGGCTGCAGAGGCCGCAGGGCTACAGAGGCGGCAGGGCTACAGAGGCCGCAGGGCTACAGAGGCGGCAGGGCTACAGAGGCGGCAGGGCTACAGAGGCGGCAGGGCTGCAGAGGCCGCAGGGCTACAGAGGCGGCAGGGCTACAGAGGCGGCAGGGCTACAGAGGCCGCAGGGCTACAGAGGCCGTAGGGCTGCAGAGGCCGCAGGGCTATAGAGTCCGTAGGGCTGCAGAGGCCGCAGGGCTACAGAGTCCTGAAGAACATAAAAAAGTAGTGGCTTATAGTCCAGCATTTACGGTACATCTAGAAGACAAACTTTAACTTCTTCTACCACACTGAAATGTATTAAATGTCAGTGTGACTGCTCAGTCGACCCAGAAAATAGGTTCAAATTTGTACTTTTTTTTAGTACTATTTGGACTGTGTTTGAAAATGACACGTACAGTATGGGTGGGTGGTATTCATCGTATTTAAGTTTTTTTCTTGAGTGCAACAGAAATTGAACTCTTCAAACGTGGTCCAGACCTCATTTTTACCTTTGTGATTGTGTTGCGTAGTAGGGGTGTGACGATACTTTCTCCCGCGATTCGATTATCGATATGCATTTGCCAAGTATCAATATCAATTTAGTATCAATACTTAATATATGACTATATTACGTATCTCCATTCAATTTAACATGAAATAAAGTGTATTTTTTCACTTAACATTTTTATTTATTTATGCCATAAATTGGCATATGGTATATTTCTGACCAATATATCGATAATCGTTATAATGTGATATTATCGTTATAGTGAGCTTTGTATTGCGTATCGTATCATATCGTGAGGTACCCTTAGGTTCCCACCCCTATTGCATAGTTTATTTGTGCCTTTAGTGCATCCGGTGTGGATCAATGTGAACAAAGATGAATAATTCAGCTTGAGGAGAAATATTCTTAGAAGTGCACACCATGTAACTTTTCTGGTCTAGGAAGAATATGTCCCACAGTATATCATTAAACATAAACCTGAGCCAAACAGGTGCAACACTCCTATAGTTTAGTGTCATACTGCGGACACTCAAGGCCATACAGGAAAAGTTACAAAACGCAACTTGGGAAACAGCAACTGCAACTATATTTATACCCAGTATTGTTCAGTGGTTCTGTCTAAATATCTATAGCTGTGCACAAAGCCTCAGCAGACGGACACACCTACTTTCTTCACAAGCGAGAAGAAGTAGCCTGCATACACTTTAACCAACTAACAATCAACTAACTAAGGCTTAAAGCGGACATATTGTGCAGAATAGGAACTCATGTTAGTTTATATCCCAAGACGCAATTACTTTGATTATAAATTGTGTCACCCCGGTTGGTACATAGAACCAGGCCTAATAACTTTGCTTCTCTCCTCATTTATGACACACTTTCAGCAGCCTTGTGTAGTCATTTTGGATCCGTGAACTAATTCATTTTCGTATCACTAAGTTAAGAAGTTTGAGGTATTTTCCTATTTACTGATGCAAAATCTTAAAGGAGAGATACATACAGAGATTTATATGGTCATAGCTCTTAATAGACGATACTAAACGTAATTATTCATTTGTTACTAAACCCATGACCCAGGCTGCCTCCAAGGGACACGGGATGGGGTACTGTGACCGCTAGAATTCAGCATACATATCATTCCATACTTTCTTTTGTGGTTTGGAAGTTAGGTACCCAAGCTTTAATGTGACTGTATGTAATATGCACTCTCTGAGATCTACTAAAGTCGTTCCAATTTCAATCCAGCTTTTGTAGCCAGAATCTTCCTGCCTCTGACACATGTAGTGCCTACACACTGATTACTGATGCAATCCACCTTCTGGGGTTTAGCTAGAAACTGTACCAACTCTGTGTATTACGCATGACTACTTATTTGTTTACCTGTGTGTGGTTAAAAACATTTTTTGGGGGATTTTTGTTATTCAAAAAAGCGAACGAACAAGTGTAGGGCCAAAGCCAGCTAAATTTACAAACTTGCAACCCAAATAAGAAACTAATTCTGATCTCTGATTGGATAATGTGTTTTAAAACGGTATTGTAAATTAAGAATAATTCCACTTTTTGTTGAGAAAAGGCCAAATATTATGATTTGTGTACAAATATTTGTGATTTGTACATGTATATCTGATATCCAGGGACAAGATGTATGTGTAAATTTAAATGGAAAATATGACCGTTCCTTTGAGACATAAAAATAAGTGTTAAAATCTGTCACAGCGATCTACTGGTGTCCTGGTTTGTAGAATAGCAGGCAAAAGCACAATATGTCTTCTTTAAACGTTATTCTCATTCAATGCTTGGAAATTATTAATTGAGCATGCGGTGAAAAGGCACATCACCAACCAAAGCAGACCAGAGCAAAGTTTGTTCTTTTTTGCTTCACTGTGCAAAAAAGGGCGTCAATACTTTTGGTTATCTGGGTATGTTCAACAGAGGAAGGTGTGATGCGATAGAAAAGCATGTCACTATTAGGAAACTGAAAGGTGTAAATAAAACAATCGTGTTTTGGTGGTAAGTTAACGGCTGTACAAAAAAGGTGTCAAACAATGAACCCTACTACTCACCCCAAAGTTTAAGCCATCATTCAATTAATTCCTGTGTTTCAGAAAACTGCAAAAATGTCAGTCATGGATGAGTGAAGACAGACACGCGACTGCAGACAATCAAATCAAAACACAAGGTGAAAATGGAAAGAACTGAACAGCAAAGACACGGAATATGTACAGAAGTTTAGAGAAATATTCACAGGCTCGCACAAGTGTTAAAACTGCTGTAATCGTGGCCAGAGCACGTTAAGTACATTACTATGTTGTGATTTCGCTATTATATACATTTTTTTTTTACTATTAACTCCGTACAAAAACTTTTCTCAAACTTTTCCGACCTCTGATGTGTGGGTGAAATCAACTCGTGCCCTTCCCCACTGCTAAATTACCACGTAACCATTTGAAGCATCTCTATCCATACTTATGTGGTTTGTTTGAATTAATATTAGTGTTATTAGACCAACATTTACTGAAATTATCATGTTTTTTGTCAAATAGTTGAAATACTCTGTTTACTTTAGATTGCGCTGGAAAACGGCTGCAAGTCCTAAGTAGCTCTGAAACAGTTGTTGTTTTGTGCTTTATAATTTTTATTTTTATTGCTTTTTTCTACCTGAGAATATGAGAGGAGAGGATTCATGGTCCGAACCAAGTGGATCAGGAGAATATCCACTGGAGATATGCTAACTTTTTGAAAAATGCTAATGAAGCATTTAGCATTTTACTTTGGACTAGAGCAGAGAAAACGGTCTGAACCAAATGGCTACTCCACCTCTGCTGCTGTGACCTTTCCTGCTCCACCCAGAGGCTACATCTTTGCTGCTGCGAACTGAAGGCCTGTGGCTGATTAATACTATCATTAACTTTTTAGAATGATACATTTTATTTTTTCTGCTACTGGACACCTGAATTTCTCCTACAGGGATCAATAAAGTATCTATCTATCTATCTATCTAACTGCTACTCTGCAGAACGGAGCATTTTAAGAGATTCTTTGTTCCTTTTGTCATAAGACACAATCTTTCTGAGTTAACATGTGCACTTTCCCACTAAACATCCGACGTCCACTCAACCTCCAGATCACGTCAATATCGCGTCGGTCGGTCGTGACCTTTTATTTACGTCCAAACGACGTCTGTGCAAGGTGCGCATCTGGACGTAAAACAATGACCTCCCATATACGTGGATATGACGTTCAATCCCGACCTCCCCTAGACGTCGAAAACAGGTCATCGGCCGACCGACGCAGTACGTCTTGATCTAGCAATACAATATATAGGCTGTGAAGCAATCTCAGTGTACCTGACGGTAGTGTAGTGGTTAAGCAGATGTGTGCAGCCTTGGTTACGTGAGTTCGAGCCCACGTGTGTGTATTATTATCTTTACATATTTGTTTTGATTTTTAACGAACAATTTTTTTCTGTTTGGTTAAAGACTAATAAACACTCAACATAGGATTACGTAGTGGCTAATAATAAAACTTGTGAATGTATGCATTTGTTGTGCTAACAATCTCAAGTTTGCAAATAAGGGGTGAGCACTTCAGATTTTATGCAAATGCATGGGTTCACAAGTTTTATTATTAGCCACTACATAATCTTATGTTGAGTGTTTATTCGTTTTTAACCAAACAGAGAAATTGTTCGCTAAAAAGTGAAAAGTCAAAAGTTTTCCGACGGGGATTTGAACCCGCGTCGTTGGGACTTAGGCTTTACAGCCTGACACGTGAGTCGCTCGGTCGAGGACCTATTTTCCACGTCTAAACGACGTAAGGTGTGCATCTGGACGTAAAGCAATGTCTTCCCAGACGTTGATATGACGTTGAATCTGTACCTCTGTCGCTGCCCTGCTTTATTTACTTGGAATCACCCTCTCTAGTAAGTACACAGTCTGCACAGTTTTTAGATATAGATGTATCATTTCCACTTTAAAAGAGTTGGAGACAGAAAGTAAGTTGTTTTCTCACGTATACGTGGATTTTGTTAAGTATATTTTGTATATTATCTGTATTTTGAATTGCCAGTGCATGAATCTATAATAATAACGGCTGGCACTGCTCAGCTGAAAGGGAGACACCTTTTTTTGTTTTTAAGTTAAAGTTTAAAATACGATATTGTTTTTCATATTTCAAACTATTTTTAACACATTAGAATTCTTAGGTTAGACTGTCCAACAAACTATGTGTTAAAAAAGGTTAAGATTCTTGAGTTTTAAAATAATAATTCAATTCTAAAATGTAAAGTTACTGTATATTTCACAATGGTTTATAAACTGCAAAAAGACAACAGTACTTAGTAAACTAAGTTTAAAAACAGGGAGATCAGCTTTAATATTTGGGACACTCCCATCATTTAGACACCTGTGATGTCATCAGTTGGAGTTGAGTTCAGGTGTGGGACCATGTGGGACCATGTGGGACCATAGGAGCACACAGATGTTACCTGCTGCAGAAAGAGAGTTTAATGTTCATGTATTGCTTTGTTTAATAAATTGATTTAATGTCTTCCCAGGTCTTCAATGTCAGAGACTTTCACTTCTTCTCACTGTGGCTGTTTAAATGAGCCACTACAGTTGTTATTTTTGTTATTGTTAGCTGCAAATATTAAATATCCATTCATCTGCTGGTAGCAAGCTAACTAGCGCTTGCAACTCTATTCAATTTCTTACTTTTTCTTATAAACTTTAAAACCAGCCATATGTTAATTCAAATACATTTACCTTTGCTAATGCAGTCAATTATTGTGAAATCCATGAGTATAATTTCATGATTGTTGCAATAACTAATGTTCTATGTGTATTACTAATGTGTCATGTGTGTTTGAGTCTTACAGGTGTCAGACTGTGTTGAAGGTGTTCAAAGGTAAGAATCACACTCTCACACATTGATTGTTCTTCTGTATTATTATGTTGTTTTTAGAATAAACCATTATTTGGTGTATTCTCTTTGAAAACATCTATCTTTTTCTCAGATTGTTCAGCAACTCACTCAAGATGAGGGAAAAGAGCAACAAGGGGAAAATGCCCCCTCGGAAGTGCAACATGTGTAGAGTAATACAGGGTAAGTAGCTTTCAGGGCTCATTTGTGTCCATGTGCAAAATAAATGCACATTTGCAATTGTTTTTTACATGGAATTACTCCAATGACCAAAGCCTTATCCCAAGTTTCTCAGACGGAGTGTCTTCCAGTGTCTCGAGCTAGTGCAGTGCCAAGGTTTGTATCACATGGTGATGGATCGAGTGGTTTGAGGCATTAATAGAAAGTTATGTGTTGTTATATCACTTTGCCACATTATGTTGAAACTAAACATGTTCCACATTTTCAGGTGCTGTGCTTGGACCTTGTGATGAGAGACTGAAGACCAAGAGAGGACACATGTTGGAACCTCAACATTCAATAAATGCATTCTTCTGCCTTTCAGATTGTGTTTTTACATCTGGGGAACCTAGAGTGTAGCTTGTGCCTGTTTTAATACTGATCCAAACATAGGCGCTACAATCATGTTTTTTTACTTTGGCATGAACTGTTCAGTACAGTAGTGTTCATAACACTGTGCCCTGTGTGCTTTAACTTGTACTTTGATGTAGAGAAACATGATTTTTAATGCAGCTCCATTTGCAATAATGACTGATATCCTTCTACTACAGTTGTTCTAATGCTTTTTGAATGCTGTGTTTATCGTTTATTGCCCAGAGTCAGAACTAAACATGATATAGCTGCATTTCAGATTCACAAGGCTAAAATCTGGAACGGTCTTCCTGGAAATGTGAGACAGGCTTCTTCTTTGACAATGTTAAAATCCAGGTTTAAAACACTTCTGTTTCTGCTTCAACTGAGAGATTTTATGAGAGATTTTATTTGTATCTTTTTAATTTACTGTCAATATTTATAATTGTAATGCCTTGTTTGATTGTTTCTATCTTTTGTTCAGTGCTTTGAGTTTCCTTTTGTTTTGACTGTGCTATACAAATAAACTTGCCTTGCCTATTGCAAAAAGTATGTCTCGACCAGTGAGTGATTCTGCAGAGGTTAAGTAGGTCAATAGGACTGTAAATGGACGTCATATAAACGTCAATATTTTGGTCATATAAGACGTCGAGAGGACGTCGGACCCGACCGGTTCTGTACCACATTGCAACCTTGAATGAACGTCCAGATGACGTTGAAATTACGTTGTATTGACATCTGCTTGCTTAGTGGGAACAACGGAAAACGAACGTCATATGAAGGCAATATTTTGGTCATATAAGACGTTGATAGGACGTCGGACCCGACCGGTTCCGTACCACATTGCAACCTTGAATGAACGTCCAGATGACGTTGAAATGACATAGTTTTGACATCTGCTTGCTTAGTGGGAACGACTGAAAACGAACGTCATATAAACGTGAATATTTTGGTCATATGAGACGTTGATAGGACGTCAGACCCGACCGGTTCCGTACCACATTCAAACCTTGAATTGACGTGCCATCAACGTAACATTTGGAGGTTGAGGTGACGTCGGGAAACGACGTCGAGAAAACTTTTATTCTGCACCCACCAGTGACCTATATTCTACGTCGGACAACGACGTTCAAATTACGTTGATTCAACGTCGGCTTGCTTAGTGGGTTATTGCTATTTTTATTCACTTTTAGAATTCTGTATTGAGGATTTTTTGTATGGATGGGTGTGCTTCTGCTATTGGACACCTAAATACACTAGCATTTAGAATCTAATATGTTGATTTATTCTCATGCCTAGCTTAGCCCCCCCTCACTTTGAGAAGCACCAGTGTTAATGTTGTGAAATTAATATCATATATGTTAACAAAGGGTTTCACGGCACACTGATCCTGTTGTGAACGTGCAGGTCAGTCTCACCTGGAGGCTGGAGAGTGCAGAGGGTGGGCTCATCAGCGTCTGCTCTAACAGTGGGTTGAGGGGAGTGGACCCCGGCAGGTGGGTGGCCCTCCAGTACACCTCCAGAAACTCAGCCAAGTGCTCACACGCATCCTCCAGCTGGTTCTCATCCAGAATGACATCAAACATATCCTGCAAACATTAGGAAACAAAAGGAATTCAATCAAAAGAAGTCAAATGATACAATAAATAGATCAAATGTGAGCTGGTCTAATCTGTAAACAGCAGAGGACGTCGCAAGCTGATTCAAATACCACTGATATGACAATTATTATTTCTTCCCTGGGGAAGTTTTCCGGGCATATCTCGTCGGGAGGAGGCGCCGGGGAAGACCCAGGACAAGCTGGAGGGCTTACAGTGTGTCTCTGAGCTGTCCTGGGATTGTCTCAGGAACAAGTGTGTGTGAGGGAGATCTGTGCACGTCTGCTTTATAGGCCACTGCCTCCGCAACTCGGCAACGGATAAAGCAGAAGAATATGCATGGATGGATTATTATGGTACAAATAATTAATATCACATCTAATATTATTTTGATAGCTTGCTGAAGATGATCAGTATTATGATAGTGTCAGGTCTTAAATCCATATATATGCATCCTATTTTTCAATATAGCTTCACTACATTTAGGAGCTGTTTTGCATGTTTCACTTTGCAAAACCAACAATTCAAAAACTGTTATTGTCATTGCACTGTTCCATATTTACAACTGCAGATAATTATGCAGAGCTCACATTGGTGTAGTACAGGTTCATATGTTTTGGAGAACGTGAGTGGCGCTCACCGGGGGGCACTGAGAGAGTTTGTCTGCAGCCATCATCTGCACATTCAGGTGTTTGCTCTGAGACTTCCCTCTGGATTTGACCAGTCGATGAAGCACCTGAGGAGCATCACATCATCACTATAAGATTATAAAGATATCCAGGTATAACGCTGGTGTGTCCTCTGTACCTTTGGAGAGGTCACCTTGACGTAGACAATGATTGGAGCTAAGGAGGTTTTGGCGAGCTGAGCCGGGTGGTTAATCGTGTCTGCGTCCAAAATGACCAGTTGTAACGTTTTGGCCAGTTCAAATATCCTCTCGATCTCACTCTGCACCTCCGCTGCACAAGAACAACATGATCAGAGATGTCTTGGTTTGATATTATTCTTTGGATGCATAAGAAACTCTAAAAACTCATAATCAAAAAAATAAAAACTACCATAAATCTAATGGGTTTTCTAATGAGATTTTCCGATCTGCCGACCAATGATTGGTTGGACTGGCCAATATATCGGTCAGAAGGACCAATTTTGCATCAGTTAGTGTCTTTGACGAGTACCTGCATACTATTCACATCATACAGTATGTGTATTTGTATTTGTAATGAAAGCCTGATCTCTCCAGACCTCAGAAACTAAGTAGGATAGGGCCTGGTTAATATTCTGATGGGAGACCTCTAGAAACACCAGAGTGCCAATTCGCAACTGTGTCCTTGGGCAAGACACTTCATGAGTGCGTGTATGTGTGTGTGTGTGATTGGTAGCGGTCAGCCAACTCGATAGATAGTTCTAACCAAGTTTATGCTCTGAATAATTTGGCACTATGATAAATATTGTTTGGTTTTAGAGCTATTTATAGATCGCTTGTTTTAACCAACAACCACATCCAGATAAATTTGCAATTTATCTGGAGTTGAAAAAATATAGACTGTTTAAACCCTGTTATATTCATGAAGATTTTTAATATACATATTTTAAAGTAGTAATCAAATAACAAATCACCCTTATCGGCCCATGCAAACATAACCTCATTGTAGGCCTATGAGTCCTGTCCAGCCACAAGCTTCACTTCAAAACAGAATGATTAAAATAGCTGTCAAACTAATATAATAATTGATTAATCTATGTAATCTTGAAGCTAATATAGACTTAAACAGGCTGAGAAGAGGTTTTAGGTCTCAGATAATTCTATAATGACTACAGAGTGAATGTCTTTACAACACACTTTTATTCAAACAATTTAATGTGTAACAAGTCCTCTCTATGAATTTCTTCTCTGACCTTTCAGGATCTAAGCAACTAATGGAATAAAATTATGCATTAGCTAACAAATATGGATAATAACAGACCTAAAGGGCGGCGTGCTTACCCAGGCTGGAGCGTGTGTTGGACCTCTCCATCATGGGCCTTTTGTTCAGCACAGATCTTTTGGCTAATGACAGGTCGGCAGTGACTCGAGTGATTGAGATCCTAAAGACGTCACAGAAAAGGCACAAATGGTCAAAAGTGCGTTAACAAAGCTAAGAAATATTTGAAGAGTTGCACTTACCTGCCCTCAAATCTATGTTTTAGGAAGTCGAATAAAGCCTTCTGCATCATGTCTGTCACCTACACACAGATCCACTTTTTAGCACACTTATCAATCAATCATCCGTAACCCTAACCCTTACACAAGGCAACACAAAGCACCTCACAACCCATAACATGTCAAGCATAAATCACATCAACATTAAAATCTACAAATACATTAAAAAATACACATTAAGATCACGAGACTGTAATCTGATCGAGCTTTTGTCCTTGAATGCTTTTTAATCAAAACTCTGAGTTTTCAGGACGGCCTCAATTACCAGTAATTGTTTTTCTTGATTAGTGTAGTCTGTGTAGCTGACATTTTTACCGTAATTATAATTTTATCTGTCTGTTGTGGTTATGTGTAACTTTGCTGCCTCTTGACCAGGACCCCCTTGAAAAAGAGGTTCTTAATCACAATGGGATTTTTCCTGGTTAAAAAAGGTTAAATAAAATTAAAAAATACAATAATATTAAAAACATAGAATTAAATCAAGTAAGTACTTAAAAACCTTAAAACATTAAAAGAATAGGATTAAAACCATAAATAGCCACAGTGACTTGAAAAGAGTAAAGATAAAAATCCTTTGGTTGTATGCACAGCTGAACAAAACAATTTTTAACCTGGATTTAAAAACTGCCAGAGTAGAGGCCTGTCTCACATTTTCAGGAAGATTGCTCAAGATTCTAGCTGCATAAATCTGAAACGCTGCCTCCCCAGTTATAATGTAAATAATGTAAAGAAACACAATGGAACTACTTGTTTTATCTTGCCCCAATGGTGATCAACATGAAACATATTTTAGTGTTTTTGACAGCTTCCTTGACTGTGAAGGAGAAGGAGCCTGACCTCATAGCCCTTCAGAGAGGGTCCCACCAGCACCACCGGCCTCATGGAGGGCACCACATCGTAGGGAGGGACATGTTCCTGCTCAAAAATAGACGCGCAGAGAACAAACAAGGCATAGGGTGTGAGAGACAGTGGAAATATGTGCAGAAAAATAAACAGAAAGAAGTCTTAAATCGTGCTGGTTTTAGATACACCTACCTGCTTTTGCTTCAGTTTAGCTTGTGGAAATAACACAACAACATTTATCATGTGTAAAGAAACAGCGCTGACAGTTTTATCAGAGAGGAGGCCTGTGATACCTACTTTCACCTGCAGATGGTGGCGTGGTTCTCCAGTTTCCTGTGACCATGTCCCCTAAACTTGAAGAGTTTCCTCCTGACTTTCTGCAACGCAAGCACAGTACTGTCATGCAAGGTACTTTAGAAACATGGCAATAGCTACACATTACTCAGTTCCTCTAAACATGTATAGTTACAGAGAAAGAAACCAGTTGCATTACTTTGGGATTACTTTAGTCTTCATATAACTCAGTCATACAAAGGATTTGATGTTATATCTAAAATGTTTAAATAGCATAGAAGCATTGGCCTTAAGGCCAGAAGGTCGTGGGTTCAATTCCCACCTCTGTACCTTCTCCATCGACTCCCACTGATGACTGCTGTCGTTGTGTCCTTGGGCAAGACACTTAACCCCACTTTGCCCAAAAGCCCCCACTGAAAGATCAAGGCTATGCTCACACTCAGAGAGCAGCCGTCCTCCTGTGGACTCACCACCTGCAGAGGGTCAGTGAGGGGCTGGTGCTATGAGACTTGGGTGGCATCTCTGACTGCCACCCCCCTGACCCAGAAATGGATTAAAGGGTAGAAAATGGATGGATGGATATATCAGAGAATCAAACAGCTTGAACACATACATAGGAGCCACTGGTCCATAGGGAGCTGGACGACCAATGTCCATAATGTTAATAAATGTCCATAAATGCCTGTTCTTCATCACTGTAGACCGTCCTGCATCAGCGAGGAACCAATCAAAAGAAATAAACTGTTTTGGCCAAGTTTGTAATCTATAATTAAAGTAATGGCCACGTCACCCGTTTTAGTTAACTAATTGATCATCACAGAATTTGATGATCAATTTGATGAACCATACATTACATTGCATTTTGGAGTCATAATTAAAAAGGGATGCAACTGTTCATTTGGGCAAGACACTTAACCCACTTTGCCTGAAGCCCCTGCTGAATATTCAAGGCTCCTGTGGACTCACCACTTGCAGGAAGATCAGTGAGGGGCTGGTGCTCTGTGTACTGGGTGCAGCTCTGACTGCCCCCCCCGACCCAGAAATGGATTTAAGGGAAGAAAATGGATGGATGGAAGTTGAATAACTGAAAACTGACCATGCTCAAAGTTGCAATTTGATATTTGGAATACCACCTTCAAGGGATTTTGTTGCTTTTTCCACATTCACATCTACAGCAGCGTTTGTTAAAGTTGTGTGAACTAGTTTTGCAAGATACTAATAAACTTGAATATTATTATATTATTAATAACTGTAATCTATTCTCAAAGTAATGCATTACTCTTAAAATGTAATCTAATTACAGTAATAGTATTTGTAACCATGTTCTAAACAATTTGAAGCCCCAATGTATGATTATTTGACCCAAAAATAGACTAAAATACAGTTGTTTTTATTGCACTGAATCTTGATTGAATCACTATGATTTAAAACATTAATACAACCGGATGAGAACAGAATCACACTAAAATTTCCCGAGCCTCTGAACTAAAGAGAAACCAGGACTCAGCTCATAAACATGTTCTCGAGTTTATGTAACCTAAAAAGAAAATAAGTTTCAAACCTAGCATAACAAACTTTTGGCTAAGTGAAGCTCATTATGGTCCAGATCATGAGCTTCACTTAGCCAAAAGTTTGTTATGAAACTGAAATACCCACAAAAAAGTCAACTGTCTCCACAGCTCAGCCATGATCCAGGACCTAATGATGTATGAAGTATTTGTAAAGTACCTCTGCTTCTGCTCCTGCTTCAGTCTCATGGCCTCGAGGCGCAGGGGGCTGGGGATGAAGGCGATGTCTGCTCCCTCCTTCACCAGGCGGCCGATCCACCAGTCATTATTGTACTTCTGCGGACGACAGGTTGGCGGCATTTAGTCGGACTTCATTTTCTATTCCATTTACAGGAGACATATTATATAACATTAGCTTTGAGCTTTCACCGTGTTACAACATTGTTCTTTTATCACAAAATAAACTTGGAATTGTTTTTTTGCTTGAATCTGGCACGAACATGTAACTCTTCTTCTGTCTAAAAGCTCCTCAGTCCTGTAAGAGTATGATGTCATTGTACCACTATGACATCACCCTTTTAAAACAAAAGTAGTAGCCCATACATTTTTAAATTACTTTTTTACAACCACATGTCCGTGTTTGCAGCAGCTAATTTTCAAATTGGGATAAATATAAAACAAATTCAACTCCTCCCTCTGGTTGAAGCACAGGACGTCACAGGTAGATAGCGTTATTTAACCTTGATACAGTACATGCACAAATGATTACAGCTATTATTAGAAATACAGAAAGGGACATAATCATAATCTCTGGACAGAAGAGTAAATCTGAAACTTGAATTTGATATAATCATTATTATTATTGCAGGTTCACTAATCATAGAAATATACCATCTGATGTATGATAATCAATTAACTGTCATCATATTTAGTATAATCCTAAATTAACAGGGGAATACAGACAAACATACAACAACAAACCAACAAAATGTCAAAAGTATTAACCATTTCAGAGTTAGCTGCAAAAGCTCTCTTTTGAAATCTGGGAACAATGTTTTTAAACTGTCTCAGTGTGCAGTAGACATGGTTAGACTGTAATAATCATTCCAGTATTGAGACCGTCTTTAGTGACACGACACTGAGCTGCCTGAGCACAGATTTGTTCTGAGATAAATCTGTCCCGTTTAGAAGCAGCGTTTTGGCCTGAGCCCGTCCTCATCATCACTCACCTCTTTAATGTGCAGAAAGTCTTTGGCATCAAAATTGACTGCGGCTCCTTGGACGGGACACTCCTCATCCAGAGCTCCACAGTAACTCACATTGGTCTTCACTGCGAACGCTACAGGTTTGGACTGAGACAACAGGACACATTAGAACATGAGAAAGGATGGTTACATACTGTTTATGCCCTAAAGAAGCAAGAAGCCCCTTCAAACTGAGATGGAGCTCATATTTCACCTCACTTCACCTGGTGTATGAGTCTGGTGTGTGCGTGAATGATAAGTGGTGTCGGAGGGGCCGATGGCACAGACCGGGTGCTTCACTTCACTCAGTGTGCCCCAGGGCAGCAGTGGCTACAGTAATTGCTCATCACCAGTGTGAATTGAGTGAAAGTAATGCCGCGAGAAGGGCCTTTGAGAGTCCAAAAAAAGCCAAAGATTTAGAGCAATATATTGATTCTTTCACAGTGATACCTTAGCTCTGTCGAGCTGCAGCTGGGCCTGGCGCTCGGCTTCGCGCCGATACGCCTCGCGGTCCTCCTCGGCTGACAGGTCTGAGTCTGACGGGCGACTGGTGTAGGAATCAGCAGAGCCCTGGACACAGAGAAAAAGTAAATATTATTATCTCAGGAATAACATCTTTGCAAAAACACCATCATTATTTAAGCTAGGTCACGATTGGCATTTTATTACATACAGTAAGCCCTATATTCTTGTTCTTGATCTCATCAGACCTCAGAAGCTAAGCAGTGTGGGGCCCTGGTTTTACATGGATGAGAGACCACTGGGAATACCAGTTGCCACAGTGGTCTGCCAAAGTCACGTTGACTTGTTAAACACTAGAGGTCTTTTTAAACAAGATTTACAGAAGGAGCAGGTTTATTTACTTATTCTAACAATTCTCAGTAAATGTGGCATATTTGTAGAGTTTAGTTTAGAATCAAACAGTTGTCATTTCTCAGAGGCCCCCACTTGACTGAACACCTCCACCATGTTCCAAGTGCCACCGTTCCTCTTGTTTGTCTTGCGTCTCCACTAGTTCAGGTGTAAATGCAAATGCCTCTGTATTCATGCATTCAAACAATGCGCTACTCTCCTACAGCAACGTCTTGTTCTGCAATACCAAATATAGCACAAAGAGACACGGCTTCCTCTTCTGCCTGGCCCCAATCCATCCCATCATCCCCCACAGTGCTGCGCGTATAGAGCCCTGTTTATTCTCCAAGGACATATCCTCATTAGCAAAATATATGCCGCTGCTATCATTATTCACTGTAGAAGGACGCATTATCCAGAGGACGAGAGGGAGGATCACACAAACAGCACCTTTACAAGCGCACGTGTAAGGGGTGTCACCGTGTCAACATTTAAAGACGGCAAGGAATTCTGTGAGAGGAAACGTGATAAAAGCAATTTTACAATGCGCCGTACAGGAGCGGCATAGCACTACATACCAAGAGGTGATGGGAACTTTAGCCGCACAAAACAAAAACGATATCTGTTTTTTGCATAGAGCCCTTTACAACACTCAAGGGTTACAATAAAATCACGTCCAATCCATTAAAACATTCATGCAATAAAATTAATAAAAACATAAATACATAAATACATACATATATACATACTGTACATACACACATAAATACATACACGCCCAAACTTTTTGTGTGTATGTATTTATGTGTGTATGTACAGTATGTATATATGTATGTATTTATTTATTTATGTTTTTATTAATTTAAAAGTCGAATTTGGATTGCCTGATTAATTCTGTCAAAAGTTTGTCCAATTGAAATTGAATTGTTTATCTCATTATTAGTCAATTTCTCTACAACTATTTATGCATTAACCCGATGACTTTCTACCATGCGCTTGTACACACACATGTTTAAATGACTTGTACTATACTGTACAAAATGGAATACATATTTTACCATTGTATTTCATCCCTAGGTTAAATCATTTTCAACTTCACTGTCATTACAATGTTTAGCACAAGACAACAGAAGTTTAGCATCTAACCAGAAGTGCCATAGCTCAAGTATAGGATAGAATTTAAAACACAGATAAACAAATCTGCATACATGGAAGACTGTTCAAAGCTGCTCTAGAGTACATACATTAATTACATTATATTACTGTTGAATTATTTGAGAGAACGTCCCATTTGTTTGTCTGGCATAATGATCACTGGGTCCTAAACTTCTGTTAGATTTTGAACATAGCAATCGCATTATCACAATATTGAGAATCTTGCGATTTTCAGAAGATAATGTAAAAAATGGGCTCACATCCTTGGGGAAAGATTTACAGCTATAACTTTTTCTGCACGTGAAGTCAAATGTTCCTAAAGAAAAGTGCTCATTCTACAGTTCTACACGTGAACTTGTCCTCCAGAGCGTCATCCATCTCCCACATGAGCAGAACACGAGCTCTCAAGGCCCAATTACACGATGCATACAGTACATACAGCAGCGTCTTATCCTCACACACCGATATTATCACCACATTCGGTTAAGACATTTTACCAATAGTGAACCAACTACTGAACATTAGTTGCAGTCGTATGTGTCACGTTTAGTTCATTACTATCCATTAATTATTCATAATAGTTTTTTCTTCAATAGAAATAATTACACATTGTGTGTAATTGTGTAATTGACAAATAATCATCAATTTATCATAACATCAGCCTGCCCAGGGACTACGGGTGGAAATAAGCTCTTGATATATAACCTGGTACAATGCATCTTTCCCTTTCAGGTTAATGTTTATGGTACACTGTCCCTTTCATCTTAAATAAATAAACTAAACTAAACATAAAACCAGGGTACATAACCTAAAGTAATGATACTAATAATAATGTTACATGTTGCTTGTCCAACAGAAAGAGTCTTGTAAAAGTATAATGTAGTGAACAAATCAGTTCCACATTATGCTGTCTTCATCTTACTGTACTAGAAAACATGTTGTCGTTTGCTTGTACTTGTAAGAAAGAGCCCTGTGAGTCACTATTTGGGCTGAGAGTGAGGGTGGTCCTCTTTTTCTCACATTTTGGTCTGAAAAGCTGATCTAAATATCTGACAGAGGCCACACATGCGTGAAACCAGTGATAGATGGATTTCAATATAGTTTGATTGTTGTGGTTTGAAAGTTGGGGACTTCAGCTTTAAACCAATACATTTGTTCAATACCCCTTTTCTGGGTGTGTACATTGTTATCCTTGTGTGCACATACGTCTCATGGTTCACAGTGGAATGACTGAGATTGTAAAATACACTGAGTGTGATATGGCGGCTACATTAGACCGTGCCATAATAAAACGCAGTGGAGCAGGGCCCATATGGAGATGACACAGGTGCACACACAGAAAATGGGACACACGCTCCAGACTCCAGATAAAGCCCCAATGTCCTTGGCCATGAGAACTTATTTCATATTAAATTTATTCCAATTCCCTGTATGAGAGATAGTGAGCTATTGTGGGCACTGTGCAGGATAGAGCTAAAATTAAATATCCAAGTTGTTTATACAGAGGATATTATCACCTTTCCCGGGATCTTTTGCATATAAGAGGTGTCCTTGTTTTTAACAGATGGATTTGTTTGGTGGAATGTAGTCTTATCCGTAGGTTTCTATCTACATGATATAGAACTTTCCCAATTTGATTGAAAATGAAAGCATTGTCAAGCATCATACCATGTTTCACTGACTCTTGTTTACATTCTGGGGTCTGTATGACACTTATCTATTCAACCAGTGTGTCACAGTGGCAAAAGGAAATGAACCCAAAGTGCAAAACTGCTAAAATAATGGTTTTCATATTATGTAAAACAAAAGAAAACCCAGAGGAAACACAAATAGTAACCGGAAAAAACAGACACTGGATGACATTTGGGCGGCATGGTGGCTGAGTGGATAGCACTCTTGCCTCTTAGCAAGAAAGTCCTGGGTTCGAATCCTGTTTGGACCAGGCCCTTTCTGAGTGGAGTTTGCATGTTCTCCCCGTGTCTGCGTAGGTTTCCTCCGGGTTCTCCGGTTTCCCCTACCACTAAAAACATGTACAATACGTCTGGCATGTGCCTCCTGTATTGGCCCCGCTCCCATTTCTGTGTGGAGTGAGAGGACCCAAAAATAACAATTGTAAACCACTTTGTGACTCTGGTCTGTGAAAGGTGGTATATAAATAAACATTACTTACTTACATTGACAGAGCAGGGAGTGAAGGAACACGGAATAAGAATTAGCCAATGCTAACATATAGCATTAGGTGACCTCTCGAAAACGTCTTTACAGGATGGACCAAAAGTTGGCTCTTGGCCCAAAGCTCCGTTCCACATGTGTGTCAATGCTGAGGGGGGTGGATTTTTTTGGACCACTCTAGTTTACTCGCTGTGAATTTTTGAAGTCTCTCGTTTAAATGAATGGAGCTCGTGCCGACTGGCGCATGCACAGATGCGTCTTTTTCACATTTTCCAGCCCCCGTGGCCATTTTGAAATACTCCATGAGAGCCCAATTTTTGGCCCATTAGTTAGAACAGCGGAGATAGGCGTGACTACGTCCGTTAATATATACAATCTATGGTTTGAGTATGTAACAAAGTCCTTCTAATCCTCTGTCACATATTTATATCAAGCTTTTGAGACAGAAAAGTAAAAAAAGAGGACCGCCCTCGCTCAGCCAATCAGCTCTCAGCGCAAAGCGTCAAATAGTGACTCACGGGTCTCTTTCTTACATCCATCCATCCATCCATCCATTTTCTTCCGCTTTATCCGTTGCCGGGTCGCGGGGGCAGCAGTCTAAGCAGAGACGCCCAGACTTCCCTATCCACACACACCTCCTCCAGCTCGTCCGGGGGGACCCCAAGGCGTTCCCAGGCCAGCTGAGAGACATAGTCTCTCCAGCGTGTCCTGGGTCTTCCGCGGGGCCTCCTCCCGGTGGGACGTGCCCGGAACACCTCCCCAGGGAGGCGTCCAGGAGGCATCCGGAACAGATGCCCGAGCCACCTCAACTGGTTCCTCTCGACGTGGAGAAGCAGCGGCTCTACTCCGAGCTCCTCCCGTGTGACTGAGCTCCTCACCCTATCTCTAAGGGAGCGCCCAGCCACTCTGCGGAGGAAGCTCATTTCGACCGCTTGTATCCGCGATCTCGTTCTTTCGGTCATTACCCAAAGCTCATGACCATAGGTGAGGGAGGGAACGAAGATTGACCGGTAAATCGAGAGCTTTGCCTTTCGGCTCAGCTCCCTCTTCACCACAACGGTCCGATACAGCGACCGCATCACTGCGCACGCTGCACCGATCCGCCTGTCAATCTCACGCTCCATTCTTCCCTCACTCGTGAACAAGACCCCGAGATACTTGAACTCCTCCACTTGAGGAAGGACCTCTCCACCCACCTGCAAAGGGCAAGGCACCTTTTTCCGGTCGAGCACCATGGCCTCGGATTTGGAGGTGCTGATTCTCATCCCAGCCGCTTCACACTCGGCTGCAAACCGTCCCAGTGCATGCTGCAGGTCCTGGTTCGTTGGAGCCAACAGGACAACATCGTCCGCAAACAGCAGAGATGAAATCCTGTGGTCTCCGAACCGGAC